CCCCCCCCCCCCCAACATCCCAGTCCCAAGCATCGTAGGCCGAGACCATCGCGCGGTGCATCGTTCCATGATCATCGGCCAGACAAGGCTCGCCCCTGTCAGCAGTCTATCAGTCTATCGCAGAGACAGGTAAAAGCCACCGTCCTCCATCGTCCCCCTGGTCCGCGGTAGCTTGCTCAAGTCCCAGAAGGTCAGACTTTACCCAAAACGCCTTCCAGGCAGAGGGCGTCACCAAGCGTCAACCCACTTACGACGTATTTTTGATTCCCTGGCGCACCTCGCAAGCCCGCAAGCCCCCCCAGGGTGCTAACTGGCTGACTTTTCTGTCTGGGTCAGACTTTCCCACCGAGAACAAAGTGACAGGGGTTCCAAACCTCTCCTCGACTCGGCCTGTGACTCGCCAAGGGCTCAAAGCCCACTTTTTGGGCTTTGCACACTGCACCTGGACATCCGGATTCAAGGTTCCCACCTGCCCTCCGGCCCATGCTTAGCGCGATCTCTCGATCTTTCTCCGCCCATCTCGCTCTCTAAGACTTGCTCATCTTCATTCTTTCACCATCCAAAGCCAACCTTCGACCCCGAAATCCATCAAAACCCCCTCCATCGCCACCAACGACTCCCAGTACTCCTGCACATGCGCCCTCTTCTCCTCTGAAGTCCTCTGTTGCATCTCCTATCCTTGCACGTTGTACTTCGACATCCTCTTCGACGACACTTTGCCTGCCGACTAGACAAGCCAAGTACCGGGCACGTCTTCAACTCCTCGACAGCGATCCTTGGGAGACTGCGCACTTTGACCATTTTATCCCGCCAGACTAAGGAGGCAGGATTCATCCTTTAATCGCCTTTGGTGCTGGTCTGTGTCCTCAACCAGGCAAAAGTCGGGAGTGCCGGTCAAGACGGCTTCTTGCACTGTTCATACCCATCTCGTTGGTGCAACGACAACAGAACTGGGCCTAGGCTTTGCGTCACGTTGGAGCGGACGGTCTTGCAACCTCGTACGGAAAGGTACATTGGCAGCAAAACGTTGCTCTTTCCGTGGTCCTGGTCTGGCCTCATGATCCATCGTGCTATCCTCAAACAATAGAATAATCATTATTGCTGGAAGGAGATTGGATATCCAACTGTCACCACAATGGCAACAATAGAAGCCGCCCCTCGACCCAGGTAATGTCTTACCCCCCACCGACAGACCTGAGTTGCTAATGTGAATATCAGAGAGGCGTTGCCGTCTATAAGTCATCTCGATCTCGACTCCGTCAGAACCGACAGGAACGACCTTTCGAGGTATTCCATGGGCAATGGCCTGAGCATCACAACGGCACCCTTGGCCAGTCCCACGGCGTCCATGTACTCGGGCCCGCCTCAGCCATATTCATGTGCCCCGTCAACGGCAGGGTCTACTACTGGCGTGTCGGGGTACATCTCTCCTCCTGAATCCACTACTCGACGCTCGACTAGGGAGGAGAAGGAATCGCCTGACATTCGCAAATCCCTGCCTTCCATCCATGAAGCTCTCGGAGACAAGTCGCTCCCCTTTCAAGGCACAGCCCAGCATCAATCCTTGCCTACGCCTTCGACAGCCGTTGGTCCGTCGTTCTCGGATGGCCCCAAGGGTCCTGTCAATCCCTTTTCTCAACCACCACCGCCCGTCCTCCGAGATGTATTTTCGGTGCCTCAGATGGCAGCGTCTACCCCGACAGAGCCGCAGACCGCGAAGCCGCCTTTCCCTCCGCCATCTGTTCCGGCACCTGATCCGCGTCAACCAGTCTCTCAGGCTTTTGGCTACCCAGGCTCTCCAAGTTCTCAGCAGCAGCCATCAAACTTTCGTTCGTCCTCTTTGGCGAATACCACGTTCACGAGCCACAACGAGACTGCCCCAACTAGATCTCCCCAAACTTACGAGCCTCCTAGACAGCAACCAGCGTTCCCACAATTCAGCAATCCGCCCTCCTCAAATGCACCAACCACTACAAACGAGCCATTTCAATTCACCGCAGGTTCGAAACCTGCGCGCGAGGTTCAGTACAACGAAACCATCAAACGGCATTTGGACGTATTTGACCTCGAGATAGGGCTCAATGAAGTTTGTATCCCCCACCTTCTCGATGGCGAGTGATGTGTCCCCTGACCACTTCTCTAGATTAGCGAATCCTGTCTCCGCACGCTGGATTTTTGCCGAACTTGGGGTCAGCGTGCTCACCAGAGCAATCAGGTGGGCTATTTGAATGAGACTCTCCCCTCAATAGCGGAGCTGGACGAGATTCTCCGTCATACCCATCGCTCCTACGAACTCCTCACCTACGTGCGAGAAATGGTAGTTGCTCAAGAAAACGCCAAGGTGGAGCAGCAAGCCCGACTTGCTCGGGGCGCTCATGCGGAAGAAGAGTACCCAACAGCGCCCGACGAATACAAAAGCGGAGGGTACACTGGAGGCGATGCAAAGAAGCGACGCGGAGTCAGTATTCTCTGGGCGAATGCGTTGCTCTAGCTAATATGTTTTGTCACAGAAAGCCGCGCCGCCAGGACGATGTCACAGCTGCAACCGCGCCGAGACGCCCGAATGGCGAAGGGGTCCTGACGGGGCACGCACATTGTGTAATGCATGTGGCCTTCACTATGCCAAATTGACACGAAAGTTGGGCGTCAACAAAGCTGCAGCTATGACTGGAGCAAACCTACGGCCCAAAAATGCCGATTCCATGCGGCCGTAAACTGTGCCTGCTTCTAACATGGAGGCCGGGTTTTGAAGACGGAAGATGGATGAAGGCGACGAATCTACTTGTTGACACATGCAAAATCTCTTTTAGGAGACACGTTTACGACTATGTGGTTGAATGCTCGGGCACTTTTTACGACGAAACCTTGAGGAGTTTAAGCGGCGTCTTTTACTTTATTTCAACGATGCCGACCGGTACACAACATTGGAACACTATGGCAAGGGTGTGTTTGCTCAACGGACTGTACAGATGAAGCTTGGAGTCGTGGAACGACCAAAAAATAACTTGGGGGGGCAAAAAGACGGCGTCAACGTGTACAGTCTTTGTGCCTTATTAGAGGCATCATGGGGAGCATGGGCGAAAGCGTTGTCGGGGGGTGGTCATGTGGGCTTGTTCTCTCTGATACCCCGACCAAGGCCTTATTAGAGGCACATGGAGCATTTTGGCTCTTGAAAATATGTTTTACGATATTGTTATTGCTTAGTAAACGGTGGCATACCGGTGGGACGGTTGCTGGACGGGTGGGTGATGGATCAGAACGGTTGTGTGGAGGACGGATCTGGGGGCTTTCGTGTTTCGCCTGTTTCGAGGTTTGGCTTGACACTCCCAACGAAGGAACAAAATGCAGACGGAAACCAAACGAGCTGATCCTCAAGCAGGTGCATGGTTTCCCCTCTTCTGCCTCTATTCAACTTTGGTCCTTCCCGGCGGCAGCGACAGCGACCGTCGGGAAGGCTTCTCAAGGGGACCATCATTCTCACACAGGACGGAATATTCAAGCAAAGGTTGCAACTACAAAACAACAGAGATCATTCACAAATACTATGGCAACAGCCGAATAGCTCTCAGGTTGAAGGCTCCTAGTTTTGTCGCATTTTGTTTTCCTGTTATTTCCACAAGTTTCAAAGCTGCATCCAGTCGAAGGATATTTTCGTGGACTTCTGGTCTGAGGCTACCACAAACGCCCCCGACCCCTACCGGAGACGAGGTCTCTGAGACGTCTCTGATTGCTGCTGATCATTTACAGGCATGGGCACTCTGTGTTTACGAGGACTTTGTTGCTTGCCGGCATTTTCCAAGCGACTCAAGGGTCAGACGCCACCCAGGACAGCTGCCAGATCACTGGATCGAGATCTCCCACTAAGACGGCGAGACATTTTCTGCTGGCACCGAACCCTCTCCAGAGAGACTCCTCGTTCGTTTCAAAGCCAAGGGAGCGACTTCCTCGCATTGGAGGGGGGCAAACGTTGAGCAAGAGGGACTCGAGTCAGCACCGCCTTTGCCAGAGGTCACACCACCTGATGGGGCCGTCAAACCAATAAACGGTGCAATATAGTCGAAAGTTCAGCATGCCAGCACTGGCCAGCACAAGCCAACAAGCCACCCGGGACACAGGCCCCGGAGAAATCTTTGTTAGGCCTCTTGTGTTAGCCTCCAAGTTGGCTGGTGATAGACAGGGAACGCAAGCTAAGATACTCGAACCTGCAGTCCGGACGGTTTTCGAGCTGCGAGGCACCGTTTTGGGCGATTCCTCCTCGGCCGGCTCAACATCAATTGCCCACTTGCTCGTCCTTTGTCCGGGGGGCTTGTTTTTGGGCCTGGCCTTTTCGAGCCCCAACAGAGTCACGCTTCTTACTACTCACTAGTATCCAGGTTGAGAGAGCTGCGACTGGACCTGCCGGTGGTGATCGGCATTTGCTTTGGGATAGTCGCATTGGTCCTTGTCTAACGAGAATCGCGACCTCAAGGCCAACTCAAGGGTTAGGGGAGTTTAGTGGCCCAGGGTAATCGACCTCGCACCCCTACATGCCTACATCGCCAACCCAGGATCGGCGCTTGCTTTGCCCCGCCTACCCTGTTTCTGATCTGCAAGCCATCTTTCCTTTGACCTTGGCCTGTGCATGATCCATGCCATCGGCCAGCGTTTCAGTTGGTTGGCCGGGAGGCACATCACGCAAAATGGTTCCCAAGAGGCTTCGCATGGGGTTACGACGGAACACTTCGGGACTGAGCAACTGTCGTGATGGGAGCCGTGGTCACTGGCCATGCTGCTACGGTGGCTGCGCTGCGATTCCGTCCCTAACACGACGCCTTGCGATTGGTTTTCTCCAGGGATGGCAGCGAGAAAAGCGTTTCAGAAAGAGACCGAACCGCGGGCACCAGGAAAAAGCACCACAAACTTGATGGGCGGTTCGATGCTGCCACTTCGCCATCGACTTTCCTGTTTCTACAGACGAGCTAGCAGACGAACAACGGTCGCCAGAGACTGCGTTTGAACGAGCGCTGGATTGTGGATTGTGCGTTTCTGAAACAAGCGAATGGGCCAATGTCTCAAAGTGTCTTTCTCGCTGTACATGGCACTCCATTCCCCAGTGCTGATCTTTCTCACAGCCAGGAAAGCGAGATCTCCCGGAGTAGTCCGCTACATCTGCATGTCGCACGGTAAGATCCCAGATCCGTGCAGATACTGTGAGGGAAAAAAGTACCAGATGTCACAGATTGTCGGGGGCGAGCAGATCACGATGCCCAACCTCAACTCCGAGCATCCGAGTCGAGGCCGAAGCTGTCCTGTCCAGGGTGGAGAACAGAGCTGGTTGCTAAGTTTTGAGTACACACCCGCCCTCCCTCTGCTGCCATTTTGCTTTTGTCGTGGATGCCAGTGTCTGTGTCTTTGTGCTCCGTACCTTCTCCGTCCAGCGTGCTGGGTGTGATTGGGGAGCCGGGATTGTAGAGTGGAAAGTGGAAAGGCGTCGATGGAGGTAACGAGTAGTGGCAGTGGAGGTTCTTCCCAACCTCCTTTGTCCGTTTTGCCCCAGTTGTAGGCGCCCCCACCATCTACACTGCCACGGTGCCAACCTGTGCCAACCACCCTCCCATATTACGTCAGAGGCCCAGGAGGGTGCCAGGGAAGGTGCCAGGCTCGGGCTCCAGGTGCCAGGTGCCAGGTGCCAAGTCCCAGGCCCCAGGCCTGCCTAACCCAAGCTCCCTTAGCCGGCTGCCCAGGGGCCTGCAGCTGGTGGTAATGCAAGCACTTTCTCAGCTCACCATAACAATGCCAGGCCTCATCCCATCTCTGCCCATCACCCAAGTAACAAACCCCCCTCCCCTTGTTCTCACATCAACACTATTTTGTTTTGTTGCAAACACCACCTGTACCAGTCAGTCATAAGAACCGATGAAGCGTTTGCCGTAACGCCCTTCGTATCCTCTTACCAAGCCTCCTGCATCATCCTCCGCGCTCGGGCCACGGACAATCAAGTCACACTTTCCATCATCGAAAGCTTCACGCTCTGTGGCGTGGCCTGGACCAGTCGATGGATCCTTCCAGACGCCGCCAACGCCAGACTCCATCTGGGTTCAAACGGTCGACTTCAACCGCCCCCAGAGCCCAAGGGGCCAAGTCACAACGGTTGATCACCCTGTTAAGCGGCCCCTGTCGCGCCCTACTACTTGAAATTTTCCCCTCCAGCCCGCACCCAACCCCCTGGTCCTGGTCGCTCTTGCTGTTGGCCAGCCACCTACTACTTCTTGCGGGAGACTCCCAATGATCACTCATACAAGTCACCAGGCCCACGATCGGAGCCCCAGGCAGGAACTGGTCTTCCTAAGCTCCACGCCACATCATGAGTTTCAACAAGGTCATATTTGTAAAGATGACCCCTAAATCCAACCTGTCCCGGCACCAGGGGAAAAACAGCGACGCCCTTCAAGGACAAATATGTCCTCGTACACGCGGAACCCCCCCCCCCCAAAAGTCAATCGCGCCTCGTATCGGCTGGTTGGGTCTGAAATCACTTTGGTCGCGGCGCAGGGAAAGAGTCAGGCCACTGCGACTCCACACACAGGGAAGCAAGATGGAGACAATGCAAGTTTCCCCGAGACCGGGGCTTTTTCATCTCTCATCCAGAGGCTAGCCCTGTAGGTGTGTCGCTGATTGAGAACCTCCTAGCTGTTGACCGGAGCGGACGGACCATTTGACAAGTGAACGAGCGCTCTCATCCTATGCTGTCCCACTTTCCGCGGACCTAACAACAAAAGAGAAAAGCCCCTCTTCCACCCGGATGTTCGCCTCCCTGGCCACTTCAACCTTATCCATCGTGATTCTTGCCTGATACCCGCAGCAGATCGATTCTGGATAAGCGTGATCGAAGATCACTCTCTTCGACTTGCCTGCTCGATTCAACCTGTCGTCCACAAGTACTCTGTGGCGCCGTAACCGAGATGAGATCCCGAGCAGCGCGTGAAGCGGCATGCCAATGTCTCAAAGATGACTTACAATCATCGGTTCGCGACACACAAGTCGAGACTATCTAGAGTTGCTAGGACCGATGCTCTTCGCAGCTCATCCATCAGGTGTTGATTTTTTTTGGCTCCGCGACGACTGTACGCGTGTACGTCGGACCGGGAAAGCCTGAAACTCCAGCATTACGATAGACTCGTTTCGGCGTCTCCCCAGGGCCGGGGTGGCCTTTTTCTGGAGCTTGCGACCGACCTAACTTGACCAGTTTACCTAGGGCAGGCTCTCTCATCGCAGCCCGCGAATCGAAGAGTACCGACTCTATTCCTAAAACATCAAGTGTGTAAAGCCATCAGTTCTCTCCCGTCCGTACTCGAAAGGTTTGAGATGTCGCGGTCTTTGCCTCACACTTGAACTTGAGGTGTTTGCGCTGGGAATAGACCAACTTCAGACATCGCTAATCGTCGTTTCGGCTACTGCGCAGTCTTGCTGGGTTTCCTTAATGGGGGTAGTTCTCAATGTCAAAAGACACTTGACAGAATCTTTCTCTCGATTCGTCTTTGTTGATGTCCACTTCTCTAGTGCTTGCTGCGCGTCCTGGTGATCAGCGAACAGTGTCTCTACGCCGTCTCAGCGGTCAGACTGCGAAGATTGTCTTCGTCGCGGAGAACATCCACTAGATTCAGAGGTGAGGCCATCTCTTCGACAGTTGGTTCGTTGGATCCATGGATCGAGATTGCTTACACATCTGAGCTGCCACCTGATGGGGCGATGCCAACCCTCAACAGGTCGTCCTGCTGGGTTGGCATTGAGTTCGATTCATGTATGAGAGCAAGTTGAGCACTGCCCATGTTTTGACTGGCAATGGTTTTGGCCTGAAACATGGGTCTCAAAGGACAAAGCGGCCGAGTTGATCACTGTCCGCTCACTTCTAGTTTCGGACGGCGTTGGTTCCATTCAATGCCCAAAGTCATGTTCCCCGAATTTTGCGTCAGGATTGCCATTACAAGAGAATGGATACTGGCGATCACATCAGGGGTCCAACGCTGACATGGATGTTGGTACCGTTGGCCATCTTTATGTTGATCACTGACGCCTTTTGCAAGCCAGATGCCGGTAGGAATGACCCGTTACATGAACTTTGCTCGCGCGTCCCTCGAGGCCAGATCGTGGCCCAACCTGCTTGCTCTGGCAGCACTGGATCTCAGCGGCGCAGATGCGAGGCTACTATTCCTATTATGCAGGCCACATAAGACCTTATCCACAACACGACAGAGGGGCGAAGAGAGACGAAGATCTCTCTAGAGACTGTTACCTAGCGACCTTGGTGGAATTCTGGTTGGTGTCACGCCTTGCTCTGCCACACTCCTGTTCGAATCAACTGGCAATGTGTGAGGGGAGGTTATGTGGCCCTGGAATTCCGCTAATGGGCGCGGGACGGTGCCAAAGCTTCAGGCCGAGACTTGATTTCTTCTGCGACGGATGGGTAAATTCTAATCGAACCTGCCCTCGATTCTAATTGATCCATGTTCGACTGGTTTTCCCGGCAGCACAGGCATACCGATCACTCGAGGTAGCATGGACGGCCGCCTCAGCCCTGCGAATGAGGCAGCGACGTCGAAGCTACTCCTTGTATGACTTCGGGTATAGAGCTGATCCGAGCCGATCCTGGCAGTCCGACTTGAGTGTGGCTAGGTCCTTTGCTTGATGATCATCAGGTCACGCCATGCGAAAGCTCGACTTGCACTTATTTTTTGGTAGAGATCTTGATCGGAGGATGTTGAAACCCTGAGATGTTCAAGTTTGGAGGTATAGCCAACGTCCCATAAATGATGTGACTTGACAAATAGCCTTATCAAAGCACTCATTCAGCCCCGTGTTCTCTGGCACAAGAAGCTGACCTCTTTGTTCCAATGGATTGAGCACGCAACGCACGAGGCTCGCTGGTAGCCTCGTTTGAGGCGGACGTAGAGAGCCTGTCCCGTTGCTTGGCACGGCAGGTTACAATAGGGAATGCCGATCTGCAGAGGACCGGGGTCGCTTGCTACAGTATCAACTGGCCCGCTGAGTGAGTCATGCACTGCATCCCTATCCTGCTTTCCTTCTCTCTCTCCTTTCTCACCTGGTGAGAGTTCAGCGAAGGGATAGAGTGTTGTTCACCTGGAATACAAAAATGGAGGATTACTCCTCTGGCCAGGTATAAGAGAAACCCGCAAGTTAACACGTCTCTAAGGACCGTGAATCGTGCAGCAGCACGTCAACAAGATGGACTCGACAAGTGAGAAGATGGAGGCATCCGCTACCACGGTCAACAACATGTCAGTCACGTCTCTCGTGGACCTCAAAGGCAGGTCTTTGGTGTCAACGCAGTCGCTCCCTCGAACCACGGCGTCGCAATCCCCCGAGTACCGCCACCAGCTTGCTGAGATCACATCACGGGCCACGCTCAGTGACCCGCTGAACATTGTCTTCCAACAAGAAAAGACAGGCAGGGCCACGGCCGTGACGCCAGGCCTCCTCTACATGGCCGCCAAAAGGCGGATCGAAACCAAGGTCGCCGCCGGCGCGTCGGTTGTCGAGGCCGCCAACTTCGCGGCAGTGGCATGCTGGGAGCCGCCCTCGTCCAACCTGCCGCCCTTTACGGAGGCCCAGTTTGCGGAAATGGCCCGGGAGAGGCCCGTCTTTGCTCAGTTTGCCCGCGACATCCAAGGCGCGAAGCTGGCTTGTCTGGGGCCCGATCAGCCATATTGGACGCTCTCGCTGATGGCGCGGGATCCCGAGCGCAAGGACAAGGGCGCCGTCCGAGCTGTCATTGAGCCGTACGTCAATCGAGCCAAGGAGGAGAGGGTGCCGCTGTGGCTGGTGGCGGGCAATCCGAGGGCGAGGGATGTCTATGCATATTTCGGCTTCCGGGTCGTCAAGGTCATCTGGTCGTATCCCAGGGACAGGCACGAGGGCGACGAAGGGGTGTCGACGTGGTGCATGGTCTGCAACTGGCCGGTAGAATAGACGCTTTGCAGGGAGTTAGATCGACTGTTGATGGCCATGTGTACAATTGCGTCTTAGAAGATAGATGGTGTCTTTCCCTTGCACGCGCACCGCACTGGAGTGGGTGGCTTGACCTGTGAATGTTTAGTGATTGGAATTGGGGGTGCCTTTTCTCACGCGAGCGATTACTAAGGAGGCCCTGGGGGTGCCTGGGGGGTGCCAGTGGGTGCCTAATGAGCCCCCAGAGGCCCGTGCATAATTACAGGCGAGTGCCCATCAATGCAGGGCGCATACAGTGAGCGCAGAGAGTGTGCGCTCGTAGAGAGTGCGGGGGATTTCCTACTCCATATTATCCATCCACCCAACCACCAACCACCAACCAACCACCAAAACATCTCATCTCATCCCATCTCAACTATTGTGCCACCGCGCCTAATTCCCTATCCAGAACGTTACCTTGCTGTCCCCCTTTGGAACGGCCCTGTACTAGTCCATCCGAGCCGCCAAGTTGCTCCTCGCCCTCTCCGTCGCTTTCTCAAGGGATATACACCAGTTACTTCCCCAGGAAAGCCCTCAAAGGTTCTTTCGCAACACCCATCATCATCTTCAGCTACCCACCGCTCGCGCCGCCTCGGCTTCTCCTGCCTCAGACTGACACCTCGCCCGTCGATCAGCTCGTGGGGTTCGTGCTGGTCGACACACCCTACCATTCTACGCACTTGTCCTTTGTCTCGACCTACAATGCGGGCGCTCTCATAGCCTGAACGTGCCCGCCAAGGTTTGCCATGAGTCTGGAAGCCAAAGAGGCCTCGACTGCAAGTGGTTCCAATGCCGCCGACCGTGTCGTCAAGAAGAGAGCTTCGCAAGCCTGCCACCACTGCAGGACCCGCAAGGTGAAATGCGACCTGGTCAAATCCGGCGTCCCTTGCCACAACTGCTCCTCGGATGGCATTGAATGTGTCATCCTCGAATCGAGACGGAGCAGGAAGTACCGTCTTCAGAAGCGCCAGGCGAGTCGCCCCGTTGCACTCCCGGCCATCTCTCAGGCGCAGCCAAAGACCACCTCCGAGCCACCTGCTACAAGCTCGCAACTCCCCGGTGGTTCACCTGATGCAGCTCCAGCACTCGAAGTCGCTGGCCCAGGCCAATCGAATCATGGTAAGACCTCCGAGATGGCTGCGCTGTCGGCCAACGCGTTAGTGACCCAAGAACCCTCTGTAGTGCACCCCCTCGTACCACGCAACTTTCAGACCGCTCTTGTCGTCCCCCGAAATGACAGTCAGGGCCCCCCGACTCAAGCAGGTACTGCTTCTAATGCCTCCGTCGTGGGAGCCGTCACCACTGATTTGCCGCCGTACATCCGCCCTTCTCGTCCGGATATTCGGCAGGACGACTTGGAGTTCCTGCGTCGCCGGGGGGCTTTGAGCTTGCCCTTCGGTGAGCTCCATGATCAGCTGATTCGATCTTTTGTGCTATACGTGCACCCGTTCATGCCGATCGTGGATCTTGAAGATTTTCTGGGTGCCCTAGACGACAAAGATGGCTCTCCGAAAATCAGCCTTGTCGTCTTCCAAGCCATACTGTTCTCGGGTACTGCATTTGTCGAATTACCACTTCTCCAAGAAGCAGGCTACGAAAGTCGGAGAGCTGCAAGAGCAGATTTCTACCAAAAGGTCAAGGTGAGTGGTCGGAATTCACGACTCGCAGGGCATCGTTGATCTTCTAACCCATCCAGCTACTCTACGATTTCGACTGGGACACAGACCGGATTGCCCTGATCCAAGCATTGCTCCTACTAAACTACTGGTATGTTTCGGAGAACGACCAAAAGGACCCCTGGCATTGGCTTGGCGTCTGCATTTCCCTTGCCACCAGCATTGGGCTGAATCAGCCCTTCACTCATGCGCAGAAGGATCCCAAAACTAGAGCTTTGTGGAGACGAATATGGTGGAGTTGCGTACACCGGGACAGAATCATCTCGATCAGTATGCGAAGACCAATGCGAATCAAGGATGAGGACATCAGATTGCCACCTTTGAGATTGGACGACTTCGAAACCGGGCCTATCCGCTCAGCTATCTTGTCCCTTCAAGGCAATGCCTTTCTCACGGATAGATATGTGAGATCCATGTTGGCTGACATGTATATCGCAAAGCTCAAACTGCTACTCTTCATTGGACAGATCCTCAAACACTTCTACCATCTGCGTGGCTTTGGTGGCTCCACAGCCGAGTCCACCATGCTTTATACTCCCAGAAGATCTGAGGTCAATGGGAAGCAATATCTGGATCTGCAACATGACCTTGATCAGTGGTACAGAGAGCTCCCTCCCAGTTGTTGGCTGGTAACGAGCAGCAGCAGCGTTGATCTCGATCCTTCAACTGCAGATTCTCTTCTCATGCACCGGTCAACATTGAGAATGCTCTACCTGATGGCATCTGAAGCTCTCAATCGCCCTCAGTCATTATCCAAGCGACCAAGTGGCTCGGAGAATAGCCCGACATCAAAGGTGAAAGAAGCGGCAGAGAAGATCGCCGAAATGACCGAATCTCTCCAAGAGCGAGACCTAGTCAGATTTCTCCCACCACTGTCGGTGAGTTTTATGCTGCTCGCCCTTGCCTCCTTCCTGGTGGATATCAAAACGAAGGGGCAAAACGTCGGAGCCCTTCCAGGACACCAATTTCATGTTTGTATCCGAGCACTACTACGCTTGCGAGAAATCTGGCCAATTGCCGATGCTGCCTGCTTTCTGATCGGACAGATGATTACCAAGCATCAAGTCGGCAAGGTTTCGACGCCTGGTGCTCAGCCCGCACCTATGGATGCAAGTAATGCTCCGTCAAACGTATGGCGACCACCTGAAATGCCCCAGGAAAATACACCTGCTATTCCTCAATTTGAGCAAATACCTGGAGCGGAAATGCCCTTCAGTTCTGCCGATATAAGCGAGCCAGCACCGTTCGGCACTCAACCAGAGGTGGTCTCCACTACGTCCCAGGGGTTCGTTATACCCTACAATTGGTCAGACGAGGACTTCGAAGGCGACTATGGGGTCATGGTTGAGGCACACGCATTGAATATGGATCTTGCCATGCCGGACGCAGAGGTTTTGGGTTTCTTTGGCAACGGTATGTTTGACTTTGAACCATCGCCGCACCATGATCAGGCTGGACAAGACGGCATGTCGTATGCTTCGCAGCGACCTTCGGTCTGCGAGGCTTGGATTCCAACGGTCGCCAATCAGTATATGGACGCTTTTCGTACGCCAAGGTCGATCTAAGGATTCGTTCTGGCGGCTTGGACAATTTCCGATGGACATTCAAGGCATCACTGCTCAAGTCCTGCAAGTGCGACGTCGTTATGAGAACTACAGTTGTCATGTGCGAAGAAAAAGCTGTGAGAAGCCTCGGTATGCCCTTACGAAACACCGTCAACAGTTCTCACCCAGTAAACTGGCCAATCTTCAATCTCCTACATTTGTAGGTAATGGGGCGAAGTCAAAGAAACAGATGGATATTCGTCTCCCTCGACAATGAATCCGACTGGTCCGCCTGCGCCATGGTGTTTACACAGCAAAATAACCGGCGCAGATGTTGGAAGACGACTTGAGATAGACGTGTGATACTTCGTTGCAAGACCCAAAGTCTGGCGATTGGTCTTCGAGATTGTCAATGCTAAGGAGAGTGACAGGACACTAGTATCTGACATGGGGAAGTGCCATGGCGGGCCTAAGGGTTGACGCCCGGAGCAAGGTTGCGGCTGTCACTACACTGCGCATGCCTACTGCAATAACAACTGCGACGGGCATTTTTGACGCAGTTGTTCCTTTCTCAACAATGGCGACGTCTCAGAACGGGAGTATGACACTACACTTTTGTGCGGTCTGCCCCGGCCGGTCCAAAGACTGCCTTTCTCCTGCCTTCCGACTCTGGGCACGAGGTCGTTTTGGGCAGGCTGTATATACTCGGTGGCTTCCAAGGAATCCAGACATCGAAGAGACCAACCGGTTCGACGTCGGACGCCGACCGAACTCGGGCTTCGGGGTCGACACTATAGCGCGGACTTGGGGGGAGACGTCAAGGGGGACCCGCCGCCAGCGCAGCGCGAAGCACCGGGTCGACAAAATCGCATGGGATGATTTGAGGATACCCGCCACCCATCCATTCATGGATGGCCATTTACTTCTCAGAGGTAATCAAAATCGTCTTTCTATAATAGTTGTTGTTGCTTGTTGTTGTTGTGTATAGGCACACCTTCGAGGCCGTGCCTCGTTCGTCACTTGAACCGTCGAGCAATTCAGTTCTATTCCTATCCCACCGAGCCCTCGTCTTCTCCTTCTCCTTCTTCTCTTTGTATATTTAGGGCCACCTGCCTGCCTGCCCGCCTGCCTGCCTGCCTGCCATTCTCTCAAGGAAACCGGGGGGAGGTATGAGGATGCCGTTGACCCATAAACACGACAGTTCAGTTAGTTCCATCCGCGGCGGTTCCCGAAATCAATCAAAGACGCGGCGAGGACTGTGTAACCCGTCGCACACAGATATCACGCGGGAGGGGAAGGGCAGGGGAGTTTGTGGACTCTTCTACACAGCCACACACGCGCACTCAAGGAGGGAGGGAGGGAGAGAGAGACAGAGACAGAGGCAGGGACATGTTTTCGCTCTAGTTCTCCTCATTCATCGCAACACGCACTGTATTTTTTTTATATAAAAGGCAATTCATTCGTCGTTCTTCGTCGCCGTCTTGAGATGCCGCGGGAATGGTATTTTGTAGAGCTTGCTCTTCAGCCGTCTAGTCCTCGCCTCGGCCTGGGTCTCGATTATACCACGCCCACTCGTAGCCTCTCTCGTTCGTCTCCTTTCTCCTTGCTCTCTCCACGGTGCAGAAAAGAAGGGATCGGTAGCGCGCTTGGATCCGAGAGACCAGGGGAGGTTGGAAGGCGGCATACCATCCACGCTGCAGCCCCTATTGACAAAGCATTGCAGCTCCGTTCCCTTCAGCATCCAACAGGGCGAAGCCCGCGAAGGATCGACCGCCCCTATTCTCTCGTCCCAACGTCTTCCTCCATCCTATCCCTCCTGCTCGGTAGATTGAGGCTTTGGACTCGTCAGACACCCAGAACCACTCGCCCTCCGAAGTTGAGCTCCCCACATTTCATCACTATTTTGCTGGCTCACTATCTTGGACCCAGCTTCTCGAGTATTCGGGGCCCTTGCTCCTCCCACTCTTGCTTGGAGATCCACATGTTCTCCTTGTCTGCCATGATATTGGCCAGGACGGCGCCGCCCAAGAACACCATGTGTCTTCTCCTGGGGGGATCCTCGATTCGCACCTTGAATTTGTTCAGCCGTTCTGGATTCCCGCCCAGCACGCGGGTGAGCCAGAGTTGCTTCAGTTCCTTCTCCAAGCGTGACGGGAGGCCAGGGTACATGCTGCTGCCGCCGGAGAGGACAATAGCTTTGTACAGAGAAGAGCGAACGTCCACATCGGCAGATTGGATTGTGTTGAACAGAAATTCGGCGATGCCGGGTTGTTCAACGTCGACCAGGTGTGGCTGGAAGAGACACTCGGGGGCTTCGAAGCGTTCGCTGCCTACGCGGATCACGCGGCCGTCTGGTAATGTGTACGACTCGACCAGGACGGTCGTTTCTTCTGACAGACGTTGGTCAAGCGTCAGGTCATATGAGACGTAGCATAGCTTCTCCTTGATCTGACGCACAGTTTCGAAGTCGGCGGTACGATTGAGTGCGTAGCCTCGTCGCAAGAGGAGAGCAATGAGGTTCCGGGTCACGTCACGGCCTGCGACGTCTAGGCGGCGGGTGAGGTGGTTGAGGACGGTGGATTCGTAGACGGGGACGATATGCGTGACGCCGTCGCCGGAATCGACGACCACGCCGGAGGAGAGGCCTTGTGCGTAGAGCGCCAACACGGCTTGGATGGCGACGTATACCCCGCCGAAGCCGTAACGCTCGAACATGACCTCGCACATCTGCTCTCGGTTCTTGAGCGGGTTCATCGGTGGTTCAGTCAACAGGATCTTGCGACCCCTGGGGTCGATCTTTAATTTCTCGAAGAATGTAAAGTCCCAGAGATGTTGCATGTCGTCCCATTTCTTGACGATGCCGTTTTCCATCTGTACCTCAGTTCGTTCTTGGGTCAGCCATTTCCCGACTTTACCGGCATGGAGAAATCCTTTGCTGGGGCCTCGGAGAATGTCCTCACAGGATAGCTTATTTGTAGCATCGATCTTGCTGCAGCGGCCTCATCTCCACACATAATGTCCTTGACCACGATATCTCCTGCCCGTTCTTCCGACCGCAGAATCGGTCGCCCGACTATGGAGGGGAATTGATGTTCAGGGAAGTTCTGTGAGGTCGCTGGTTAGGTTTCGGGGTCACCAAGAAGCACGGATGAGGCCATGGGCAAACGTACTTGAGCCGCATAGCCGACCTTGAGGAAACCGGTACCCCCATCGAGGACTATGGTGCCTGTGTCAGCAGGAGGTCAATGCAATGTGGGTTGGCGAGGGGTCTTACCGATGGGTGGTTCGGCCATTTTGGGAGGAAGCGTGAGGCCTGTATGAGCTCAAGGCCTCTCAGCGAGTGGGATGGAAGAGGATAGAGGAAGGAGAGGCGGGCAAAACAGAGGTCCAGAATCGTTGTCGAGCCTGCATGCCACTTCTGCCGACGCAAGCAAGCGACGTAGGCGCAATTGAGGTGAAGTGACGGCACTGTGCTCGCAGCCTACCGTAATGCCAAGAGCCCTCCTTAGTCAGCGTGCAACCCCTCCATACGTCAAAAAGGGGGACGCGAGGCTGGGCGAGGCTGAAAAGATAGCCTTCGTTGCTGCCAGCAAGTTTCCTGACTGAACATCTACCATAAATATCTAATCTTCTGGTTCAGAGTACTCTCGAGCTGAGTCGAAACTAAGTGACACATCCTGGCACAGGATACAGACTACTCCAGCGGTGCCGAAGCGTCCTCGATTATGACGAGGTGGCCGATTTATCGACATATAGCAAACAGTGCGGATGCAGGACAGTGTCGCTATTCGTAAGGGCATACGAGATACTCCCTATCAATAAAGGCCATCGCCGTCTCCAGACTCCGGCCGGTCACAATCTCACGGCAAACATAGTTTAATACGCTCCACCGTTCCTCCATACGTTGTGCTCAATGTCGAGGTCGCCTTCTTCTGCAGACCGATCTCTGCCATTTGATGGTCTCTGCCTGGCAATGGCACAAACCGAGAGAAAATACTTTACAAGTCAGATACACCTCTGTCGATGATGATGTCGACCTGATTCAGCCCATCCGGAAGTCTGCTGGACATCGGTCCTGGCCTGCTCACTGTCCCATTCAATGTCAGCGGTGCAAAGGGCCGTAGACATTAGGTCAGGGTCCAGCTCCGTCTGAAATTGGCGAGGTAATGCGAGGTCCTGTGTCTGCGTCGTCGGGTCATACAATATTCCTTTTGTGATTGAAAACGCCTCGTCGTGCCTTGGCTCACCCTCGCGAGTGTGACGTAGATTGTGATCTCCGCAAAGTCTTCCAGTTCCCCAAGATGACTGTGGGGTAGCGACGACCAGAGTTTCGGACAAGCACGCCAGGCGAGCCATTGAGCCATACTATCTGTACTTCTCTCGAGATGGGCGACATGCTGTGCTCCCTTGGTCCGCGGCTCATTCGTCTACCACACTCATATAGCCCTCGGTAAGCCCGGTACCTGCATGTGCCCGATATACCTGAAACAGCACGTCTCTTCTCGCGAAGAAAAAAGAAAACACCCCCCAGTCCTCTGGTTAGCATTCTGAGAATATGGACCCCTCACCTACATCCAGTGGTGGAAAACTACATCTCCTTTTCGTCCGCCACGGCGAGACGCAAGATAACATCGACCGGATCCTTCAGGGCTTGCGGGATACCAGCCTGACAGAGAAGGGGCACAGAGAAGCACGGGTCCTGGCAGACAAGCTCCGCGGCCAGAACATCGACGCCGTGTATCACTCGCCCCTGATTCGGATTGTCCAGACGATCACGCCCATCCTCGCAGACCGCCCAAATGTCCAGGTCTACGCGGACCGCGATCTGACGGGACAGGCGCTCGGGGAGCTCGAGGGCGGCTCGTACGACTCGATCGATATGGGCAACCCGAGGAGCGCCGACGGGGGACCGGGCGTGGAGCTCTTTGACGATTTCGTGAGACGGCTCAAGCGAGCCTTCGGACGCATCATCGGCGCCGAGGCCCAGCAGGTCGGCGAGCAGGATCGAACCGTCGTGGTTGCGACGCATGGAGTCGGCATCACGTCGATTTTCAAGACCCTCGAGGCCAGCCCGTCGTGTGATGGATTCAACCCCAAGATGGCCATTCGGGGTCCGGACGCCTTCGAGGTCAGATGGACCGACAGTGACGATGTAGCGAGACTCGTCGTCCCCGAGCCGGCGCAGCTACCCATCAAAGACGGCGTGTTGGAGTGGTCTTCGATTTCTGGCGAACCATTCTTGATCGAGGTTTGGGGCAAGAAAGAGAAGGCATTATGAGCAACTCATCGATAGATTGCCGGCTCAACGCACGAAAGGCGGTTGTTAGAGAAGCGGTGGACGAGCAACGAGTCTCCGATTTGCTTAGAGGTCGACCCTGGTTAGAAATCTTTGCTGACGATAGAACATCCTGGACATCATCCCTAATTCCAGCGTTTGACCAGCCTGGTTCGCAGGTTTTGCGTCAACCGAAAACACATGCCTACCAGCTCCAACGCGGTCAGAGAGATCAAGACAAGAAAACATAAACCAATGACAATCAATCTATTGCGCCGTATCATCATTCATGTCTCATGGCCTCATCCAAATCGTAACCCGATTCCCAACATTGTCATATCCCGACTCTTGTGACTAGTATTCGAAAATGTCTATGCGCGACTCAACCCTATCATATCGCTAAGGGGCACGCGGGAACGAACCACTTCAAGATTTCCTCCAACTGATACCCTGTTTTCCTTTCGCTCGGAATCTCTTGATGTGTCATTCTGAGCCCGAAATTTGGTTGCAATGTGGTGCTTTGCAAATGCCACGCTTAATCCACGAACAGATGTGCTCACCCAACTTCTCGACATGCTGCTTTCAGGTCTGACCAGCTCTCCTCAGACACCCATGATGTCCTCAACCAGGTCCGCGCCGAAATTTCCCACGGTTGTACGAGTCTTTTCTGGCTTCTTCCTGTACTTCTTCATAGGGTCCGCCGATTTGGACGGGCTTCTAGACTCCTGCCACGCCGCAAAACGATGCGTCAGCACATCGCGAACCGCAACAAGAAGTTCTTCTTGCACTCCGAAGCATGAGACGAGGAAAGACACGAGAAACGCCGAAATGACGAAATCAGTAGTCGCTGGCACGACTGCGACTCACCGCACGTCGAGACCTGGATCTCCTGCTATCGTAATCGTCGAAATCCCCATCTTCTTCGTACATCTTTCTCGCTCGATTCGAGTCTCTGATGGCTCGGTCATCGTCGTAATGGCCCGCTGGCCTGCCACTAGAATGGCTTCCACGGTAACTTTCACTGTTTTGTGGCTCAGGGCCGTCGTAGTACCAATTGCCGTCTCGTCCCTTGTAGTATCCTCCCCGTTCCCTTGCCCGCTTGCGTCTCTCGCGCTCCATACGCTTTCTGTGGTGCTCTTCTTTCGCAGAGAGAAGCTCCTTGTGTTGATTGTGCTCCTCGGACAGTTCATTCCACTCGCTCACCGCACCTTTGAGACCCAATGCGGCGATTCCAATGGCGGCAGCATCTTGCCAGCGGGAGGCGCGTTGTTGTTTGTGAGCTTCCTCTGGAGACATTTTGCCCTCGCGGACTTTTTCCATTCGCTTATCGTGCGACTCGATAGAAGAATAGACCTTTGAGGCGGCGTGGATTGTGGCCACGCTTGCTAGGGCGGCTGTGAGCCATTTTTTGCGTTGCATCTTGCGAATGTTCTTCTCTTCCTCGGTGGAAGAGAGCAGCGAGGACGAAGAGGAGCTTGAGGAGCTTCGACGGCGGCGGGAGCGACCAGAGGAGGACTTTGCTCGCACGCGCGATCGTGGAGGTACCGAGCCTTCGGAGTCATAGTAATTGTCTCTATCACGATCTCGGTCGCGGTGGGCAACAAGCGCACCTGCACCTGCACCCGCGGCCGCACCTGCACCGATATCTCGACCAGTGTGCATGGAGCTGGCTCTCTGTCGTTGACCAGACCGACCAGGCCGACGGGGTAGAACGTCCCCTTTGTGCCTCACCACTTCCACGATCTCTTCGTCCGAGGCAACATCCCGCCGACGGCGCAGGACGAGGCCCTTCTCTTCCATTGTCCTTCTGTCGTAGAGATCGGGATCTGGTTGAGGAACTTGGCCACGAATTTTCTTGTATCTGCGGTGGATAGGGTCGATAACCTTGTCCTGGTGTGTGATGGCGAGGTTGACGCCGTTGAGGCCTAAACCCAGAGCCTGATCCATTTTGAAAGCGGCCGGGCGTTACACGCGGCTGTCGTCGTGGGTCGGCAATGCACCTCGCGCAGTGTCTAGAGATTGGGACTGGTTCGCCGGGTCTCAGGACGCCTTGCAGCAGCCAGCCGCCCGACTTGTATAGTGCTGCAGCGGAGGTTTCGGTGCACAAAGACACGGGATTGCAAGGATAAATTGGCCTATTAGTTGACCGAGACGCAATCTCCGTATTTGATTGGGCGCAGATCGGACGGGTTTTAATGAAGAGCAAACATATCGCAGGGACACAGTTGAAAGGCTTGGTCTATATCGCAGGTTGCGAAGCTCGCACAGAGAACCAGGGTTGCGCTAAAGACTGCAGGCACAGGAGGCACCACAAGCAAATAAGTAGAAACGCGCAGGGTGTCTATAGGCAAGACGTCATTGTGTAGCAACTACACCGACTTTAAAGAAGTCCATTGGGCTGTTTTGGAGGTGCTCGAATTCAACTGGACGGAAGGATGAAAAGAAGACTGAATTGAGGGCACACATTGGTCATGGGGGCTCGTATTTAACGGCGGACTGGACGGGTCGGCAGATGGGGCCGCGTCGACGGACACCGCAGAATGCTTGTTTTGGCCCAGGAGTGCCATGTTACTGCAATGGCAGATGCTACGAGTACAGGACGAGAATGCCATTTCTGCGAAGGCCCACTCTCGAGGTTGGGGAGGTGTGAGGATCAGAGATGGACGATCCCGGATCAACCCAGAGGGAAAAGGGACGCCCAAGCTTTGCTAAGATCGCTTCACATCTGGCGATCGACAGCATCAACGGGCGGAGGCAGTTGATACCTGAAACGGAAGCAACGAGGAAACGCCGGGAGGCAGATGGGTCGAACAAGGGGCGGTTGAGCGTTTTTCTCTCACCGGCGACTTGAACGGGGCAGAGGGGAGAAGAGGGAATGGCTGCTTGTCGCCTCCCAAGGGCGAGGGAGCCACTCAGCACGACGGGAAGAGGAAGACGAGAACAGGGGAGCAGGCGGAGAGAAGAAGGACGAAGGAACAAGGGGCCCAAAGGGAAGAGGCTGGCTCCGAGTCGCAGGTGGTACGCATAACGGCTGGCACAAAAAGGATGAGAGCGAAGAGGCGGGGGGAATTCTCCTTAGTTGCATGACGTCGGTCGGGCTTCTCTGGGCCTCCGTGGTGGCACCCAGCGGCCCTCCCGCCCATCAGGTACCTGGGGTTCTAGCTTAGGGGTGGCCGAGGAGTACGTGTCCACCTCTCAGAGCAAGCCCACAGGCACCACACAGACATTGGCACAGGCACAAGCACCAACAACCTAGGGCCTAGTAAGAAGCCATTGCTGTTGCCCATTGGTAATAGTGGCAGCTTTCTCCTCCTTTTGCGGTTAGTCCTTCAACCACGCCAAACGACAGACGACGTCATCGACTCTCAACCATCCTCTGAGGCAGCCTTTTTACAGCCACTGCGTTGCACCACGGGGTGGACTTTGTGAGAGTTGACGAGTAGAGAAAGAATGTCCGCTCAAAGGTAACAAGAGTCCTCAGAGAATGTCTTCTCGGGCCTGTCAATTGTCAGTTTCGAGCAATCAATTTTAGCACATCTTCGGCACAACAACAGTCAATGAGAGCGGCTGAGTTGCAATTTGACATCCGTGCTGTCGAGGTATTCCCTCCCACAAAAACAAAAACCCTGTGTCGGATCGCGTGAGCTCAACATGCTTTGCGACATGACATTTTTCTCAAAACTAAACTTGCAATGCCGCCAATACCCGCGGGCAGATACATATGTGCTATTGGCAAGAATCCACACCCTCTGCCGAGCACCGCAGAATAACAAGGAACGACAGACAATCATAGTTCACCATGACTGACGGTGTCGGTCGAAGTAGCATTTTGCGGTCCCTTGAAGACGTCTCCACTCAAGATTTGTCCCCAGGACTTCTTCACTTCTTCAAAGGCCACGTCGAATCGGGCTCCCGCAAACCACGCAACCGCAACCTAGTGTCATGTTAGCGCTAATTGCCGCAAAGAGAACAAGAACTCGCTCACCATAGTAGCAGTAATGAAGAGCAGCATCAGGACCACAGCGCCGAACAGCGCAAGCGTCTCCTTTGATCCCCTCGAATCCGCTGCTTCCTTTTCCTTCTGAGCCAGGGCCGCACGAGCCTCGTCGGCCTTGTTCTTGGCCATAATATCCTCCACCTTCTGGGACGGGAATATTGACTCGATGAACTGCTCCACCTTGCCACATGCAATACTGATTTTCAAAAAGTTGGGGTCCTGCGGCCGATTTTTCTTGCGGATGGAATGGATGTGTCGGCGAAACACTTCGCACGCCACCTGGAGGTTTTGCGTCGATTCGATCATGATCTGACAAGCTTCACCCTTTGTGATTTTAACGTTGCGGAGAAACATGGGGTAGTTCCTGAAGCAGAGATCCAACGTCGCAATCGCCATGGTCTGCGGGATCGCGCAAAAGTTGAAGACGCTCTGCTCCCTAAGCCCTGCCATGTAGAAAAGACATTCATCAGCATGGTTGAGCGCATTCAACACCATCTCCGCACTGCAATTTAGTGCCTGCTCCTTGTACTCGGGCTTGAAGAGATCTTCAAACTGGTCGACGTGTTTGGACCAGATCTCCTTCGGCCAGAATATCCTGTGGTCGTCGAAATCCTCTCGCACATCTCGGATGATATTGGTCTTTTGCAGGAAAATCCCCATTGAGTTGTGAAGGTTGGGTCTGTCTAGCAGAACCGGGTTCCCGAACTTGCTCTCCACAAACATTCTCGTCAGTCCCTCACCAACTAATCCCGCCACATAGTAACAGTATTGGTCGTATTCGGCGCAGGTGATGACGGCAAACTGGTTGTTCTCGGATTTCACGCAGTAGTCGGCCATTCCATTGCCCATCCTCTTTGCGATATCCTTGATGATAACTTGGTAGGCCGGTTTTGTCTTTTTGAACTCTTCAATAACACATCCATAATTGAGCAGCAGTTCGCGATCCTTCTCTTCTGGCCTGTTTTCAGTGTATGTCCATCCATCAATGTCAAGAACCTCGTCGAAGTTGCGCAGGACTGGCTCCTTCTTCTTTACGGGGATCGAGGTATCATCTTCGATGGTGTCCAAGCCGCGCAGAACAAGGTAGAACAGTGTGACGGGAAGCAAAAGCTCTGGGTGTAGCTCTTGAATCACCGCGCTGAAGGAGCGACTGGTCAGGTTCAGATATTTGAAGCATTGCTTGGTGGCTTCAGTTTCTTTGGATTCATCTCGTTCGTGGACAGCATTGTGCCAGACTTTCCTAGGTAGGTGTCAGTTGTCACACGCAATGCGAACACCTTGCTCAACTCACCATTGAATGATGGAGCGCAATTGCTGGGGATGGAGAAGGTAAAACACAACTTCGCTGGCTTTGACCATTGCGACGAATATTTGGGTCCTATGCAGTTTTCAAGTCGACCTGTGGACAGCTCCCCTTGTTCCTAGCTGGCCGTTGAACACTCCAGACGAATGGAGTACACTAAGTGATAACGAGCGACCATGATCGAGAAGAGAAAAAGGGGAGACGAGTTTTTGTTAACTACCCGCGCTCGACGTGAACTAGACCATCGTGCTTTTTGTGTGTGGAGGTTAGCATATCCGAATGGCACGATCCTTACCCGAGGATTCATCTAACAGCAGGAGAAGCGATGCCGAATCAGCTCTAGGTAGCTTTCCCGAATCACCTTGGGGCCCCTAAAGCCTAGGTTGCCCGGTGCGTCCTAGCCACAGTGGCACCCAAGTGGCTTAGCTACAGGCATCACTTGGTCTACCTATGACTTCACCCCCCCCTTTGCTGAATTTCGTGCTTGCGGCGACCAACGGGTACGGCGGCCTTCACGAGCCCAAAGGCTGCGATATAAATCGTACACGTCTCCATCCCATGCCAGCCGGCGCGTCAGCCAAACCTCCCATCCATCTCAGCCCGAAATTGCGCCTGCCACAATGGTTGTCGACACTTCCTACTACGACGCTCTAGGCGTCAAACCAGATGCTTCCGAATTGGAAATCAAGAAGGCCTACAGGAAGCTCGCCATCACCACACACCCTGACAAAAACCCCGGCGATGAATCTGCACACGCTCGCTTCCAAGCCGTCGGCGAAGCCTACCAAGTCCTATCGAACAAGGACACCCGTGCCGCTTATGATAAATATGGCAAGGAAAAAGCCATGCCCAGCCAAGGCTTTGAGGATCCCGCTGAGTTTTTCAGTATGATTTTTGGCGGTGATGCCTTTGTTGACCTCATCGGCGAACTGAGCCTTCTGAAGGATCTTACGCATACTATGGACATCACAATGCAGGCCATGGAGGAAGAAGAACTTTCTAAAAATGCGGAAGAGAAGCTGAACATCCATGAATCAAAGGAAAAAGAGGCGACCGCTGCGAGCATGGATGCAAAGGAACCCGAAGCAAAAGCACATTCCGCACAAGAGGGGACCACTGTACCGCCTCCACCATATATCTCCGGGGAGGAGCCATCGACGTCCACTGGCAGATCATCGGGGACTAGCACCCCGCAGAGAAGATACGCTGGCCAGCAAGCCATCATGGATCGATCAGAAGAAGATGCGCGAATGGATGCCGCGGGCTTGACTCAGGAAGAGAAAGACCTGCAGAAGAAGAAGAAGAAAGGTGGCCTGACCTCAGAGCAGCGGAAGAAGTTAGAAGCCTACGAACGCGAGAGACGACGCCTGCGAGAAGAACGAGTCGAGACTCTTGCAAAGAAACTGATCGATCGTATCAGCGTGTGGACAGAAACGGACAAGGGCCCCGAAGTCACGAATGCGTTCCAGCAAAAGATCCAACTCGAGGTTGAAAATCTCAAAATGGAGTCCTTCGGTATTGAAATTCTCCACGCTGTCGGTCAGACATACATACAAAAGGCCGTTTCGTTCCTCAAATCGCAGAAATTCCTCGGCATCTCAGGCTTCTTCTCCCGTCTAAAAGACAAAGGCACCCTTGCAAAAGACACATGGAACACGATCTCTTCAGCCATCGACGCCCAACTAACGATGGAAGAAATGGCTAAATTGGAAGAAAAGGGTGGTGCTGATTGGACGGATGAGAAGAAGGCAGAGTACGAGAGGAAAGTCACTGGGAAGATCCTTGCGGCTGCATGGAGAGGATCGAGATTCGAGATTCAGGGCGTGTTGAGGGACGTGTGTGACAGGATTCTGAACGATAAGAACGTCAGATTGGAGAAGAGGATAGAAAGAGCCCATGCGTTGAACATATGCGGGGCTATCTATCAAAGGGTGAGTCTCCTTCTATGCCTGCGGTGGCGGATATCTCAATCTCACAATGATTTTGCTAATGATGTGTTATTGCAGGCTGAACGCGATCCCGATGAGGAAGGCGACTTCATGGCCTTTGAGCAACTCATGGCCGAATCCATGAAAAAACAAGAAAAGAAAAAGGAAAAAGAGAAACAGAAAGACAGCACCCAGGGCGATCAATCGCATAGACACTTCTTTGGAGGCAGCCGGGAGCCCACCGCCGGTGGATCACCGAGACAGTCAACGTCCGCGTGAGTGTGATGAGGAACAGCGCCAACGTTCCCTGGGCAGACCAAGGAGCGATTGTGGGCCAGATTTCCGAGAGTTGTTTGACTCTGATGAGCTGTCGATTTGATCATCTACCAACAATCTATTGTGCGTGGAATGGGTTTTCCTTGCTCAGACCTTCGAGGCACGAATGCATTGCAACAAAGCTCTTCTCCACCACCACCACTACTACTAGGGTAATTACGACCTGCGCGTCTGGATCCTGGAGGACGGGACCAAAGGCGACGAATGGCTAGGATAGGATCGGACAGGATACAGGCAGGGAAAGCGTTGCTGTTAGTCTTATGTTGAACCATCGCAGCTTGATTCGCAGAATAGATACCAAATGGCTTCTTTTCCTTCTTCTCCATGTTCCTTGCCCTTCTCGCTAGAACGCCTTGCTTCGAGAATGCTTGCCTGGGTACATATGGTTAGAATCCTGTGCCAATGCTTCAGTATCCCTTTGAACCAGGACACTCGCCACTCGACAAACACGGGGAAATAGTCCCAGTCCTAGGGAGCCTTTCCTCTGCGGGTTTCTGAAAGAAGGTGATAGAGGGTGGCGACACCTTTTCTTTTTTCTTCTCTCTCTTCTGTACCTATATTGATCGATTACCTAGTCTTTCTCCTCTACAGCTTTCTTCGACCATTATCATTCGTCACCAGGAGTTTTATATAGCCGGCCCCGATTTTGTAAGGCAAGGTCTTTTGTCTCTCCTCTGTGCCGCATCAACAACAAAGCGAAAACTCGGCGATGATAGGGGGGTATCATTTTGTACACAATAGGGAACAACCGCAGATTCCCACGTCTTATCCTCACCACCACGCGAAACTCCCGCCACAACAAAAGAAAACAGCAATCTCTTCACGTACTCCCCGCTTCCAATGCAGTCTGGGTCATTATGTCGTAAAGGAAGAAACTTTGTCTTCCGTGGATCCAGTCCAAAGGTTTCAAGACGCCAATCTAGATCTCCTCCAACTGCGCGCTGACAGAATCCAATATATCGGACAACTCATCCAGCGAAGGCATGGCTGTGACGTCGCTGGCAATTATCGTTGGAGGTGGCCTGGCTCCCCAAAGTTGGGCCTCGTCCAAGTTCGCCTTGGTGATGCTGGGGCTCAAAAGCCCTTGTCTTGCCTCCTGTTCTTCCACGCCGTTCACCAACCCCATTTCATCCAGTTCATCATCGTTCAAAACTCTCCCGCCAAGCTTCACATCTCCTATACCCACTCTGTAGTCTAATGCCTTGTTTCCTTCTTTGATTAGCTCTTCCGAACAGGTGAGACAGCGTTTTATGCTTTGACTGAGTTTCTGGAAATCGATAAGAAGTTGTTGATGGCGCGAGAGATCTTGCATCAGTCGCTTCTCGTCTCTCGCACGCTGGCGTGATTGGATGGAAGGACTTAGCATGGAACCTGAATCGTTGGATAGCATAGAGCCATCTTCGTCTTCGAGATCGTCCAGATCGCTGTCATCATCGTCGGAAAATTGACGATCTTCATCGTCAAACTCCGTAACCGTACCGAGCGTGAAATTAGACTGTTCGGAGGTTGTCCTTGTTGTTGGCGCAAGGGATAATCTCCCTGAGCGCGATAGTCGACGATACCTTCTTAACTCTCCGGTCTGCTTGCGGAGTTCACGTTCTAACGTTTTATTGATAGCTAACAACGAGGAGTTCGAGATTTCCAAGTCGAGAACTTTGCGTTCCCGGCGGGCATTAGCAGCTTGATCCAACTGAGACTGAAAGCCGGGCGTGACCTGGTCGGGTCTCGGGTCCGAACTCGGCGCAGATGCACTGGGCGTTTTTGTGGCTTCTGAGAATTCCGTTTCGCTTGGGACAGAGGTGGGAACAGTGTTCGTTGATGCAAGGCTGATAGACCTGGGACTCAACGTTTCCGGGGACAGAAGGCTATTCCCGTGGATCCGGGGTGACACTAGAGGAGTAGGATGGAGCTCCAATGGTTGAGGCGGTTGTGCTCTAGTATTGCTCAGTTTCCTGAGAACTGACGAACTAATGGAGCTGGCGCTGATCGACTTTCGATGACCATTCGGTGCAGACTGAGACGTTGCGGTGCTGCCTGAGCTGCTTTTGGGGCGTTCGGCAGCTGTTCGAGGCCCCGGCGGAGAAGGCACCGGGCCGGACTGTAATTTTCGGGGTGATGCAGGTTCTGGAGGGACTCCTTTGTGGATTTTATTTGGGGATTGAGGCGGCGTATTTCGAAAGCCGTGTGTAGCGGCCGGACTGTTCAATCTGTCTGTTGAGAGATGAGGAAGGACGTTACGTCGGGGGGGTACGTGGGGTGTTAGATCGTTCGCCCTGAAGAATTTATCATCGAGGTTCTCCTTGCCACTTGCATTCTCCCTAGGCAGCGGAGGTGAACCGACGAAGAAGTGCCCTGGCTTTGGAGGAGGGAATCGGTGACCGTCGTCGGGCTCTGGGGATCCCACAATGGGCTTGACCTCGTCCGCGTGGAAGAACTTCGACGTGATATCTTTGTCACCCTCTACCATGCTCTTTGCGGCGGACAGCCTTCGATGGCTTGTCACAGCAGGCGTAGAACCTGAGGTGGTTGCTTTTGGCAGAGCACCTGTACTTGCAGCCAGCCGTGGGCTGGTGAGGCCGAGGCCTCGCATTGCACCGCCGGTTGGTTTCGAGGTCTCATTGCCCGACGACGCTCTTGATCTCTGGCCATTTCCTGTTCCTCGCGGCTGTGCCGGAGTCAAAGGGGACTCTGTTCCGACCCGTGACTTCCTCGCACCAGACCGAGGAGTGATATTTCCATTTAAGGGTGTTGTGGTCTGATCTGGTTTGGGGGGCGATTTTGACCTGACGAAAGGGTCCCTGCGAGAAGACAAGTTGGGAGAAGACGAGGCAGAGCCGATCACCCTTGGGGTCAATGGGCTTTTGGCCGTGCGGAAGTTTGCACTGAGAGCGGGAGTGAGTGGTTTCGAGGTATTACTCCGGGTTTGTTTATCGGTGGGCATTGTTGTCGGGAGGGGCGAACGTCGAGAACGAGAGATTGACTGTGGCTGCGGGCGGTCTCGCTCTCGCATGACAGCGACGAATGGATGTTCGAGGCCTAATAGAGACCATTATTGTCGGTTCAAGTGAGCGAGCAGGCTCTGCGTCCCTGTAGGCATTGGGTGCAGGCAGAGTCTCTCCACATGAATGTCAACAAGCTGTTTGAGATTCCAACGGCACGCTCCAGAAGGATACCGCGAAGGGTTTAGTTTGCGGGTTTTGGTTTCGTCACTGAGCGCAGGTGACTCCTCGCTAAACACGTCCACCATCACGCCCCTTCCTTGTCGCGTCCCATCCGTTCCTCGCTAATTAGACGGCAACCGCTGAACACAGCATCGCACGATATGCTGCCCGATGCCATTCCTTCGGTGTTGCGATGACACTGCATGACGAGAATGATGATCTCCTTACAAATGTCGACAAGACCACGGACAATACCCCAGATGACCCCGACGATACATCGCAGGCCCAGGAAGCCTCCCTCCTAGCATCCCAGCACCATTCCCTTAAGCACCATCTCCTTGGCCCTTCCTTGACCAAGGCCGGACAGGATGCGGTCGATCAGAAAAAGGTCTCTGAGATCATATACGAGGCCTCCAAAGGCTCCAAGTTCTTCAACAATGAAGAAGTCAAGGACAGAAACTTGACTCTAAAAATCGAGCGAATTCTCAAACAGAAGGCACAACTGGAGAAGCTCGACCTCAAGACGGATCTTCGCCGGGCAGATGACTACATTGCATCCCTCGAACTGGCCAGAGACCTGTCACAGTATGTCGTTCACATCGACTGCGATGCCTTCTACGCCGCGGTTGAAGAGATTGATCGACCCGAGCTCAAGACTGTTCCCATGGCCGTTGGGATGGGGGTCCTTACTACCTGTAACTACGAGGCCCGGAAATATGGTTGTCGCAGTGCAATGGCGGGATTTGTGGCGAAAAAACTATGCCCGCAGCTGATCTGTCTGCCATTGAACTTTGACAAGTACACAGCCAAGGCAAAAGAAGTAAGGGCTATCCTCGCAGAATACGACCCGCGTTTCGAGAGCTCTAGCATCGATGAAGCCTACCTGAACATCACAGAGTACTGCACCACTAACCAAATGGACCCGGAAGCTGCAATTGAGCAACTCCGGAAAGACGTACACGAGAAGTGCAAAATCACAATCTCCGCTGGTATTGCGCCCAATGCCAAATTGGCCAAGATCTGTTCCAACAAGAACAAACCAAATGGGCAGTTTCGAATCCCCAATGATCGAGCTGCCATAATGTCGTTCATGGCTACACTGCCAGTGCGCAAAGTAAACGGCGTCGGCCGTGTCTTTGAGCGAGAGCTCGATGCTATTGGTATTCAAACATGCAGCGACATCTATGCTCAGCGCGCATACCTTTACAAGCTCTTTGGGGAGAAGGCGTTCCAGTTCCTGATGCAGACCCATCTTGGCCTCGGACGCACGGTTGTACAGCCTGCTGAGGAGTATGAGCGAAAGAGCGTGGGAACAGAAAGTACATTCCGTGACATCAGCGACAAGCAACAACTTCGCGAGAAACTTCGCCACACGGCAGAAGAGCTAGCAAAAGACATGGTCCGCGTCGAAGTGAAAGGTCGGACACTGGTCCTGAAGGTCAAACTCCACACTTACGAAGTCTTCACCCGACAAGTCGCTGCTCCGAAGGCAGTCCACCTCGCAGACGATCTCTATAACTACAGCCTACCGATGCTGGTCAAACTTGAGAAGGAGATTCCGGACTTCCGGCTCCGCTTGATGGGACTACGATGCACCCATCTAGTTAGCACCAAGAAAGCGGGCAATGATTTCTTTCGCCGCAAATTCAATAGCGACAATTCCTCTACAGGAAAGCCAGCAGATGATGCAGAGTGGGAAGTCTGGCCGGACTCGGAATTCGAAGAAGCCGCTCGTCAGGAGAGACAGGAGGAGATCGAGGAGCTAGAGCGCTTGAGCCAGGAGCAGCAGCATGAACTTTCTCAAGACGAGGATCCGAATACCCCTGTACCAGGCGCCTGTGACTCCACAGCAGATTGGCACGAACCCTTTGGCAGGTACAAGTATGGCAGTGAGCCGAACTCGCCGGCGGTGTCACCACAAAGCAAGCATGGACGGGTACTGAATAAAGCTGCTGTGTCGGCTTTGAAAGAAGACCACAAGCAAAAAGCACTATGGGATTGTCCAATTTGTCAGCTCCCGCAGCCGGCAAGCGACAGGGAATTTAACAGCCACATCGATCTGTGTCTCTCGCGGCAGACGATCAAAGAGGTCGTGGCCGAGGCAAACGGATCTGCAACCGCCGCCTCGAGCAGAGCATCGCCCGATGGTTCTGTGCCAGATAGGCCGAAATCTGTTAACGGAATGAAGCCCAAGAGAAAAGTCTCCTCCAGCAATCTAATGGAGCCGGATGCGGCTGGTGGGAGAAGGCAGAAGAGACTGTTCTTCACCTGAGAGTTTACGACTGCTTTGTACACGTGCTCATGAGAAATGATGTTGATACACTAATAGACAGTTCATATTCGGACCGAGAGTCCCCTTCTCAGGAAAACATTCTTCCTGGGGTATATATGACCTCCTGCTTGGCTCTCTGGCCTAAGCCCGCAACCCGATATGTAAGGTGACATATATAGTGTAGTCCTCAACGCCTGAAGATGCAAAATTCTTCAAAGATCCTCCATGTCCAGTTTGACAGGAGCCTGGATCCTCGCTCCCCCCGTACCTGGAAGCTAAGTGCTGGCACACTCTCCCATTCAAAATCCGGTTTCAATGCATTGCCCCGTAGCCTCGTGGCGTCTTATTGAGCCACTCTTTCAAAATTTCCCACTCTGCGCCCTGCAGGATGCGACCGCCAAACATCATCAAAGATCACTGGACCTCGCAAATACAAGAGTTGGACCTGTCCGACTCATCAAAGTAAATCAACTGGCCCTCCGTCTATTGTTTGACACTCGCTCTTCATCACCTTCCTCGTCATCGTCATCATCAAACACTTTATTCTCTTCCTCTTCCTCCCTTTTCAACTGTTCTTCTCTCATCTCTCGATATGTGGCCCAACTTAACATGACAAACGCCACAACGATCAACCCGCAACCAGCGAGTGCCGCCGCACTAAGCGGTTTTCCGGTGATGATCCAGTCTGTGATGCCCACCAAAAAGATCGTGAGGAGCGCGGCAACAGAACTCAGGACCGGCGATGTGAGGGACATGAGGACGAGGAACGAGCCGGAGAAGACTGCGTTGGAGAGGGTGGAGATGGCGAGCAAGCTGGCTGCTCGACCACTGGGAATCTCGAATACTTCGAGACCAGTCCAGTGAAGGATCGGGAGAGGGATCCAGAGAACAGTCAATGTGAAAAATCCAACCATGCTGCCAAAGGTGTTTGCGAAAATCATCCCCCTGCCCGGAGAAGTGCCTTCGGGAGGACAGGCGAAGCGTTTATAAAGAACTTCATAGAAACCATACGCGACTGAGCCAATGCCAATTATGATATTTCCCAAAAGTTTTGTTCCGAATCCCTTTTCAGCACCAGGGTTTGACGTGCCAGGACCCGGCGTGCTGTCATCTTTATCACCGTAAGCGACGACAAGGACGCCAATGATGGCGAGTGCGACCGAGAGAGCCTTGTCGAAGCGCAGTTTGTCGTTGAGGAGCATTATGGAGAACACATAGGCAAAGAAGGCGGAGCAATTGTAGATCGCGGTGAGGTCGGAAGGAGAGGTCAAGTTGACAGCAACGTACCAAGATCCCCCAGCCATGGTGAGAAACGTGGTAATGAAGGCGGTGGCTTTGATCATGTAGGGCCAAGGGGAGATCAACATGGTGGACTTTGAGAGATGTAGTTCTTGAGAGCAGACCATCTGCGCTGTGGAGCGGAGGAGATAGACATGTCTTCGCCAGAACGCAGGCCACGAGAGTTTTCGTTTCTGTATTCGGAGAAAGAGGAGTTGGACTGGCCAGAGGAATATCCAGGAGCCGTGTGTCAAGTACATCATGCAGTACGCCTTGTCCCATTTCAGTTCGTGTTGAATATACACCGCCGTTTCCGTCTGGACGACAAAGGAGATGAGGGAGAGGATGAGAAAAAAGGAGGCGTAGATGTACTTCCGCCGTACCATGTCTTCGGGTTGGGCGTATGAGGGTGACCGCGAGCGAAATGTGCTCCTCCGAGACGAGGCCGCTGGTCTGGAAGAGCCATGGAGACTTGGTGATTCTGGTCGACCTCTGTTGCTTGCTTGTTTGTCTTCCCCTAGTAACGGCTCATGCGACTCTGGCCCTAGAGGCCGGTGCATTGACGTTCTCCCGTCCATTTCGTCGTCCTCTTCGTCGTCTCTAGACTCGTCATTCAGATCAAAATGCACTCCTCGAATTTGTTGTCGTTCGGCCCGGAATTCGTCCTTTATAGCTGGCGGAAGGGAGTTTAGACGTAAGGGGCTCGAAGGACGTAAATTGGCTTTGGAGGGCGCGGCGGAGGTGGAGGAGAGAGGTAGGGGCGACTCAGTCCCAGGAGGCGTGTAGATGAGATCCCCTCCAGACGAGTCGCTGCTGTCGGACGGTGTCATCCATGCGGTTGGGAGCAGGCAGGATTATAAAAGGTCACCAGATTTGGTCAGTGGTCTACAGTGGGGGGAGGACAGAATCAGGCGCAGTCGGTCTGGCAGTCGATACGTGGCGCTGTTGGGCACGGTGGGACTGCTCGTGCGCCCCTGATAGGGAGGGCTTTGACGGCGTCGATGTTCGTATGCAACCTTATCGTCAGATTCACCAGTTGTTGATAAATGAGAAGAATTGCACCATTCTCTTAAGGATTTGCGGACGTCTACGAGGTAAGGTTTCCATCATCATGTTGAACCGGAGGGCTGTGTGATTGGGGCTTCAGGCGAGGTCACTAGGCTAGTAGGCGGCGGTGGCTGTTAAGCTGGACCCTGAATCCCACCCGACTAGGCTCATTTCACTTAGGCGGTCCCCGGTTTGCCGGGCTTCCTGGGGTTCCTTATTACTCGTTCTTCGTAGCCAGCAACGACGCCCTGTAGCAGCTTTCTCTTCCCGAACTCTGGTGAGATCAGAACTGACACCCATGCACATGCCTAGGCATCTTGGTGAGGTACAGGATATCAATGTATCTTGACTATCCCAAAGAGTGTGGTTCGATGGCCTGCCGACTGCGAGGTACCGAGCAGCTTCGAAGCCCTCAAACAGACGGGGCAAACTTGCTTTCGAATTGCTTTTGTTTCTGTCCATGACCAGCTTTTGACTCCTATCGGGGACTATTGCTGCCTTGAGGCTGGAGTCCATGGATGGTAGCTCTGAATCGGCCATTGTGGTTTCAGAAGAGATCATCTCAGCTGGCAAGGTAACGAGTTCACGTCTGGTGAGATCCAGGGGTTCCAACTCCTTGATGGACATGCCAGCCACACGTCTCCGAGTCGCTCTGTCCGAATCATCGTCTGTGCAGAGGGTAATAGGATAGAGAGAGCTTCGAGTTTGCTGCAGCTTTCAACGTTTCGACTTTTGAGGGTTTTCTGCTACGATTAGGACCTGAGACAATATCAGACAGCGTGATGGCAAGGTAGGATATCACGGTGAAAATACTCCTGAAAGAACGGCCACAATGGCGAGCTGAAAAAAAAGAGCAAAAACAGTTGTCTCTGCCAGGGATGGGCTCATGTCTATAACGCTGAAGTCAATGATCACAGGCGCGCACGGCACGTGATACCGCACTTTGGGCGTTGAAGACCCTGAACGACCTTCTTCTAACCTCACCCTTCGTCTTCTCCTTCCATTTTGCCAGGTCGACTTTATCAATGCGGATCAAAGCGATGTCGACATTCTTTCTGAGTACGAGGAACCAGACGCCGACCATGGCCCTAGTCTAGGGATAGCAACGGTTTCGAATGGTGCTCTGAGCTTCTTGGCTGGAGGGCACGAGATCTATTACGGCGAAGTTACGAGAGAACCGGTTCGAATTGCCTACCATGACATGGTTACATTGATTGGTGTGTCTCAGCCCACGATAGAGAACATCTGATTGCACCCTCGCGCGAAGACACCGAACTACCTGGGCAACCATCGTCCCTCGAAAGTTTTGCGCGGCAGGAGAGCCATTGGTCCGAGAGATTCGGGCGAGAACGAGAGGCGAGAAGCCTCGCGATGAATCGCGCGAATTCGGAGACCTCTGCTTGATGCCAAATGCTCCTTGAGATAAGTCTCATTCCTCGAGGGCTTACACCAATCTGACAGGCCCTCCAAGTCTGTTGTCAGGATCATATCTTTTCTTCAACGCTTGGAGCCTTGGATAGTGCTCGCGGTATACCTGTGATTATACCGTTAGACAGCTGTGGCAGAGGCTCTCTGAGTCTGAATATTCTTACCTGGGTGATAGGGTCGTGGAAATCTTCCATTGCATTCGGTACGATGAGAATCGGCCTTGGTGCGTTCACTATCTTCCCTGGACCATCTTTGACCAACTCCTTCGCCATCTCAGTTTCCTCTGTGGAAGCCCCGATGTCCGTCCCTGCGCCGATTGTTATCTTGTGTTGAAAGCCCTGAGGGCGTGGCCACGCAGAATCGGTGTTGGATGTCAGAGAGTCTCGCTGTTGGGATCTTGTAAGAAGATGATTAGGGCTGATTGGCAAAGGAAATAGTTACCGTGGTGAAGATCTCAAAGAATAACGACGCTCGCTTTCCTACTGATCCTGGTGAAGCAGCAGCGTTATCATACCAGTCAAATGCTCGAAGAAGTGTTGCCTCGTCGATCCTGCATAACGCCATTGGAGCCCACCAAACATTGGCGATACCCTTGGCCTTGCCAACATTTTCTGGCGAGAGCATCAACTCAGGATTACGCCACCGTCATGAACGGGACTCACCTTGCAATTTAGCCATACCTGACAAGTCAATTATCTTGGTTGTGTCAACTGCTCCCGGACAATCCAGCGCCCACCCAAATCCATCGTCACCTCTCCCGTGTGTCTCACCAAGCGCATCGAACGCAAGGATCATTAACATGTCTTCTTTGGCGCCTATATGTATCAACTGCTCTTTCCTCATCACAAAGAGGCCAAGGGCTACCTTGGGATTTGGAGGCCTTGCATCCATCGCGGCAATGCCTTGGACGACAGCCCTCAGTTCGGTCTTCGGGATGAAGATATATCCGCCCCAGATCCGAGGCTCATACTTGCGAGCTCGAAGCTTGAATCGAGTGACGACTAAAGCAAGAGTGAACATAAGGATATGGTTGCACCCAATCAGACCTTACCCGCGAATGCACCATTCGTCCCTCTGAGTGCCCAGAGCAGATCTGGTTCTTCGGACGCCCAAAGGATAGTCCCATCAACTTTGACAACCTGGGCGTCAAGCAGATTGACCGGATCTGATGTCAATCCATATTCTGAGGAGAGCCAGGAATATCCACCGCCCAAGATGCTTCCGCCCACGCCGACGCTGGGGGTACGAACAGATATGGCTTTCAGTAAAGTCAGAATCCCTCATCCACTATTTCCGACTTGAGAAATGGGCATTCAAATGGACGACTTACTTGCATAGCCAGGAGCAATCTTATCCATCTTCTCATAGTACTGGCCCCAGCTCTGTCCTGCTCCTACCGTCACAATTTCATTTTGCCGGTCAAAGTCGACATCATCAAATGCCGTCATGCTTATTAAAACATCCTTCGCCGAAGCCGAGCCAACACCCTGACTTCGGATGCCAAGGCTCAGGTCTGTTTTCGAAAGATGCGCCAAAGCCTTGCTCAATGATTCGATACTCTTGGGGCGAATGACCATGGAAGGGTTCAAGTCTTTCTGGGCTGCCCATGGTAGTGACTCTGCCCTGTATAAGTCTGAACCTCGCGGTACGGTCTCGTCGGAACTCAGGATCGACCGAAGCCGCTCAAGCTGTTCGGCACCAGACATCTTTGGCGTATTCAAGATGACCAACCTCCCAGTTGAGACTTCGAGGCTAATCCGTCGACACGTTGAGATCTACGTGTTCTTTCCATGGACTTTGGTTCGGGAAGAGCGGGCTCACCTCTCGGTTGCTGACAACTCCGAGTATGAGGCCACCGGGTGGCCTGAACCATTTGAAATTCCTCAATTGGAAGACACATGTCCACAATCGGATGCCTACAAGCTAAACGTCAAGCTTGGCCCTCCTTGGCCACCTTGGTGCCCTCGAACCATCTCATAAGCCTTCGAGTCTGTCGAGGCCAGAGTGTTGGAAGGCTTCAGCGAGCCTTCGAGGCATGATATATCACCTCCCGCGAGACATTCCATACAGACTGAATGAACCACAAGATGATAACAACAACCTTCAATGAATGTCTGGCTTACATCGATCCTGGAAGGGGTGTCCGATTCTTGGCAGGACTGGGCCGTCAATTGCTGAAGACTCAAGCATCCTCCAACGATAATGCTGTATAAACAAAGACCCGATTCTGAAAAAGGGGGCTGCACGCTGGAAAGGCATGCACGACGAATATTGTCCATTTGGTCGAAGGGGCTTTCTCTGCCACGCCACCATGTCTGATCATGTTCTCTCGCAGTGCAACACCCCACAAAGTGGATCAGATGCGCAGCTGCGCAGCTGCGCAGAACCCTCTGCTTACAAAAGCCCAACATGCGGTGCCTTCGCCAAGACCACGCCCTCAAAGTGAGTGGTGGATCGTGGATGAGGATAGGAGTCGAGCCATGGATTCGGTTGTGGTTGACTGCAGATCAGCATTCCTGCCGAGTACCTTCAAAGCGGCTGTACAAGTCACAAACCTTGTTCTCATATTGTCATGGCGAAGAACTCGCCAGAGATTGTACGCCTCGTTGAGAATATCACATTACTTCGGAACCATAATACGAGATCATAGCAGCAAGATGTGAACAGACCTACTCCAACGCGACACATCAATACTACCGCAATCTCACCATTCTCGGTATCTTGATCAGAGGATTACTGTCTCGAGGACGGTCTCTTCGGCTCCATCCATGTCTCCCCGCAAGCTGACGTGCTCATCGAGAGCATGAGAACAGGAGGGCAAGACCAATGAAGAGGATTGCCGAAGCTTCGCCTCAGGGTATCAATGGCCAAACACTGAAGGAGGGTCACCAGCTTGCAGGCGAGGCTGACCGTGATGATGGCTACCCTTGGGAACGCCCAGCTACGGGTGTGGTATACCGAAGATTAATGTCATGGTAGGCGACATTGAGTATCTGATTACTCGGAATGGTATAAGACAAGCTCCTCCGGACAGTGAAAGCCTTGATTGGACAAGCGAACCAGTACCCCAGATTTTGAAAAGGGACTGTGAGAATGATCGACCGACGGTTTTGGATTGACCGACTTGGGTAGTAGGAAGGAGGATGTGGATATGCGGACCCTACCAAGTCAATCTCACCGAGCAATCACAAGGCTCGTCCGTGGTCTGTGAGGTACAGTTTCAGGCGAACAGTTCGCCCCCAAAAGGACATTGGGGCGCCTTATCAAACGAGGCTTGGTACGACCCTTTTTCGCAACCTACTGTCGAAGACACATACAGACATGCATACACAGAGCAGTAAAGAAGATCAGATTTGAAGGTCTCGATCTGCCTAATATGAAGCTGTCTTAAGCGGAATACAACCGGTAAGGTAAGCATTGATCTTCACAAGTCAGCAATCCTTTTGGCTAACTCTGTGAGAGGGTTCTGCGTCAGAGCAAGGCTTTGTTCCCCATAATATGACATCCTCAACGAGGTCCCAAGAGCTCCAAGCCTGTTGTGCTTTGACACTGCCTTGTCGGGCGGCACGATCGACAGGATGTTTTCAGCTTTCTATTCAAACATGCAGATGACAACCAATCGTCCTGCATTCTGGGATGGCGAGCATCAGGGTGCTTACGAGGCCTAAGGTCCTGTGAATGTGCAGTAGCATCAAATCATGACCAAAAGAACCTCAGCTGGTGGAAGCGGTGAGTGTAGATGTCATTGAGGACTGTCTGGAGGCATATATACGGTGAGAGTTGGCCGATTGACCTTTCGCTTCTGCCGTTTCCCTCTTCATTTCTGTTGTCAGTCGAAGACAGTGCCATGTATTTCTCCGGCTTCATTACCGCCGCTCTAGCAGGTGTTGCCTGTGCAACTCCCATCGAAAAAATCAAGAGACAGACCATCCAAGAGACATACGACTTCATCATCGCTGGAGGTAAGCTAACTACAGCCTGGCACGATGTGAGAACTTACGTCAATCAGGTGGCACCGCTGGACTCGTCATTGCAAACCGTTTGACTGAATGTCCCAACACCAGGGTGCTTGTTCTAGAAGCAGGTCCCGAACCGGGAGTTGTTGCGAATTACATGTACCCCGGTGGTAATCAATACCTTGCTGGTCAGATTCTAGCTCTGAGCTTTTACCAAAGCCGCTAACCATTGGCCTAGGTACTGCAATTGACTACAACTACTATACCTTGCCGCAGAAGAACCTCAACAATCGGATCCTCCCCTATCACCGTGAGTCACTCCGTGACTTCCGGATCTCCAGTTTAATTGACTGTGTGCTACTAGGAGGACGTGGTCTTGGAGGGAGTTCGGCCATAAACGGCTTGTATTATGGAAGAGGCAGCGCCAGCGTTTACGATCACTGGGTTGAGATAGGCAACCAAGGCTGGGGTTGGGATGATTTGTACCCTCTGAGCATCAAGGTCCGTATCCTTTGACATGTTTCTGCGCAGATTAGGGAGGCTGACCGTTATAGCAAACTCATTTTAACCCACCCAACCTCAACGACAGCTTCGATCATAGCTTCCAGACCTGGGATCCTACCGCATACTCCAATGGCGAGCTACAAATTGCCTTCCAGGGCTTCGTGCCGGATTCCAATGTCGGCTTCATCCGCGCTGGTGAAGCCATAGGAATTCCCATCGTTAACGAGCTCAACAACGGCAACAACACAGGTGTCAAGCAAGGCACTGGATGTTTTGACAGCCGGCTGCGACGCAGCTCGAGCTATGACGCTTTCTACAAGCCAATCCAGAACCGCACGAACCTAGATGTCCTCCACTATGCCTCTGTGACCTCGATCCAATTCACCAAGGGCAGCAATGGGACATCACGGGCCACGGGCGTCTCCTTTACAGATCAGCAAACTGGGCAATTTATCACGGTCAATGCCACCAAGGAAGTCGTTGTGGCCATGGGTGCCTTCAACAGCCCCCAATTGCTGATGATCTCGGTGAGTGAATGTGAGGACAAGTCGACATCTGCTAATATTGCTCCAGGGAATCGGACCTCATGCGCAGTTGAGTCAGAATGGCATCACTCCGGTGCACATCAACGAGAACGTAGGACAGAAGTGAGTGTCTCCAGCCTCTTGATGACTTACTGCTCTAATTCTGCATAGCTTAAACGATCACTGCGTCTTCAGCATCATGGCATTGGTCCAACAAACAGCCTCAACCAGTTCTATGGCCATCAGCGATTCCACCCTTGAAGCGGCGGAACAACAATTCCTCAATTCCCTGACTGGGCCATATACCGCTCCTTCTGGTATCACCAACGGTTTCCAGCAACTATCCAACGCCACCCTGCGAGCCATAGGAGCGCAAGCGGTGCTCGATGCAGGCCTTGTCAACCAATCACATGTCGAGTTCTTGTATGAATCTCTCTTTTACCCCAGCGGGCTGGCTTTCCTACCGTCGACCGGTGGTACGTCCTCGACGGGGGGCGCCTCCTCGTCGGCATACTATGTTCCTCAGTCAAACTTGTCGTACATATCCCTTACCGCGTCGCCGCTTGTGGCACTGAGTCGGGGCAGCGTGACGCTGAAGTCGGCGTCGATATTTGATGCACCAAACATCGACCCCAACTATTATGCGAATGATACCGATCGTGCCGTGGCCATCAACGCATTCAAGGATCTGAGGAAATTGCTTGCCCATCCAGCAATTGCACAGTTCACAATGGGGCCCAACAACGGTGAGGTTCAGCCTGGTCTTGCGAATATTCCCGCCAACGCCTCGGACGACGCCATCTTCGACTACATCAAGGCCAATACCATTCCGAACTGGCATGCAAGTGGGACTTGCCAGATGCTCCCCGAGGCAGATGGTGGTGTGGTAGATTCACGTTTGCGAGTCTATGGGGTGCAAAACCTCCGGGTGTGCGATGTCAGTATCATCCCGCGCCTGCCAGATGTCAACCTCCAAGGCCCGGTCTTCATGATTGGGGAGAAGAGTGCTCAGGTCATCAAGGAAGACTACAATTTGCAGTGTTAGGGGTCGTTGTCGAGGTGACTGAAATGCGTGTACATTGAGACAGGCTGCGCGTACTAGCATGGAGGCACCGAGGATTAAGTAATTGTCTCGGTCCCTTTTGGAGGGCTAATGGCTGCACAAGCTCCCTTTGGCAGAGAATGGCTTGTCTTCGGGTCAGGTCATCTATCACGACTGATATTGCATCGTGCAGGAAGGGCCAATAGGCTAATAACACGGTGGGCGACCAGAATTGGAGAAAAAGTCCAATGGCGTCATCTGCTGGGGGGGATGGGGGGGGACATTGGGTGCATCTCCCGGTGTCGCAGATAGCAAATCGCCAAAGGAAAACGACCATCGTATCTTCTGCTCCCTTCGTATCTTTGAGAGCAAGCGTCCCCTGGAAGAACAAAACCTCGCCTTCACTTTCATGTTTCGCTCCGCCATCGCACGTTCTCAAGCCTCCCTGCCACCCCAGACGGCTGCCCGCTTAACGTCCCTCACCCGTCACATCTCCCCAGCTCCCTCGCCCTCCCTCCCGTCCACCACCGCAAAGATGCCGCTCGTCACCTCCACCATGATAAACAGCGGCAAGCCGCGCGTGATCCTCGGCCTCATGACCTTCGGGCCCCCTGGGACCGAGTCCAAAGGCGGCCGGATCACCACGTTGGAAGAATACAACAAGAACCTCGATTACTTCCAGTCCCAGGGGTACAACGAGGTAGACACCGCGCGGGCGTACATTGGCGGCCAGCAAGAAGGGTTCACACGAGATGCCAAGTGGAAAGACCGCGGCCTGACGTTGGCGACCAAGTGCTACCCTGCGAAGCCGGGCGATCACTCACCGGAGAAGCTGAGGGCGAGTCTCGAGAAGAGTCTGGCGGAGCTGGGGACCGACACGGTCGACATCTTTTACCTCCATGCCCCCGACAGATCCGTCCCGTTTAGAGACACTCTGCAGTGCCTTAATGACATGTTCAAAGAGGGCAAGTTCGTCCAGTTGGGGCTGAGCAATTTCGCCGCCTGGGAGGTGGCGGAGGTTTGGAATATTGCGAACGAGCGAGGCTGGGTGAAGCCCACTATCTACCAGGCCATGTACAATGCGATCACACGGGACATCGAGAAGGAGCTGGTTCCCTGTTGTCGAAAGTGAGGACCCACGCATCTTCAGACCTTGGCGGCCAAAGGCAACTGACCGCGCGACTCTTACAGGTATGGTTTGGACTTGGTGGTTTACAATCCGGTAAGTCCTCCCGGCCTACTCTACAAGGTACCAAGGACTAACCCACGCCATCAGCTCGCCGGCGGCGTGTTCAGCGGCAAATACAAGTCCAAGAGCGACATGCCCAGCGAAGGCCGGTTCGCCGACGTGTCAAGGTCCGGAAAGGTACGTCTGAGGAAGAATCCAAACTCACTCTCGTCACCAAAAAAACTTCCCCAACCTGCTTTCGCAATGCCACACCGACAAAACCTCCCCGACACCCCAGATTCGCTCAAAAATTAACCTGATTGCTCTGGCCCCCAGATGTACCGCGACCGGTATTTCCATGACTCGACGTTCCAGGCCCTGCAGATGATCGAGCCCGTCGTCCAGAAACACGACCTCACGCTGCTCGAGACGGCGCTGCGGTGGTGCGTCCACCACTCGGTGCTCAAGTTCGGCCGGGACGGCGGCAACGACGGCGTCATCATCGGCGTCAGCTCGCTGGCCCAGCTGGAGAGCAACCTGCGGGACCTGGAAAAGGGCCCGCTCCCGCAGGAGGTCGTCGACGTGCTCGACGACGCCTGGGAGACGTATCTCAAGGGCCGAGGTCCGAGTTACTGGCGGTAAGAACGAGATTTTGCATTTCCCAAAATTTGGGAGGGGGTTTCACGAGACGAAGAATATGATTTCCAGGATCGGAAAAAAGGGGATAAGCGATAGCGATGGGGAATTGCATGGCAGAACGTGTACCTTGTTCTCTAGCGATATGAAAGCGTTCGTTGCCAACTTCTCTCGGAAGCGACGTGGCCACTAGAGTTGGGGAGGCTACACTCAGGAGACACAGCCTCGCGACACGTTATATACCTGGCCACTCAAGGCATCTCCATACTAGCGATTACATTACGCAATAGTCTTTCGGTCAACGAAAGTGAGAGGATTCTGGGTACAGGTGTGCTTTCCACGCTCGACCAGTTGCATTGAACGCTACAGATACATGTACCTTAAGGTATCTTCCTATGACACATAGGCTCCTCCTGCTTCAGCCTCGCCATCAACTTGCGAGTCTCCCTCCTCTCTCCCTCCCTCTTCCCCTGCGTGCCCTGGCCCCAAACCGGAATTTCATATCATCACTGTCATCATCCTCGCTGTCATCATCACGCACACTCGTGACAGGTAAAGTCTTTTGACGCTTCGGCTTGCTCGTTTCCACGTTGGAGTTTGCGGGCCTTTTCCCTTTCTGCGATCGAGTCGCTTTCGGCGTCGCATCTTCTCCCACTGTTTCGGAAGCGTTCTCACTTGCCTGCCGGGTGCGATCCGCAGTACGGGTGTGCCTAGGCGTGTCTGGGTCGATCTCATGATCCGCGATATCCTCTGCTTCGCGCTGCAAACGTGAAATCCTCGGGGTCGACCTAGCTATCGATGCGCTCTCAGCGTCTTCCTCTAACTGACCGATCAAGTCATCGATTTCTTCGTCATCATCGTCCAAGACAATTCGTGTTTTCGATCTCCCATCGACATGACCACGGACGGTCCCGTTCGACGGCTGAGTCTGATTCTGCGCTGTCCGTTGGTTTCTCGCCTCTTCTCTACGCCTCCTCTCCCTCTCGCGTTCCTTCTCCTCTTCAGTCTTCGACCAATACTGATCACCCAATCCACCCGTTTTGTTCGGGACTTCGACTAGCTGCACGATGACCTTGCTAGCATGAGATCTTCGCTGGGCTGGAACACCCTTGCGACGGAAACCCTTGAAATTCTTGCGACCATTCCACCTGGGATCCCAGTCTGGTCCATGCTCACCATTGACCCTATTGCTTGTCTTCTTCATTTTATCACGTAAGGGAAGATCGATACTGACGACATCGACCAGGTTCGCAGGTGATTTATCTTCAATATCGGGCAGGCCAGCTTCAAGTTCTTCTTCCTCTCTCCGCGCGGCTTCGTCTTTCTCCTCTCGTTGCTTTCTGGCGGCTTCGCGGACGTCAATCTCGCGTTCCTTTTTGATCTTTTTCACTGGTGCTGCACGTGTTTGAATGTCCCCTGTTCCATCAATGCGCCCATCGGCTGCTGCTTCTGCAAGCTTTCGTCTCTTCAAGGCGGTAGCCGCTGGGAGGAGATCATCCATTTCCGCTGCAAATGTATTGGGTTGCCCCTCGGCTGGGGAACGAGGTCGTTTCAATGTTGAAGGCGGTTCTTGTTTGACGACGAACGGCGACTTGGATCGCATTTCCGGCCCGGAGGCGTATGCATCTTCCTCGATGACCTCGTCCTCCTCATAAGCGGCGACGGCATCGGGATCGAATCCATCGTCAAAGTTCTTGAATTTAGTCAATTGCGATACTTTAGGGAGGGTCAGCAGTCTCCCCACGCCTTCTGCGGCGCCATTGGCTTGTGAAGCATTCGGACCTGACATTTGTGAAGGCTGGGAAGCCGCCTCTGTGTTGTCTGTCGCCTCCGTCGCATGAGCTGCTTGAGGGCTTCCGTTCTCTGCTCCATTGAATGTGGATGCACCATTTGGGCGAGACTCGCCGACCTGCCCTGTGACGACGGAATTTGCTGCAGATGGGGGAGGTGCGATTCTCCCATCATTGGTGCTTTCAAATGGGATAGGTTGTTTGAGAAGTCCGGCATCATTTGCCAAAATAGCATCCAAGAACTCAGACTGATCAACTGCTCGCTGGTCCATCTTCAAAGCCGTCTCGTTGATAAGTGTGTTCGTCCACTCTTGAACATCCTCCTTTCCAGGCCATCGAACCAAAATGACTCCACCTTTCGACCCAGTACCACCAGATTTGTTCCCAGCTGCATTTTGCAAGAATTGAATTAGCTCGTCACTTGTTGTTTCGAAATTCACCACCTTGAACAGGATACCTTTTCCATGCCCACTCGTTATGACCGGTAACAGTGTGTCGTACTGAGTCTGCTCGCCGAAGATGAACGTATAGTGTTCAAATACATTGAGTCGTGCGGGATCGGGTTGATATGATTCCGCAGGTCTGATTGTCGGTTCCTTTCCCGGTGGCGGAAGATAGTCCTTCGGAGCAGGCCAGGCACTGTCGAAGTCCTTTTCCAGCGGAGAGAGATTCACTTCCTGGCTGAGGGTGATAGGAGTGGCAGCGTAGTCCAGGGCGTCGAGATATGACTCCGTCACAAGGTATTTGCCATTGACTAGGGCCAACAGACCTTTGGCAGTATTTCTCTTGTTGGCCACCACATGGGTCGTATGCTCAGAAGAAAATTCGCTGATCGCTTTGATATCCAGATCTTGTAACCTTGCTTGCTTTGCCTTGAGAACTCCTGACTTGAGCTCTTTCTTGAGTAGGTGGAAGGTGAACACGCAGGGTTGCCATGTGACGGTGAATTCATAAGGACAACCTTTTGGCCGAATTGAATTTTCGGCGTCATTCAGCTCTCGCGAGGGGTTCGGTTCTTGTTCGTTGTTTGGGTCTCTCTTGATCAACTCGCCGTTCACAAACGTTCCCGTCTTTGAGTGATCTTGAATGCGTATCTTCGTTCGAGTGTGAATTTGACCGACGTCGGTATCTTTGACGGGGTCAACGGTGATATTGAAGTGTTGTCTGGAGACCGTTTTGTGGTCAATGGCGATCATAACGCCATCTTTCTTGACTCTGCCAAACAAGTACCTGTGCCCTGGCCTCAGCCACATTCGCCTGCCATGGAAGAAATCGGCGTTGGTGTCAAGAATCCACATCGTGACAGCATCGTAGAAGAGGACTCCAAGAGGAGTGTGAGGATGGAGAGGTGAACTAAGCAGAGCAACAGTGTAATGGTGAAAGTTCCCTGAGGGACTGAAAGCGCAGCAGCAGCGACGGTACAGTGAATAATTTATGACGCGACACGACTTTGGCCCTGGCGCCTGAGGTGCGAACGGGAAAGCTAAGTGCATTAGCGGCATCGGTGCCTATTAGGTTCATCCCGCAAACATTGGGGGCTGAAAGTTGGGCGCCACCAGCGCTTGCCCTTCCCCTCAGCCCGCAAATGAATGCAAAGAGGGGTCCCTGAATGTTAGATGAGGGCGCGGGGCAGTTGACCAGTGGCACATGGAAGTTGGCGGGATCAGCAGGGCATTCCAAGGCCCGAGCTTTGCCATTGTCATCGCAACAGGTGAGACCAGGATCCAATCGCAGGGGACAAAGTGCCTGCGACGTCAGTCAGACTGGACAAAAGCAACTTGCTCCCACCTGTCCCATCTTAGCCTTCCTCCCATCCTCGAGCCTCAGCGTATCCGAGACAGCTGCCTCCTATCACGATGTCCAACGCGCTGAACGAAGACAACACGCCTGACCTCAAGGTCGACGAAAGTCCTATCTCCCCCATTGAGCGCCGGAACTCTCTCGAGAAACACCTGCAGCTGCGCCCTGATGCCCAAGACCTGAAGAATCGCAACATCCTCCTTAACAGCAATGTTGCTCCGTGAGTTTACAGTCCAGCCTCTCAAGAAACGGCGCTTGTTTTCTTACTCTGTGTGGAGGGCCCTGCAAGCGAAACAGCACGAACTCGAGCGTCAGCAACACTCAGACAATCTAAGGAAGCAGCTCGAAAAGCGACCGGAACGTGATGAATTGGTCGAACGTAGGAGTGGGTCCATACGGCAGCGTCGTCGCCATGCTCACACTCTCATAGGAAACATCCTCCCCGAGTCAACCGCTGCCCCAGCCCTGCAAGCCAACCAGAAAGCATTGGATAGGCATATGCGGGCAGACAGTCTGGAGCATAAGATTCAGCAACGGCCCAAGCCAGAACAGCTGGTGAAGGAGGGCATTCTGGAGGCTGATGAAGACCCGACTCAGCCATAAGAAAAGAAAGGCTGGAGATCTGAGGTACACAATTTTGCGTGATTCTGATATACAAGGGTGGCAGGGTATCACGGACATCAGCCAGTGGAGGACCGATGTACAAATGCTTCAGTAGCTCTCGAGATAGCCCAGCATTTGAGCAGACGCGAGGAAGCAGTCTGCTGCGAGTTGAGAATGGACGCTTCCTTTTCACTGTCTCTCCGTTGTTTCCTGGCTGTCCCTCCCTGCATCACCGGACGAAGTATCTGGTTTCCAGCCCTTGGGTCTCTCTTTGCCTCTTACTATCATTTGGTAAACGCCGTTCTCCACCTTCTCTACAGACTCTCTCGTTGTCTTGAGCTTGCCGTCGAAAGCTTTTGCTAGGCTGTGGATTTTGACCGCATCTAGCGCCTCAAAACCTGCACGCAGATCTTGCATGTCCGTCAAGATCGAGGACTTTTGAGACGACTCTGCTCCTCTGGATAACCCAGGCAACTGCCCGTTTGTGGCCATGGACGTGATTGCAAAGCGCATCAATTCACCTGTCATATCGAACAAACCAAGTACGTAGTCATCGAAAGTGAGGGAGATGCCCTTTGGAAGCTGTGTCTGTGCATCTTCGAAATTCATGACTTGTTGAGTTTCCAGGTAGCGGTGAAAAGTGACGGCTTCCATGAACTCTTGAATGCCACCACTGATGTTTCCGTGGTAGCGATATGCATTGATGCCTTGTAGGTCTGGGACGACGCTCTGGAACAGGTCACGGATGGTGGTATACATGGGCGCCGTTTGCTTGGATATCGAGGCATGTATGGGTTTGCCGAGTTCACGAACTCTGTGTGACAGCTGTGAGCTACTGTTGCCGGCAGAGGTTATTGTTGCCTCACCTTTGTAATGCAAATATGCTGCCGACACTTGGTTAGGGTGATAGAATGACAAAGCACATAGACTCTGAACTCACATCTTCTTACTTTGAGCAGTCACGTCTCTTGACACTTTGATGATCTTTTCTCTGCGATCGTGGTGCTCATCAAGTTCAGCCCGGAAAGCTTCAAATATGGGGAGAAATGGTGACTTTGTCTCAGACGAAAGGGACTCATCGTCGCCCATTCCGCTGTGCTTTCTCTTTACCCCTGCCATGATGAACCTTTGAGATTGTGAAAGGCCAACGGGAATACACACCTTGTCAGGAAACAGGAGACAAAGTCCTGGGGTCGCTGCTGGGAGCTGTGAGGAGGTTATTCAAGTTGTCTCGCTGCTTTAAGTGAAGTAAGGCTGAACAGATTGTTGCTAGGCGTGATGTCGTTGTCAATTTCGACTTGACGGTCTCCTCGAGAATATTATGGCTGCTTCTTTTGCAGTGTGGTGTCCTAAATCTGTGCCGTTCAAGAATGTTTCGCGTCCACCCTCCCAGAGCCTGACAAAACGCCAGCGTCCACTACGAAGCACGAGGCACTAATGCGGCCGCCCTGCGGAGACTGAAATAAAACCTCCAATGGACATCAAACCGTTGTTTGAAATCGCCTCGCCTGGACGCCTTCAAAATGTTTGCATACTCGCCATAGGAAAGGAGACCTGACTCGATCCTACCTCGTTCCTAGGGAACAACACAAGGCATGCTGCCGGCCTCATGGCTTCGCTCCTAAAGTCCCTCCTCTCATCCCGCGCCACCGTCTTCACCTCAGCCTTCCTCCTTCGGGCCATCCTCCTTGTCTATGGCATATATCAGGACTCGGTTTCCGCCCTGAAATACACGGACATCGACTACTACGTCTTCACAGACGCCGCCCGAGCCGTATCTAGGCATTCATCTCCCTATGACCGTGCCACATACCGATATACTCCCCTTCTAGCATGGATTCTGTTACCCACCAGCTGGGGAGGACTGTGGTTTCATTTCGGCAAGACGCTGTTTGCTCTGTCCGATCTGATCGCTGGATGGCTCATCCTGAGGCTTTTAAAGAGACAAGGCCTGGAAGAGCAACGAGCTCTGCAATACGCCGCCGTGTGGCTCCTGAACCCAATGGTTGCAAACATCAGTACACGCGGAAGCAGCGAAGGTCTCCTTTGCGTTCTGGTCATGGCTCTGCTCTGGGCGTTTGAGACCAAGAAAACTATATTGTCAGGACTGCTGCTGGGAATGTGCGTTCACTTCAAGATATACCCTTTCATTTACGGAGCGAGCATGCTGTGGGCGCTGGAGACACCTTCGGCAAATCCGTCCGCAACAAATCTATTGCAACCTGTTGTACACTTCATCAACAGGAGCCGCATTTTGCTGCTTTTGACCTCGATATCAACCTTTACTGCGCTCAATCTCCTCATGTACAAGATCTACGACTTTCCGTTCCTCCAACACACGTTTCTCCACCACTTGACTCGGATCGACCACCGACACAATTTCTCCCCGTACAATACCCTTCTTTACCTCTCCTCGGCGCAGTCGGCGAACCCAACGCTTGCACACCTGCGCTCATCAATCTCCTTCGAGTCTTTCGCGTTCATTCCCCAGCTCCTTCTCTCCACGATCCTCATCCCCATTGGTCTAGCAAAGCGCGATCTTCCAACAACCATGCTGGCGCAGACCCTCGCTTTCGTGACTTTCAATAAGGTCTGCACGTCGCAGTATTTCCTCTGGTACCTCATCTTCCTGCCACTTTACCTGCCCAATTCGTCATTACTCGCGAGGCCCTCGCTGGGGCTAACGGCTTTGGCTCTTTGGGTCCTTGGGCAGGCGATCTGGCTACAGCAGGGCTATCAACTCGAGTTCTTGGGGAGGAGCTCTTTTGTCCCGGGCCTCTTCGCGGCAAGTCTCGCTTTCTTCGGGATCAACTGTTGGATATTGGGGCTCGTGGTGGGCGACGTTGTTGACAGGTCTCCAAGCTCGACCGCGACAACTAACGCGCAACGAGGCACCAAATCTTCGTCACCGACAACAGCCACGGGAACGGGGGCTACAGCGAGCGTCTCCGAGCTCAAGGCGAGGCCACCCCGCGACAGGCCGCGTGGGAATGCTAGCATCGACACGAGCGGGATTGCCAATGTGCATTTAGGGCCGAGGGATCGAGTGTTGAAAAGCAACTGAGCCCACACAGCGTGAGCGCCTGCGTCGCATGAACCGGGCACATCAGACCACGGAGGGGCTTTGGAGAGTTAAGGGACTGTGCGACTAGTGACCATGTCAGAAACTCTCAAAGGACTCGTCCGAGACCGTTGTGTGAGGGTGAAAAGCAAAATGTGAACTTTTTTGGTTTCAAAAGAGCATAATCCCGTCCGGATACACACACATTACCCACCAATATTCTCCCTGCTGGTCAATCTGGGGTTTGATCTTCAATCCAAGTAACCTCCCGTCCAATCCATTTGTTTCACCCAAAACATGTAATCCAGCAAGCCCTATTCCTGTGGTCGGACCAGATGTCTTCCGCCGCCTGCACAACCGAACACCTTCCTCGAACGCTATCCCCCCGCCATATTTTCTCGTAAACAGAGCCGTGGTACTGTGGTAATCAAAAGCCGAGTTCACGCCATGCAAAACACAAACGACGCAGAGAATCGCAGCGCAACACAGAGACGGAGCAAAAGCCCCTTGATTGCAGATCGATGGCTGGCAACGAGAAAAAGATGGCTTCGGACCCAAGCAAGAAACTTTTTGCCCCCGCCCGACCTTTGTCGCTCCTGACATTAGGATTTCCTCATCGCATCAATACATACACGGCTCGTCACTTGCTGGCCAATTGTCCCTCCGTCCAGAATATGCAAAGTTAGATCTCGTGGTCGACAATAGCTGAGGTTGCAAAACTCCCAATGTTCGTCCAAAGAGCCAAGCAATGCCCTCAACGCCGCCAAAATGGCGTTATGAGCCTCCGAGCGGTCCTCTGTTTCTGCATGGAAGACAGCTCAAAGGAATGGGAGCTCAACCGCCCCTCGCGTCAACAAGAATCTTATAGCTGCTCGTCTTGATACTTCGTGGCCTCCACTTTGGATAAAGACTGCTGGGTATGATGATTCCCAAGGGATTTGTCGGAGACGCCGGTCCAAGACCACCATCAGGAGGCGGACCCCCAATGCCAGTCGAGGGAGGATTGGAAGAGCTCGACTCCGAGGATGACGGCTTATGGTAGCTCCCTGGACACTCGATCCCCTCACCCAACTCCTCGTACTCAAGGTCAGGCATCAACTCGCTCAGCCTCTCCACAATCTCCTCGTTCCAAACACCGTACACCCTGCCCTTTTCCAACAGCCAGTACGGGTTTAATAGCGTGCAAGGAGAATCCAAATCAATGTATCTGATTCTCACATACTCCAAATTCGGGAAAAGAGGCAGCGCTTCGACGGTGTTGAGGACCAGGCGTTCAAACGCCTTGATGAAGACGAGATTGGTGATTCCAGCACCATCGGCGATGACACCGCCCAATTCGTGCGTAAGTGTTTCTCCGGTGGTTGGGTCGGTTGCGGTGACTCGTTGCCGACAACACGATTTTACCACTATCTCGAGATGCTTGAGTCTGGGTTCCTCTGTTTTTTGCGCTTGAGAAGAGAGGGCAGAGCACGCGCTAGTCCACAGACACTCGCAGATCTTTCCCGTGAATGAGAGTGATTCGAGTTGTGGAAGGACACGACCGAGGTGCTCGCAGAGATGTCGTTGTACACCACTCGACCCAGGAGCAAAGCTTGAGCCAAGTGTCGTTGTATCTTTGCTGTACATTCCATCAAGAGAGATGTTGACATGACGAAGTCTCGAGGGGAGATATGTGAGGATGTCATTGATCGTGGCGTCCGCCTCAACACGAGGTCTCGCGTAGCCGCAATGCCACTCCTCAACGTTCGGCAGAGCATCCTCAATAGTCTTCCAATGTTGATAGTTGCGCATTATATTCCAGGCACCACGCATAGCGAAGGTGCGAATATTTGGTAGTCTGTCCAGACGCTGATTCGGGTCAGGGAAGAGTGTTTTTGGAAAGTGCCGAATCATGTTGGACTTCTTGCAGTGGCCCCCTTCTAGTGTGAACACACGGGAATCAGGGAAGAAATCGTTGATGTGCGCAAAAATTTCCGATAGTGTTGCAGAGTAGGCACATAATTTGAAGCTGAAGCCTAACAGATCGGCGACTGGGGTCAGATCTCTTCCGTTTGCCAGATGCAAATGGGGATAGAAGTCATTGTTTTGTTCTGCGTCCGACATGGGGAGGATCGGGTTGACAGAGAAATCATAAAAGGGGGCCTTGTCTCCCCAGACGGGTACCCAAAATTCGATATGGCGGACGAGCTTCCTCAAATGGGGATGAGAGCTGAAGAAGCCCTCAGACTCTTTCAGTCCAGCCCGCGTACCCTTGATCTTGATATGTCGGTATATGCGCTCTTGAACTAGATCGCGCCAGACTGGTGAGACCAGTGCAAAGTCCGAGACCGCCTTCCTCCGCGGATGTCGCATCAGGGACGAAACGCTCTTGCCCCGCAGTGATGTTGATCCGGCGTAAACAGAATGCATGTCCCCGAAGATGAAGTCGAGGACTTTGCCTTGGACTTCGAGCGGCAGGTCATTTAGCGACGGTTGAGGTTTCGAACCGCTTTCTTGAGGCACAGACAGATCACTCCCCTTTTCTCGGCACGAGTCTCCGGCATCCAGATACGGCGACTGCGTCGCGCGAATGGTTACCACGCCCACCGTCTGTCCATCTTGACGTGAAGACTCGACGCCGAGGTCGACGACCGAAGCTACTGAAGGAGCACGCTTCCGAGGCGTTACTAGAGGGAAAGCCACATCTGATCTGGACAATTTGGTGGGCGGCACCGAATGCCTTTCGTGTATTTCTTGCGGCTGGCTCGAGTCGTTGTCCATGACCACCTCTTGCAACAGCATCTTGCCCGGAGACGGTCCCGGCTTCAAATGCCGGTGCTACTATAAGCGTGACCCTCCAGCGAGCTTCCAACAAACCGGTTGGGCAAGGGAACGCTATGACACACCCGAACAGTTATCGCCGGGTAGGTTCAGACTTGAATGCTGAGCGGGCAGCTGAAGGGACTCGGGGGAGAAGTTTCTGCGATTCCGCGGTCAAAGAGGTGTCGGCGCCGGAGGGGCTAATGCTGGCAAGGGCGAGATCGTTTCGGCTGGTCAATTCAGAGTGATTTGCATGGTCTGGAATGAGAAGAACGCACCCAGGCAAAGGGGGCTGGTCAACAATGTCGTCGGTTCGATTATCAGGCGGCTGATTTTAATTGCGCAGGACACAGCCACAAGTGATCCTGAGAATGAATGCACTGCCACCTAAGACCCGCATCTCAGCCTTGCCAAGGGTCTGGAGATTTCCACATCCGCGGGGGACTCCGCTACAGCGATGGATGAGAATGAAGCTATCTCGAGTCTCGAGAGAGAGACTCGACAGTCAATCACCTGAAAACTGTAATCTAGACAGCGAGTTCAAGGCGGAAACATGTGGTCGTTCGGAAAACGAGTGCCACGTCAAGCGTCAAGATAGACAGCACTGTCGTAAGTTTCCGCTATACTGCATGAAGCACGCAAGAATCATGAGAACGGACGACACTTGACGAGCACCCTCAACCAATACAGATTACAGATTCGACGGTTATCGGAGAGAACACCGCCACCATACTGTAGACTCTCATATGAGCCTGCTATGCTCAATTCGACCACCTGTAGACGAATCCGACGCATAGTGACTTCGTTTCCATTGCTCCTTTCGCGGCTACATTCCCGACAAGGAAACGCCCTTCTCTTTCACTTCCTCGCCTGGTTGATTGACCGCCCGTGGTAACTGTCAATAGGTTCCCACGTGCACATGGCCGAGCATGTCGTTGCAGATTGTTGTTGCTGCACTATCCACGGTCGAGGAGGATTGGGTATATACATGAGCACCTCTCTAAGGCTCGAGGGGAAACAGAAGGCCGCCGCTGTTGGACAGACATCTCATGTGTCTGCAGTAGTTGACGTCAACATTGCTAGAGACCACCTCCTTTTGTCCTCCCCCCCTTTTTCAGCCACATTGTGCCAACTGTCAAGCGCGAGCCGAAGCTTGTAAGGCAAGGCGTACGCAGTAGCGGGTATCGTCACGGATTTCCAGCAACGGGGTTAGCTACTAGAGTGACAAATTCGCTCTCGGTTCGTCCCAGTCTGGCATTCCAGTGTCCCGGGGGCTCGAAATGAGACGGTCTGAAACGGGCCAGGCTGCGTTTAGGAGGATTAAGTCCTATTGATATTTGCTTCCCCTGACCGAACTGGACGCGTAATGAACGCCACACAAGGAGACGCAGAGTTGTGAAGCACGCCAAAAGATGGGAACAAACGAGAAAGTCGGAGAAGGGGGTTCAGCATCCCTAGGAGAACAGGCCCTTAAAAGCAGCAACTGCCAGGTGTGCCAAGGCTAGGAAATACAATCCCCATATGCTTAAAGTCGAATCGCTTTGGAGTCTTTTGGCCACAGCATGTTCGGTTGGCTTTGCTCGGTCCTTAGGTGGACAAGTCTTGAGAGGAGTGCGGTGCATTCGTTCTGAAATCGAAGCCATATGTCTAGCGGACCGAAACACATTGGCAATAAGGCGAAAAGCAGACCAGTCAAGGTCGATGGTTAATGTGGATGTCTTTGTGACAGAGTATGTCTAGCTCTTCTCCTTGATACTACTCCGAGCACTATGCTGTTGCAGATATTTGAACAAGCCTGCCCAAGGCCAGAAACGTCTACCCTCGTTTCTGACACATGCCGGATCATGTCTCTCACAGCCCACAATGCTGAGCACCATTCTGTCCGAGCTGCGCAGATATCGCTTGAGTAGATGAACAGTGTAAGCTCCAATCCCTATCCTCCCTCTTGCTGCCGGCGTCAACAAAGGATTTTGATCCATAAGTCCGAGGACAATAACCTCAGCTGGGAGTAGTCATGGCTGCTGGGCCTGGTGACAAACTGCATCTTGGGAGAGTGACAGTGGTTGCATTATTCGCCGTTACGGTGATGGTGAAGGACTCCTCCTGCACCAGCGCATCAGCAAAACGGCTTAGAAGGCGACATTTCAGGAGCGAAGTCGCCCCAGGATGGCGGCTTACCACGAAGATGTGACCGTATGGAAGGACCACAATGGTGTTGCAGCCATGACAATCGTAGACGTGGGAGGTGTAGGTGGTCAGGGAATAGTAAGTGCTTGTCGGGCCGGCTTGAATGACTGGGGCGGTGTATGCAGTGCTGGTGCAGTAGGCAGCTTCTGTCAAAGTGCTCGTGTACGTGCTGTCAAAGTCAGTAAGCTCAAGCACCAAGCAAAGAAAGGACATGCTTGGTTTGTGCACCTGAGGATTGAGGTCGCCAGTGCCTGAGCTTGGACGATCAATGCCGTCGTCAAAGCGACCAGCACAGACCGCACGGAGAGCATTTTCGCCGTGTTTCTGTTAACAGAAGAATCGAAACCGAGTTTGTAGACAAATGGATCACTGAATTCGTGGGAGTGTCAGAAGAGAAGTGGAAGCTGAAAGAGAATGGGGTGAAAAGAAGAGCGAGCCCGAAGGACCAGCCCTGAATCCAGCAGAATTCAAGGCTGCGGCAAAGAAAGGCTCAACTTGGTGCTCAAGGAATGTCCAGCCCTAATGGTTGCAACACAATTGCGTCGTCAGCCGACGAGTTGAGAGTTGGGTTTCGAGATTACAAGGACATGATCAAGTTGTGATGGTGGATGTGGCAGAATCACAGAGAAGATATCAGCAGGGGACTATTGTGCCCAAACCCGACCAATCTCCAGCAATCAGGCTTCCATGTGTTATGCATTAAATTGTCATTTGTATCATGCAGCCTTTGACCCAGCTTTTGTAGATTCCAGCAATGAGGGGTGCTACTGTACAATTGCGTTCATCGAGCATGGTGAGCTCGGAAGTGCTGCGCCTAGTGATATAAGCCAGCCCAAAGAAAGTAAGTCGTTGATTTCTTTCGTCAATGTCATCCATCACTTAATGCCCCAAAGATGCAGGACGGTCTCCATTCCCCTCCATTACTCTCCGTCTTTCCCCAGTGTGCTTACTTCATCTCCTCCCGTGCGAGGTGCTGTTCATGCTCGCGTTCCAATTTCAGGCAACAGGTTGATTGTAGCGAAGACGGGATCGCTATGATACTTAATCCTCGTCACCAACCTGACCAAGTCAGCAAGAGCGTCTAGGCTTCACTGTCATCACCCACTCGGAGGGTTCCTTGACTGCCAAAGCCTTGGGACCAGAATCCTTCGAGAGATGGGGAGCTACAGGTTGTCAGCAATGTTCGGCAGCTAACTAATCAGTTAAACATACGTGCTCGACATGCTGTCATGGGTGAAGAGAAGCCAAAAACTGAAGACCTGTGTCTCATCAGCGGCTATCTTTGAGAAGGGAGTGGAAAGAACTCACTGGTTTGGCAAGAATGTCGAGAACCGCGTAAGCAATGATCTCGGAGTCGATGTCAATGACGTGGCCACCTTCAGCAAGACCCCAGATGCTGTCATTTGTCAGTAAAGAGTTGCAAAGTGGCAATTGGGGGCTTACATTGGGTAAAGGAGCCACACAATAAGGGTGTAACCAGCAATGGAAGCATAGAAAGCCTTGGTCTTGCTATCCTTGCTGGCAACAGCCTCACGACCATTGGCGGCAAGCTGATAGACAATGACGAGGAATGCAATGCAAGCCCAAGCGAACCAGCCCCATTTTTGGCTGACATGGGCCTGACCAAAGGCTGCGAAGAGTCCACAAAGAACCATAACGACATCAGCAAAGATGGCGACCAGGATATTGGCGCCGCTGAGACCCGCAAGAAGAGCGAGGTCGAGAAGCAGCAGCGGGGTTGTGATGCTCCAGTCAACATATCTTGCCCAATACACCTCACGACGGTATTCCTGCTGGGTATTTGGGACTTTCTTGTGGTGTTCTGTCACAGTGTATGAGACAAACGTGGTGCCATCACCGGTGGCCATAGCAAAGTAGGACAGGAAAGCAATCGTCGTGATGAAGGAGGTCAAGATGTGGAAGAGCCGTTTTTGCTGTGTTCACCCTTGTCAGACCAGATCATGCGTTGCGGACGGACTCGCGAGACTTACCACCGGGACGCGGAAAGCCATGCCATAGAAGGCAAGGGAAGACAGGGCCATGAGCACGACGACCACCCTAGAAGACTGTGAACAACCTGCATCTCTTCAGGAGCAACATGAAGCATACCACAAAGTTCTCTTGCCAACATCACCGGCCTCCACGTAAAGAGGAGGAGTTGGGATGACGGTCGGGATGGGAGCCACCGAAGTGGAAGCTGTAGGAGCGGTCTTCAACATATCTGGATGGACAATCATATTGCTGGGTAGCAGATGTAGCGTTACAGAGGCGTATGCTTGAGTACGGAACGATGAGGCTGGCAGTGAACAAGACTCGGAGACCTGGGAGAGATTTGAGAAAGGACGGAGAGATGAGAAATTGAAGTACGAGTTTTCAAGGCAGCAGTCAAAGACGTCAAGGGAAAGTCGGGGGGAGAAACAGCTTCGCTCGTTGGTTGAAACCAGAGAGCGTGATGGAATAGCCAGAAGGAAGCAGCGATGACGAAAAGAGTACCTCCCCAGCAGCACTCGGTGGCACTCATTGGACCCTTGAGCGGCAGTCAAACCACCACGGCTTGACACTGCGAGAAATGATAGTTGCCGTGTGATCAGATGGGTCGAGGTCGAGACCCTTTGATTGCCCGGTGGAGAGAGTGAGAGAGATGAGTGGTCCTCACTTTCTTACTCGGATGTTTCTTGGACTGTCACAGCAATACAGCAACCTGTTGTGCAAGTTGGATGCGGGGGTGCTAGGCGGACCACTAGAACATCGGCACCATGGGCATGCATCGACCAGGATGTGTCTCCCGGGGGGGGGGGGCATCGGTACCAGTTAAAGGAGCCAATCACTCTAGGCGTCGCCCACATTCAGCCACGCCCCTCTCCCTTCTGCACCTGCTCTGCACAGCACTTGGCCTTGTTTAGCTGTTTGACGAGCAGCTGTTTAGCTGCGGCTTGACCCGCCGCCAATGGCACAGCTGCTCAAGTTTCTTCATCCAACGGTGAGGAGAGGATGCGGCACGAGAAGCTGTCGACACCATGCTATTGCTCCGTGGTGACTCTCGAACCACGGCCTTAGCTGGATGTGTTGTGTCGAGTAGAGAAGACACGGTGTTCACCAGGAGTTATGACAGCTGCCGGAAAATGGCGGCTCACGTTCTCGTTGGGCGAGGGACAATACCAGGACAGCCTCAAGCAGAGCAAAAGTCGGTGGACGAGTCAGCAGCAGCCATGCGTCACTTGATGACGTCGATCATTTACAAGGACGGGGCAACAACTGGTGACGGAATTCTGCAAATTACGGAGTACTACTGCCCGCTTCACTGTAATTTTGGTAGAAGGCGGACGGCGGACAATCGACATCATCTCTCTGCACGCACGTCGATGCTGTCTTTCCTCTTTTCCCTTCATCTCATATCTCAAATTCACTCGTGGTTCAGGCAAGGCAACGGCGTTGAAAGAGCCAGTTCCTCTTAGTCATTCTCCCACACCATCCATGGCTTTACCCCGCAATGAAGCAGGATCGATCGTCCACCCAATGGCCACAGCAGTTGCAGCATTGCTGGGGGCTGCACGTCAAGCTCTAATCACCTCTACAAGATCCCATGACCCCCCCTGGCAAATGAATTCCCCAGAATTGATGCTGCGATCGGGCCAGCAACACCAGCTGCAAGACGATCTCGTGCTTCGATGCTGCCAACTGACCCCACGCCACCCTTCAAATGCAGTTGCTTGCATTTGACATTGTCTGCGCGGTTCTCCGTGGATCGCAATGCATGCGGGAATCCGTCTCGGTTCGGCAATCCGGTATTCTTTGATTATTGGTACAGCGCTGAGTGAGTCGATATCTGCAGTTTACTTGTACAGCGAACTTCTAGATCCTCCAAACATTTATTTTTGGTATTCCGTAACCGCATCTGTACATCGGCCACAGAGTAAGGGCGCCTCCTTTTCTGCTGGCCTCTTCTGCTCCGGAGGTGCAACCACATATCTCCAGCATCGGTCGCATTTGAGACCATGAGGACTCTTGACAATCACCTTCCCTATCTTCTCACCCCCAGGCGAGACAATGTCACTTGAGAATGACCAATCAGCACGAGGTTCTGCACTGGGCTCTGGAGGAGTAGTCTCGCCCACTTCTGTGGGGATGATCTCGGCAGAGGACACCACCAAGAGTTCCTTCCAAGTATCCTCGGGAATGCTCGAGAGGTCAACGTTCTTCTGTAGAAATATCGAGACGTCGGAGGCCAGCGACTGTCCCATCAGTTTCTGCGTTCGCGCTATCTCTTGAGCTGCTTTGACGCTTGAATTGATAGAAGCGACATACGGCAACACAGTCTCGAGTCGCCGATCGTGCCATTCCTCGGGCAGATGTGACCATATTCGTCTCAGCGGGTGCTCTAGAGTCTCCTTGTACCTTTCTGAACTATGCTCCCAGCTTTCTTCCACCAGCAACGGCGTAATCGGCCCAAGCATGTTTTGGAACTGGCAAAGAATGTGGTGAAGCGCAGTCTGGGCACTTAGGCGCCTGGGAGTCGCAGGCATGTCGCAGTAGAGAACATCCTTGATCCCCTCGAAGTAGAAGCTCGAAAGATCAGTCGTCACCCATCGATATATAGCGCCTGAGGCTTTGTGGAATTCAAAGTCGGCGTATGCTTTGCGCACCGAGGTGAAGGTCAGATCAAGGTGATGCATTGCGATTTGGTCCAGCCGTGACATCCGCTCATACGGGACGACCTTCCGAGGATCAAAATCCGCTAGCATGCCGAGCAATATCTTGAAAGTCAGGCGGTATTTGTCGAGCATGCTGTGGACAGACGACACGACGGTTTCGCTAATCACGACGTCCTTGGTCCACTCACTGGACGCTGCCCATAGTCGCAACGCGTCTGGGCCGAGTGGATGGACTTCGCGCTTCTGTTTGGTTTGTTTCGCAGGAGCTGCGAATCCCGAGATTATTTGGTCAGGGGCAATGACATTGCCTAGCGATTTGCTCATCTTCTTGCCTTGGGCATCCAAAGTAAAGCCATGGGTCGCTAAAGTGCGGAAGGGAGCGTGCACTCGATGTCCCGACGCGGAACCGGAATCCGAGGTTGACTGCAAAGACTTCTGGTACGCAATATTCGTGAGTAAGCTCGACTGAAACCACCCTCTATGCTGATCGGTGCCTTCGACATAGACATCCGCCACTGGTGTTGCCTGTGACCGAGACCCACCAGACACAAGGTCATCCTTGAGCATGAGCGTCCAGCTTGTTCCACTGTCAAACCAGACGTCCATCGTGTCAGTGCCTCGAATGTAGTCTGAAGCGGCTCCTGGCAGTCCTGGCACAATCCAACGGCTGTCGTCTTGAGCATCAGACCACCAGGCATCGATCCCACGCTCGTTGATGGTTTTGATGATGTGATCAATACTCTGGGACGTGAGAACTGCGTCACCAGTGCTCTTGTGGTAGATGGCCGGAATCGGCACGCCCCAAGCCCTCTGTCTGGAGATGCACCACTCGCTTCGATTCTCTACAAAACTCCGCAGTCGCGCTTTGCCGGTCCCTGGAAGAAATGTTACGGCGTCGAGAGACTTGAGCGCATCGGTTCTGATCTTGGAAACGTCCGCAAACCATTGGGCTGTTGCGCGGATGATGACTGGCTCTTTGGTGCGCCAGTCGATGGGATACTTGTGGACATAGTTATGCTGGTGGACTAGTCGGTTGTTCGCTCGCAAAAGTTGGAGGACGCTCTCGTTGCCCTTTTTGAACACCTCTTGTCCCGCGAGGAGACTAGGATCGTCGGGTGATGCGGTGTCGTCGAAGCGGCCAGAATTGTCGACCGGAGCTTTGACGGAAACGGTAGAGACTTTGATCAAGGGCTGCAAAGCCTCGTAGTCTTCCATACCGTGACCTGGCGCGCAGTGCACAAGTCCCGTACCGCTCTCAGCGGACACGAAGTCTGCATGGATGATGGGGCGATTTGCTGCTTCACTCCCGAAGTGGTGCAAACCAGAGTACGTACTCTGTAAGAGCACATCAATGGGAACATTTTCCATGATGACTTCCACGCTCTCTCCGATGCACTCCTGAAGGTACGTCAACCTCGACCGGGCCACAAGCAGCGTGCCATGAGTGTCTGATTTGACGAGACAATATGACAGAGACGCGTTGATTGCGATTGCTTGGTTGGCGGGGAGAGTCCAAGGCGTAGTCGTCCAAATCAAGGCATGAACAGGACCATCCGAGAACGGTTCAAACCTGTCTAATGGGAACTTGACCAAGGCTGCATTAGAGACATGATCATCTCGGTACTCGAGTTCAGCTTCCGCAAGCGCAGTCCCCGAAGAAGGCGACCAGTAGACGGGCTTATGCTTGCGGTATATCAACCCATACTCTGCCATCGCCTGAAACACAATCAACTGCCGCAGCTCGAAATCTTTCTGCATGGTCTTCCAGTGATTGGCCCAGTCGCCCATCACAGCCCAGGATCGGAAACCAGCCATTTGTTTTTCCACGGTCTTGTATGCGAACTTCCTTGCGGCGCTTCGTATCGAGACGGGATCGACACCTTGTCCTCGTTCCCAGCCATGCTTCTCCAAAGCTTTGAGCTCGATTGGCAACCCATGACAGTCCCAGCCAGGTACATAGTCCACCCGCCGGCCTTCAGCGAGCCTGGAGCGACAAATAATATCCTTCGTGATCTTGTTGAGAGCATGTCCGACGTGCAGGTCTCCGTTCGCGTACGGCGGCCCGTCGTGGAGAACAAAGGTGTCCGAAGAAGGCCGTTCCTGGCGCTGCCAGGCATAGAGGTCATCTGCGCATCTTGGAAGATATCTGGCAAGGTCTGCGGGCCTTGGCCGTGGTGGGAAAGTCGACGAGGGAAGACGGAGAGTACTTTTCAGAAATTTGGCCGCATCTTTCAGAGGTGCTGGCATAGCACAAAGATACCATGCCAAAAAGCCACAGCCGGGACAAAACGTAGCCAGCCACCCGTGTATCTACGAGACAACTCAGGGTGAGGAACTGGTTGGTAGAGGGAGATAATTTGCTCCTTTGGCGCACAGCTCAAGAAAAACCGACTTGCGCGAAAACGCGGTTTGGACAGCGCGCAAGCTCCGCAGCGAATTGAATATAGAGTGGAACATATTCTCGTGAAGCGCCATTCACACGGAGGTAGGTGGCTCGGTGGGTAGTCAATACATGGGAAAAGTCCGAGTCTCTCGGCAAACAACCATCTCTTTAGTCTGCAACAGACAACCTGAACACTTCTTGTCGTCCTCGAGCATCCCTAACCGATTATACGGCGGTTTTCTAAGAATCAGGTTGCTCGTTGCAAAATACTTGGGGAGCAGGCGTCCGCGCAAAGATTCTAGAGGCATATTGCATTATTCACTGGAAAGAGACATGGACTATGAGAGCTCGACAATAACGTGCACTTCGACGATGGGAGGAAGATGCTTAGACTCGCACCGCGCCAGCCGTGTGAATGCAGGAACCCAACACCACAAACGCCCTCGCTAAAAGCAATGCCACCAATGCAGCCCGCGTGAGATCGTCTCCGCAGTCGTGAAAGACAGGCATGTCCCGCTCAAGATTTGCCTGATTCTGATGTTTTGGATTGGATCAGACCACTACTCGGAGATACCCTGGAGGCCCATTCCCTGAAACGAGTTTAGCACACATACTTGGAGTCAATAGTTGTCAACGAAACTTACGTCCAGCTACCATCGTACAGCCTCCGGTCGTGCTCTGAGCCGAACTCCGCCTCCTTGAGGGCCGCCTCGATGATGGCTGCGGTCACGCCAGTGCCGCAAGTGGTAATGAATGGCGTCTTGGGGTCAAGGTGCTTGCTCTCAAAAACCTTTTTCAACTCCTCCTGAGGCAGCAACGCCTTGGTCTCGGGATCCAGCAACTCCTGGAAGGGCAGGCTTGTTGAACCAGGCATGTGCCCGCTTCGGATTCCGGCTCTCGGTTCTGGTTCTGTACCTTCCCATCTACCTTTGGACCGAGCATCGAGTATCTGAATCTCTTCTGAACCCTCCTTTCCATAGTCGTAGCCTATTGTTTTCATCTCCGCAAATTTCACCACCATGTCGGTATTATACGCGGGAACTGGATACTTGGTGATGTTGGGAACTTCTGGAGGACCAGTCTCAATAGGGTAACCTTCCTTGACCCAGAGACGGAAATTGTTGAGAATGTGGACTTTGGGGTGGCCATAAACCCGCATGGTCCAGGCCACACGAGGAGCAGAGAATAAACCGAGCTCTTCAGTGTCGTAAACGACCACTTCATCCTCCCGTCGGACTCCCATCTTGGACATTGCGTCTGCAAAGGCATCGCAGGTAGGGAGCATGTGTGGCCATTCCGACTCTTGGTCTTTTATCTCGTCAATGTCAAAGAAACGAGCAGTGGGTATTCTCTTCTTAAGGAAAACCTGGAGACCTGTTCTTTTCTCGGGATCGTTGGGCATGAACCAGGCGGCACAGATGGGGATGACTTTGGGGGCCGTGGAGATGGCAGTAGGTGCATTCTTCTTTAGGGCTTCGTCGAGCTCCTTTGGTGTCACCAGGTACGACGAGAAGCCTCGGCAGCGCATGCTGGATATGCGATGGAGATGTGCATTCAAAGGACGACGAACTCCGCATCGCCAAAGTGGCATAGAGCCGAGCGAGACGGTCATTGTGCGATGGACCTATTGATCATATCATCGTTGTGTGAGGATCGGCAGGAAACTGGGCCATGGCTGTGAATGTGCTAAGGACACAGCAAACAGTAGAATGGAGATAATGGTTATGAGTAACAAATCTGAGCTTTGCTGGGTATCATATCTAAGCTCCGAGCTTTTCCTTTGCTACTCCGCATCTGACGTATTAGTTCATCTGGACCCGAAGCCACAAAATCCAAGGCCCGCACCGGCGGACTGCAGGCCTTTGACGCGACAATGTCCACGCGACAGCCATGTGACAACCATCAACCCTCCAAACTGTCGGTTCAAGTCTACACAAACATTGCGCGCAACGACTTCGACTTCGACCTCGACGCGATCCAGCCAAAATACTGCCTAATACTGCCTACATATCCTCCTCAACCAGACTATCTTTCTAGATTCGCAGTGAGATCTGCTTCGGCATGAAAGTCAAGATCAAGACATGGCACGCGGTGGCCACATGGCGTTGGGACATGCCCGAGGACGAAGTCTGTGGCATCTGCAGAGTCCAGTTTGACGGCACTTGTCCTACATGCAAGTTTCCCGGCGACGAATGCACACTTTTGATGGGAAAGTGCGGCCACTCATTCCACATGGTATGTTTGACGGTTTACGGCTGCCAAAACCAAGCTCACCTGAACAGCATTGTTTATTAACCTGGATACAACAAGAGTCCGCCAAGGGTCTCTGTCCAATGTGCCGTCAGAGTAAGTATTGTTCAGCTCACGACAAGATGCCGAAAACTAATATTCTTAGAATTCGAATGGAAAGACGGTAATCAGCAAGCACCGGCGGTGGAGACTGGTTGAACATACGCTCATCGTTAAAGATATGCACATCCAACACAGACTGAGGTTTTGGTGCCGAACACAATGACAACGTCTCATCAAGTGTACACCTCTTCTCGACGACAGAAGACCGGAATATGTCGGTCGCACGAAGTATCTTTAGCCGGGGCTGAGGACTCAAAAGTTCCCCCTGCATGGACCCCGGATCACTGCAGAATGCCGACGCAATCCATCGACGATGGACTGGGTATAACGACGAACTCGACGCTAATCGGGGAGACTGTTCTTTCGGTGTCATGGATCAAGTTTATCCGGACAGATGACCTCGATTTGAGGGGGCAGAGCAGCACTACTCCCTCTAGGTTGCTAAGTCTGCTTTCGTAGAAGACGGCAGACGACCTAGACACGGTACCGATACTTGTAATTGGCGCACTCTGTGACATGGAAGGGGGTCTCATGGGCTTGTTTGTGGAGCTGGCGTGTGTGCAATATACCTTGATATCACCCACGGTGACTGTCGGAAGGCACTGAATTCAACTTTCTTCCCTTTCCCCCTACTTGTTTCAGAAGATAGTTGCAAGCACGATGGCACCTGCTGGAACTTGCTGCGTATCTGGTTGAGCCCAGTCTACCAGCGCGGGAACCGCAACGTTGTAATTGCACACTCCACCTGATGTATCAATCTTGCTGGAGGGTACAGTATCGATCGTAAAAGCAGCGTGATTCATGTCCACCTTTTGTTCCGAAGCGGCAGTCTGGGTTAGCTAGCCCTTGGCTTTCGACATGCGGGTCGTAAGTTTTGTCACTCCGCAAAACCTGGATCACTTGAAATGTTCTCTCAACTTTCCGAACTTCTTTTGTCCTCCTAATTGAATGAAACACTTCTTGTAAAACTGCTCTTTGCCGCAACATAGGAGAGTTGGCACTTGAACCACAACCTGCGCATACCTTTCCTCACTTGCACCGAGTTACCTAGCCAAATCCGCCTCTGAACCAAGTCTCCCACATTCTGAGAGGAACAGAGGACAGAAGTCCTGAGTTAGCAGGGTCAAGATGGATCAAGCGGCTGCGCAACCTCGGAAATGCCCCGGTTTGAATTGCGAGAATGACGCATCCTCTCTACAATGTCCCAAGTGCAAAGAAATGGGCGTTGACAGTTTCTTCTGCTCACAAGACTGCTTCAAGCGGAGTTGGGTAGGCTGACCTCTGGTCTTTTGTAAGAAAGACTATGACCCATGGAGAGAATGGAGATTGCTAACCTTGCTTTCCAGGCTGAACACAAAGTTCTACACAAAAGTACGAATCCCTTCCGCAATTTCATTCCTCCAAAGGTTGTGTCTAAAGTCGATCCAGAAAGCGGTCACTTCAACCCATTTCCTACCTATCCTTTCACCGGTCCTTTAAGGCCTGTATATCCTCTGTCTCTGAAACGGGAGATCCCGAAGTCGATACCGCATCCAGAATGGTCGCAGGACGGTATACCCAGATACCCATATGTCCGCAAAAACAACGTCCAGACACTTGATGAAAAGGGCATCGCGGGCATGCGCAAGGTGTGCAGATTAGCTAGAGAAGTCCTTGATATCGCCGCCGCCGCAGCGAAGCCCGGGGTGACGACGGACTACATTGACGAGATTGTTCACAACGCTTGCATCGAGCGCAATGTAGGTTGGGCATTGTCGACTTTGCGACCAAGGCTAACAGGCTATTCTAGTCATACCCTTCCCCTCTGAACTACAACCACTTCCCGAAGTCTGTCTGTACCTCCCCGAACGAAGTCATCTGTCACGGCATTCCTGACCAACGAGTTCTCCAAGACGGCGACATCCTCAACATTGACGTTACGCTGTATCACGAAGGCTACCACGGCGATCTGAACGAGACGTACTACATCGGCGACAAGGCCAAGGCTAATCCGGACAACGTCCGCCTCGTCGAAACCACACGTCAATGTTTGGATAAGGCCATTGAGCACGTCAAACCGGGAGTCAAAATCGGCGACTTTGGGGACATCATCGAGAAACACGCCAAATCCCAGAGTCTCAGCGTTGTCAAGACCTATTGTGGACACGGCATTAACTCTCTATTCCACTGCGCCCCAAATGTGCCGCACTATGCGAAGAACAAAGCCGTGGGGAAATGCAAGGCGGGGATGACTTTCACGATTGAGCCGATGATTTGCTTGGGCAGTTACAAGGACAAGACATGGCCAGATGACTGGACGGCAGTCACGAGCGACGGAAGCCGCTCAGCCCAGTTTGAGCATACGTTGCTGGTTACGGACGATGGAGTCGAGGTCCTAACAGCACGGTTGCCGAATTCGCCTGGTGGTCCCGTTCCCATGCCAGGTTCTGCAGCGACAAATGGGGAAGTCAATGGGGATGCAGCGAAGGCTTGAGCCTGGTAGTGGAGAATTGGTAGGCATAGGGAACTGGACGGTTTCCAACGCTTTGATACCGGCTGAATGCGATCGGTGCTCATGACATAAATCTCTCAACGTTTCCGGAATGCTTAAGGACTTCGCCGATGTGGTGGTTGTTCATAGATATGCCTGGGACCTTCTGATGCTGTGCGATAAAATCCAGAACAGCCCACGTCCTCGAGGTTTCTAATTTTGTGAGCACAGCCGTTGGAAAGACACTTGTTCATTGATGTCATGTCTGTTTTTGATCCCCATGGCAATACTAGTCACAGCAAATACTGCTGTTGACGATTTCGCTGGCCGATGACATGACGCGAGATGTTCTTTACCGGGGACATTTGGTGCCCACGTGACGAGGCTGCGCAGAACAGGGGTTTGAGGCCCAAACAACGCTCGAAAAGGAGGAATTAGGTGAGGGCTTGAGGGTGTGAACGTAGCAAGCGGCATTGATCTATTCTGGCATTTCGTGGAGATACAAACGATTGCGAAATGTAATACCCTTCGTGGCCTTTTTGGGCCTTCGGAGTGTCTCCTCACTCTGAATGTCTTCGTTGAGCTCACACATTTTCGACGACTGACTGTCGTCCAAAAGTCTCTCCGTACATCACTTTCAAACGCCGCAGGGCCGCAAATATAAACGGTGGAGGGCCGGCCGGGTATCTCGTGGGATGAAGCGTCTAACGGGCTGACCGCGTATGCCGGCTCAATTAGTCGTCCAAACGGTGCGGCATCAGGCTGGCCATGGCGATATTAGTCTCTGCCCAGCACCTGGTGGTTTTGAGGGGAGTAATAAAGCAAAGGACCCTCTGAAGGGGCGATGGTCAGGAATTCAGCGTCTCTTCAAACTCTGGCGGAAAATCCTTTGGCTCGTCTTTGAATAGTGCCTTTGACCCGCTCCGGACAATGTGGATGCTCTTCGCAGGCAGGAAACATATCGTATAGCAGGGCTTGCACCGCAACGAGTTAGATTGAGTCTGGAGGCGACATAGGCTCTGGTTAGAGTGCCGGCTGCCCACCCATCACCAAGTCATGGCAATATTTCCCTCGCCAAGGGGCGAATAAGGCTATCGATAGACAATTTACTCCTATACTCGTACAAGACGCGTTGAAGACTTCTTGCGACAGGTATATAGCACGACGTGTGCATCGTCACAATCACTTGTTGCCAGAAGTACCCGAAGCGCTACAACGAAATTTAGGCAGGGATGTCTAACCTTCCCCAGCTTTTCCCCCGGGGAGTCTGAAATGGATTCTTAGCTGACAGGCAGATTTAGCCGCTTAGAACGGGCCTGATTTGGCCCCTGGGTGTCTTGCTGAGGGAGTCCTCAGGGGGTCCCTAGGGATGTTCAGTTGAATTCTCAGGTAGAGCTTACGTTAAAGCGGTCCTCGCTCACCCTCTAGGACCAAACCGCATATAGCCATTAAGTTTTTCGTTCTCGAGTAATAGAGGTAGTCAAGCTCATGGGAGTAAGCAACGTTATCTGTTGAGCGAGTGACCTCTCGAAATCACAATCTCACTAGCCACAGCTTGGCTTTGGCTGGCACTCGCCACACCTGCCACTTATTTCACAGGCCCGACTCATTTGGCGTGAACTTATCCTTTGGGGCCGGCGCAGTCTGGCAAAGTGAATGCATTTGGACCACCAGCTAATATAAGGCACATCTCCTAAGACTGCCATCCATTCTTAGATGCAGTTGACCATGCGGTCAACATGTCAGATCAGAATTATCGGAAGCCATTATTCCTGGCCCTTGCCGGGGCCGTTGCCCTCACTGCGGCCTACTATACCTACACGCAATATGCGAAACCTTCCCGCACAGAACGCTCCTCTCTCCATCGCAGCAATGCCATTCGTAGGCCGAGAAACAGAAGGCGCTGGCGTCGCGGCTTCGAACAAACAAACCTCGATTATGATCCAGTCGGGCGAGCAATCGACAGTCTGCAAACTCGGAACGCAAGCAGAGAAGGATATGGAGAATACGTGAACAAATGGTTCTTTCCTACACAGGCACACAGGCCACTGCAAGACATGACGCTGATCCCGTGTAACTTGCCCTATATCAACGACTACCTCTTGCAACATTCTCCGGCGCAGTTGTCCCCCCACCAACATGAATATCTCCTCCTTCATCTCCACGGGTGTTTTGTGCAGAGGTTCCTGAAGGAGGAGTTCCCCGAAGGTTATATCATTGGAGACGATGCGTGGATGCTGGCACAGGCAATGGAGCGCGAGGGAGTCTTTGCGGAGGCTGTTTTCCAGGTGGCGAAAGCTTTTGACGAGGGGCGATTCACTCTCACGGATGAGTGGAGTCCCCTTGCTGCTCCTCGACAAAGTCCCAGAACTAGCCCTGTACAGACTGACGGTGCGATGGAACAAGGTGGTTTAGCGCCTCGCGAGGCACTTCAGGCGCTCGCGGATCCTGACGACGCACATAGCGACATTTCATCCGGCAACAACGAGGAGGACCCTGAGGGGAGCCAAAACATGCTCGACCTTCTTTACCATATCGCTGGCGAGCAAGCACGACGAGAAAGCTATATCCACCGCGGTGTCGAGTGTAACAGCTGCGGCATACACCCCATTCGAGGCATCCGCTATCATTGTGCAAACTGTTTCGACATGGACCTCTGCGAAAGCTGCGAAGCCAGTTCTGCACATGGGAAAGGCCATGTCTTCTACAAGATCCGGATCCCAGCTCCTTCACGAGGAAACATTAAACAGGTCGTCCCGGAGTGGTATCCTGGCAACCCGAGCGCTTTTCTCTCGTCTTTGCCGACGAGTGTATCCAAGCCATTGCTCGAGGAGACCAGAATGGAGCGTACCGAGATGGATGCTCTTTACGAGCAATTCAAATGCCTTGCAGGACACTACTTTCCTGGCGACCCAACTGGTTTGGGATGTGCCATTGATCGAAAGGGATTTGATGCATATTTCATCCCTTCGACCGGAGATAAACCTTCTCCCGCAAATTTGATTTACGATCGAATTTTTGCCTTCTATGACACCGACCAAAACGGTCTCATCACCTTTGACGAATACATACGCGGCCTTGCTCGCCTGCAGGACAAGAGCCGATATGCCAGGCTCAAGCGTATCTTCGAGGGGTACGATCTGGACTCGGATGGCTACGTGGACCGTAAAGACTTTCTTCGCATGTTCCGGGCGTATTATGCATTAAGCAAAGAGTTAAGTCGGGAAATGATTGACTCGCAAGAAGATTTTGGATATAACGAAGAAGAAATCCGAGAAGTGGTTCAAGGCAGCCAACCTATCAGCGCTGCGTTTGGTGGCGGCACTCTCTATGGCCACGAATCCAGGAACGGTCAGGGTAAGCAACGCCATGCGAACGGAGATCTGCAACTTCCCAACGGCACAAATGGCGTCCTGCAGCCGGACGGTGACATGAGCGGAGATCGGGCACGGGCTATCGGGAACGCTGCACTTGGCGGTCGGACTAGGAACCATCCTTTCAGATCGTTCAGACAGGAGCCTCCAGAGGACGAACCGCTGATGATGCTCCCAATGGGAAGCAATTTCATGCAGTCAGGCATGGAGCAGGAGGAGGTAACCGAGGAAGAAATCACTGGTCCCGATGCACCGTTGCAGACATATGCTTGGCCCCCGGTGCGGACTCCAGATCCTCAGGATATCAACGAGGCACTTGGACAAGCGGTGCCGTTGGATGATATAACAGACCCCGTTGACAGGACCAGAGTCCTCTTCGCTCAATCACAGCGCCTTGATGCTGAAGGCGATCGGGCCGAGGAAACTTCACGCGCCAGGGCCGTTGAAGAACGATGGCGCCGCCGACAATTCTATCTCGATCGCGAGGAAGGTTTGACCAGACCACCAGGCTACACTGAACCCGATAGTTCAGACGACGACGACCTAGCCGAACCGAAGAAGAATGGGCACAGCGATATCAGTCCTCGGAGAGCATCCATGGCCTCGAGATCCTCGTCCAAGGTCCGCTTTGATGATAGTGCCATCGAGGGAGACTACGAAACCCGTTCAAATGCTTCATCTCGAAGCATCCCTGTCAACGAAAGATGGGGCGGCTACGAGCTTGGCCAGGCTGAAGCAGACATCGGCAAAGACATTCTCTACCAAGCTGTGCAACAGGGATTCAACGAGTTGCTCGATGTGCTGTTCAAGGACAAGGAGAACGAGCATATGGAAGCATCTCAGACACGTGTGGATCGGCATTGCTTTGAATACGAAAGAGCGAAGTTCGAGGATCTGCTTGATGAACTGGAAATTGAAGAGGATGAAATAGATGAAGATGTGATTGAGACACTAAGACAGAGACAAGAGGAGGAGAAGGAGCAGAAGCAACTGGCCATAACTGACGCTGCAACAAAGATCAAACTGGGCAATGGAAGCCTAGTTCCCCAGGATTCCGAAGATCATATAGGGCTGATGTTCGGTTCTCAAGATTTGTCCGGCCAAAGGGTGACTGTGGGTCTTTCCACTGCAACAGCCGAAACAAATGGAGTCTACCGTGATCCAACGCTTCCGCAGTTTCGACCTGACGAACCGGAACCGCCAACTATATCCTCAAGTGGGAGAGTGGCTCCTTGTCCTCCTGGCCCGGTCCAGCGGCCAGGTCCCTTTGCAGGTGATCCGGAGAAGGCTCTCAAGACGTATTACCTCTGGCTCCGGCACGACGAGATCGATGAAGAAGAAGAACGTCGTGGCGGCCCCGGGAAGCTCAGCTTTGCAGAGTTTCAACGCAAAATGGTGTCCAAAGATGAGGCCATCAACGCTTTGGGGGACAAGGACGAGAGCAAAAGCGACAGCAAAGACCGGGAGATATGGGAGAGCAGTGCAGACCTAGGAAGACTGGCCTTTGTGGGTACTTGGCTGGAAATGGCCAGTTTCTAGCTGGGTGTTAGCTTGGTGCTGGAGGGCGTGGCCCTGCTTTATGTTTAGACTGTACTACCAACTCCACGACGGCATGACGAGGCAAAAGCATGATACCCAAGGAGGTTCTCGAAGGAAGGAAGTCCCATTTTTCCATAGGACCAATATTCCGTGTAGATTTAATAGGCCGGACCATTCCAAGTGTTTCTACGCCGTCGTGCTTAGAACCTTCGAAATGATACCTGTACTCCGTACAGCCTTGTTGGCTGCAAGGCTGTGTTACGGAATTACTATTTTTCCATCTCCGGCTTGACATGTTGTCAGCGCTGGGCTGGGCTTTTGGAGAATCCATCTACTGCATGACGAGGATCAATTCAACGCCATGGGATGGCTCTACCCGAGTTTCTTGCGAACGGAATCATGAGAGACCCATCAAATTGCTCTGCGGGCAGCTAATTGGGTTGGAGGAATAGCTAAGCGCAACCAGTTGTGGCCCTTCAGACAGCGCCAGGCGCGCCCGTGACAGCAGCCTGCGATGAGAGCGCTCGACAAACAGCCGCCACGCCACATTGCAGGTCTCTGATCTTCTATGCACAGGCCCGAAGTACCCAAAACACCATGCGCAATCAGACTTCTGGTGGTATGTTGACCGCCGTGAAACGCGAGCGAATGAGGCCACTCCACGAGACTTCGTCCGGAGCTCTGAGTGGTCAGATTCAAACAGGCCCCTGGTGTTGAGTATCAAAATCCCGTGCCACTGGCACGCCAGACAATGAAGGCAATTGACATAGACCGCCCACCTGTACTTCTGCTGACTTTTGCACTGATGGCTTCTCCTGCTTTCAACATGTCTCTCCTTTACAGATTGATTGCTTTGCTAGACAGGCAAGTGAGAAGCACAACACTCCTTTAAGATCGAGAATGACCCATCTTACGCATCCATGGATGGCAATCCGCCGGCCGCGGAACCTCAAGCGACAAAGATGGGTTGCTGGGGTCGGCTTTCCGGGGGGCATACGGCAACAGTGCAGTTGTGGAAAGCCTCATTCTCGAAATTTTGATCTGTGCCTTCTATTCCCTCGACACAGATTTGGCTCCAGCCGGTTTAACACCGTGTTCTTGCTGTTATTCCGGTTGTTTTATCATGCATCTTCCTTCGAAGTCGCCCACACCGGTTATGCCAGACGACTTTATTTGCCGCTTCCGCCGGAGACCGTGTCGAAGCCTTTCGAAGAAGTCGGCGACGAGAAGCCACTTATAGCCCCCAACCAAGGGCTTCCGAACCTATTCAAAAACTTCAGACGCTTTTCGACGACGGGATGGTTAGACACGTTGCTCCAAGACCCCGCCGAATTCAAGAATCTCAAGGTCAATTCGATCACGTGGATCAAGGCTCTTGCCTCCCCGTTCTCTCATGAATTCATCCAATTCATTGTCGAGGACTCTGTGAGCGGTCAACGTACCCGGGTCGCCGCTGGCCGAGAAGAAACCGGAGACTGGGTCCTCGTTGGCTGGAATTGGGCCTTGGGGGACACGCCATCCGATCATTACAATCTCCCACTGCCACTCCTGACGGTCACTTTTGATGATGTCAACAAGCGGCCAGACTTGCGAGCGCTGGCTTATGTGCTATCTGCCACTACCGAGAAGCATCCTGCATATAAATTTCGCAGAGAAATGTGCTGGTGGTACGCCGAGACTGTGCTGGAGGTGATGCACGAGCACTTTGGAGGGAAGGTCAAAGAATGGGAGTGGTCGAGGTATCGATATTCGTTTATCGTCAAGACGAGCTTTATCAGACGTAGAGTTTTGACCATGCATGCCGAGTTATTCAAGCGGCAGCTGGCCGAGGAGATGAGTTACTAGACTGCATGGATTGGATCTCGCATGACTGACACGGACATTTTCAAGGCTCTGGAGTCGGACATTTTTGGCATATATATATCAGAGGCCTGCATATCCAGAGACCTGCAAGTCCTGAGTTGGAAAACGGGCCGTATGGGTACTACAGTAGCTTGGTATATGATCATAGAACATTAGAGCGAGAATAACTTCCATACTAATGTGATTTGTACGTGCCCAAGGCTACGCAAGGCTGAAGTGCCGAAGATTAGCCACTCCCGCGTCATCCCTCCTGCGTTCCTGTGCCTCGCCATCCCACTTCCAATCCGACGTGCCGCACACTCACTCGCAACACCTCCGCCTTCAACCCTCACCTTCACGGCGATAGTAGAGAGCTACTCCTATCGCTCTCCCTTCAAGATGTCTGGCCCGGAAGTCCACCATCTCTTCCACCACCCTATCGCAGACCATTCGTTCTCGGCGGACCGCCAAACCCTTGCCGTGGCACGAGAGAATAATGTCGAGCTGTATCACCGCTCCGGCTCCAAGTTTGCGTTGAAAGATGAATTGAAGGGCCACGACAAGACCGTCACCGGCGTGGACATCGCGCCCAATAGTGGGATGATTGTGACTTGTTCTCAAGGTGACTCTAGCTCGTCTCCGTCTGATCCGTGCAGATGACTGACGCCTCATGTTACCACGGTAGACCGCAACGCCTACGTCTGGGAACCCGCCCCGTCCGGGGAATGGAAACCGACCCTTGTCCTCCTTCGCATCAACCGCGCCGCCACGTTCGTACGCTGGTCACCCTCGGAGAAGAAGTTCGCCGTCGGCTCTGGCGCCCGCGTCATCGCAGTCTGTTACTTTGAAGAGGAAAATGACTGGTGGGTCTCGAAGCATCTGAAAAAGCCCATCCGGAGCACCATCACGACAGTAGCTTGGCACCCGAACAGCGTGCTTTTGGCGGCTGGTTCGACGGACAGCCATGCCCGGGTCTTTTCTGGCTTCATCAAAGGCATCGATGAACGCCCTGAGCCGAGCGTGTGGGGGGAGAGACTGCCCTTCAACACCGTGTGCGGAGAGTACTTGAACGACTCGGCCGGGTGGGTGCATGCCGTGTCCTTTTCGCCCAGTGGCGACGCATTGGCGTTCGCGGCGCACGATAGCAGCATTACCGTCGTGTATCCCAGCGGACCGGACCAGCCACCAAAGGCGATGCTGAACATCTCGACGCAAACCCTCCCCTTCACGTCGCTGATCTGGAACGGCGAGGCCGAGATCCTCACCGCGGGTTATGATTGCGAGTGTTTCCGGTTCCGAGGCGGTGAGCAAGGGTGGGAGCTGGTGGGCAGCGTGGAGATGCATAAGCGCCCGGGTATGGGTGGCGCAATGAGAGAGGAGTCCGCGCTGAACATGTTCCGACAGATGGACCTCAAGGGGAAGGTCAAAGATGACACACAGTTGAGCACCACGCATCAGAACACGATCAACACGATCAGGGCGTTCGAGGGCGGTCCTGGGCGCGTGACCAAGTTCAGCACAAGTGGTGTTGATGGACGGGTTGTCATCTGGACGCTTTAGAGGTTGTATGTCCCACCGGAAAACTCGGGCTCGATGCGCAATGCTTTGAGACCCATAGAAGACGTTTGCTCATTTGATCCTCGGACCAGAGCAGACTCGCTATAGGATAAAATCTAACAGGGAGAAATTTCCTTCGCGATAGCCTCCGTTCCACCCCCATCTACCTCCACGTCCTGAATCGCCCACTTTTTGATAGAGCGCTGCTGGTGCTGGCGCCATAAGCCTGCTCGGGCAAGAGCGCATTCAGCTTCGCGAGGTGCTTTCACTTTGCCCTTCCGTCTCCTCTCCATCTCCTTCTGCTCCTTGCTCTCCTTCCGTGGACTCCCTTGCTGGATCTCGACCACCAACCACCTCGGCCTCGGCCTCGGCCGCGTCCGCGTCTGCGTCCGCATCAATCGCCCTCATCCGCACCGTAAATTCCAGCTGCAACCTCCTCAACCAACCCCTCAAAGCTTCCGCCCTGCCCTCGCCTCTAACGGCGGTCTCCCTCGCCTGGCCCAACTGCTCCTTGACGTTCAGGATCAACTTCCTCCTCCTGGCCACCGCCGTGGCTCGAGGATTTCTCTTCCTCGCTTCATTCCGCTCGTGCAACGCCTCGGAAACCCGCGTGGCCGTGTCGACCACGTCGCCAGGCAGTCCAATCGCTCTGGCGAGGGCCAGCCCGTAGAACCTTTCCTCCTCGTACCCGTCTGCGATCTTGTACCGCATCGTCATCTTGGAGTAATCATCGCTGATTTCCGCTGACAGGTGCAGATTGGCGACGCCGGCGCGATCGGCCAGGATGCGCGGCAGGTCGCGAAAGTGCGTCACGAACCAGACATAGGCCTTGGAGTCGATCAGCGTTTCGGCAATCGCGATCGCGATCGCCAGGCCATCGGTCGTGCTGGTGCCGCGTCCCAACTCGTCGACGATGACCAGGCTGCGCGGGGACATGTTGCGCAAGATGAATGCCATTTCACGCATCTCGGAGGCAAAGGTGGAGACGTTTGCCTCGATGTTGTCGTCTGTGGAGATGCGAGCAAAGATCTCGTGTGACATGGGGAAGGAGGCGTACTCGGCAGGCACGAAGCAGCCGATCTGTGCCATTACGGCCATCAGCGCCACGGAACGGATGTAGGTCGACTTCCCGCTCATGTTGCATCCGGTGATGATGTGGAAGCGGTTTTGTGGCGTGGCGTACACGTCGTTGGGCACAAATCTGTCGTGTTGATGTTGCAGCTTTTCACGAATAGGGTGGCGGCCGGACTTGATCATGAACGAGTCCATGTGGACTTCGGGCTGCACGTACTCGTTCATGGATGTCGTCACGAGTTGGGCGAAACCCGCGAGCATGTCGAGCATGGCGATGGACTCGCTGATTTTGAACAGTGGATGGATTGTGCTGCGCACCTCGTCAATGAGCTCTTGCACGGTGGCGTCCGACAGGCAGATTACTTCGTTGTGGGCGTCCTTGATCTTCTGGTTCATCTTGATGAGATCCAGTGTTTGGCATTCGATGTATTTGTTCTTTTTGTATATGTTGATGAATGTATTAGGGATGGGGTTGTCCTTGGTCTCACTGGCTGGGAATCGGAGGTAGTACTGCCTATCGGAGTCGTATTTCAGTTCAATCGGAATTTCGGTCTCTTCTACCAATGTCATCAGCATTAACGCTCCGATTGCAGACTGCTTCATACCTTTGAGGAGGTTGAACATGTCGTTGACATCTGCGTTGAGCTCCTTGTATGCCTGACGAGCCACGTCGAGGAAGCTGTTGACTCCAGCCTGCCTCGCATTAGCCTGACCGGCAAAGGTCCATCTGTTGCCATACCTGAATGCCATAGACTCTCTGGTTTCGTAGATCGAGTGGTTTGGAGGAATACCGCACATCGACACTCAAACAGCGCGAGAGCAAATTCTCCACTTGCATGTAATTTCCTGGCTCGCAGAGCTTAAACAACAGTCAGGCCGATAATTGATCAACGAGGATTCAAAGTTACCTGGCGTATCGCCTGCAACTCGGCGCTGTTCGCGCCGGCAAGAGCCTGCCAAACCGGTTTGACTCCATCCACAAGCGTCTTGAGCATGAGAACATTGTTGATCGATTGTTCCATGAAATGGAAATCTTGCCTTGTTGATACGACGACAAGCTGCATGACTTAGTATTGGACCAAATCGGACCTTTCAATCACGAACCGTGGCAAGCACACGATCGGCATCAATGAAAGATTTCAGGGCTGGTCCACGTTAGCAGGGTCTTCTCAATGAATGGACCAAGTACCGGCTCGAACTGCAAAGAACATGTCCTCCTTGGATGTGAGCTCGCTGAGAGCTTGCTGTCTCTTTCTGATCTTTTCCGCATCCGTTGATGGTTGCAGGACATTGCTTCGGAGGAATCGAGCGCCCATTGGAGTCAGAGTATGGTTCAACAACCCAAGGAGACAGTCTCGGGACTTGTCGTTCTGGAGATTCTGGCTCAGTTCAAGCGAAGCCATTGTGGACAGATCAATCATGGTCGACCCTTCCGAGGGCTCAAACTTGATCCGAAGCGTTTGCGGCGCGAAGCTCAATTCCATGGCCAGGTCGATGTACTTCAAGGCCTGTATCTGTTAGGGAGACACAGAATAATAGCGTCTACTTTCAACCTACTGCCGAAAAGCAGCATATTGCAAAGTAACTTCCCGCGACAGACAGCTTCAACGATTCAACGTCATCCGGAAACGCCAGCTGATGGACATAATCATGGCCACTAGTTTCAGACCAGTATTTGCGCTCGATCCCGGTCATGGCAATGTCAAACTTTTGTACTTCGAGGTTCTCAGCGACAATCGAAATGAGTTTCGAATCTTCAGCAGTCTTCATGTAGATGATCTCAGAGGGAGCAAACACTTTGATCTTGTGGCATGTGCGAGCATAGGTTTGAGTATCAGCAAACTGACAAAGGACAGCTTCAGAAGTGGAAACGTTGACAAAGGAGAGGCCAACGGTAGGAGACACGCCTCGCGACTCGGAGACTGCACAAATGATTTCATTGTCACTGTAGCTGGTGGAAGTCGCCGTGGTTCTGGGACGTGACCTGCTACCTGTCTGTGGCCTGTCTGTGGTAGGTGTCAGTCTTGTGGCCGTGGTATTTCTGGTGCCAGCAGAGGTTGACTGTGCCCTGGAAGCCATGCTACAGGTTGCGGGCTCCGGGTCTCCGTGAAGCATGGGGGAGAAGGCTGAAGTTGAGAGTCGGATGGTCGAACGAGAGAGGAAGGTTTGCCGTGTCTTCCCCCTCACGAGGCTGAAGCCCACTTCTGCGCCTGCAACAATTTTTTGAAGAGCCCGAGCCTTGAGCCAGCCCAACAAGCCAGGCCTTACCTTCCAGCAGAGAGCCAGAATGGCCACCATAGCGCCGCCTCCTAGCAAGCGACAGAAGATCGCTGCAGAAGAGAGGGCAGAAAGGGCACTGGAAGAAACAAAAATACCAGACGACTTGGGCAGTGTGAGAGTGCAATTCGTCGACCAGAGCACAGGAAAGTCAACGGGACCTGTGGTTGCAGTTCCTGTGAAAGATGCCACTGTTAAAAACCTCGAGACTCTGCTGAATACGATTCAAGGCAATGTATGTAAATCTGCGTGAATAAGCGAGTGTCCCTCTAAACTTCGTTTTCAGGATCCCGCCGAGCGACTGCCCTACCGCTTTTTCTTTCAGAACGATCGAATCCCGACTACCCAAGAAGTTCCGAATGCCATTGTCGATGTGCAAACTGACGTGTACAACTCCATCCTCAAACCTGGCTTCAAGACCACCGAAGACAATATCATCCTCCAGTTCACTCCTCAGGCTGTATTCCGCGTCCGCGCTGTTTCAAGATGTTCCGCATCAATAGCAGGGCACGGCGAAGCCATCCTGGCAACTGCATTCTCACCGGAGACATCTTCTAGGATGGCCACGGGTAGTGGGGATAATACTGCACGAATATGGGACTGCGACACCGGGACACCATTGCATACCTTAAAAGGACATACGAGCTGGGTGCTTGCGGTTTCGTGGTCTCCAGACGGCAAAATCCTTGCCACGGGGAGCATGGACAATACTGTGCGGCTGTGGGACCCGAAGACAGGAGCTGCTCTGGGCGGCCCGCTGAAGGCGCACACGAAATGGATCACCAGCCTCTCATGGGAACCATACCACAATCAGGTACCAGGCAAACCTCGATTGGCATCAGCCTCAAAAGATGGCACAGTCAGAATCTGGGACATCCCGCTGCGCCGCATCGAGCAAACCCTTTCCGGGCACAAGGGATCTGTGACTTGTGTGCGTTGGGGCGGGCTTCATCGAGTGTTCACCGCCTCCCAAGATAAAACGATCAAAATATGGAATTCGCGAACGTGGAATTGTTTACACACATTATCCTCGCACACCCACTGGGTTAACCACCTCTCACTCTCCACGGACTTTGCTCTCCGGACATCTTACCACGACCACACGGGTAAGCACCCGTCATCAACTGAAGAAAAAATTGCCAAGGCAAAGGATCGATTCGAAGAAGCAGCGCGTCAGGAAGGAAAGTTGGTGGAAAGACTCATTTCGGCATCAGACGACAACACCATCTTCCTCTGGGAACCGTCTTCTTTTGACCCGGATTCGAAGGCCACCCCCAAGCCTGTTGCGCGCTTGCTAGGCCACCAGAAACAAGTTCTTCATGTCTCTTTCTCCCCTGATGGCCACTACATTGCCTCGGCAAGCTTCGACAACAGCGTCAAATTGTGGAACAGTCGAGACGGGAAATTCGTCTGCACCTTGCGAGGTCACGTGGGTGCTGTGTATATGTGCGCATGGTCAAGTGACAGCAGGTTGTTGGCAAGTTCGAGTAAAGATACCACTGTCAAAGTGTGGGACGTAAGGACGGGGAAGTTGAAGATGGATCTCCCTGGACATAAAGACGAGGTATTTGCTTTGGATTGGTCGGTGGATGGGGCCTGTGTGGCCAGTGGTGGGAAAGACAAGCTTGTCAAGCTGTGGAAGCACTGAGTTCTGTCCAGGATTGACATGTCTTTCAGAACGGTGGTGGGATTTTGTGGTAAATTTAATCGCGAGGCGCATAGATTAGACGTGATGATGACTGAGGACTGATACCCCACGATCAAAATGGTCAAGAAAAATATTGGATTTCAATGAAATATGTGCAGTTTTTTTAATTCTGTGAATTCTGTATGATTCTGGATTGTTACAAGCAACCATCGCCTTTACCACCCATCCGCCTGTGGTGGCCATCAGCTTTTTCCCAGACGACAAGAAACCGTACCATCTTCTTCCGCCACCTCGGATCTATCCCTCTTCACCTCTTACATTCTAAAACCGGGTTTCTGGCCAGGAGGGTTGTAAACAATCTTCCTCGTCTTGATGGGTGCCCACTTGTATCGCTTGATCCAACCACTCAGGGCCAATAGGGCGGTGCCAATGATCAGGACCTTGAAACCCATCTTCTTGCGGTCATCCATTTCCGGCTCTGCAGTCCAGTTCAAGAACTCAACCACATCTTTAGCCATTTGCGAGCTGGTGGCGGGCGTGCCGTCCTCATATTCAACCAGTCCGTCGTAAAGAACACGTGCCATCGCGATACCGGTGCCGGGGAAATATGGGTTGAAGTTGAGACCAGACTGGACGCTCGCACCCGCGGGTGGTTCCTCCGGGTACCCGGTCAGTAAACTGAAGATATAATTGCAGCCGCCGTGACGGGCCTTGACCATGAGCGATAGATCCGGAGGAAGGGCACCATTGTTGGCGGCACGAGCGGCTTCGTCATTCTTGTATGGGGACGGGATGTAGTCGGATAGCTTGCCGGGTCGTTTCTCAATTTCTCCCTCGTCATTCGGCTCGGTGTCGTACTCGTTTTCTTCGGCCATGGCCTTGGCTTCGTCGACAGTCATCATTGTGCCGACCAGTGACCGGTATGGAATTCGCTTGAGAGAGTGGCAGGCGGCGCAGACTTCACGGTAGACTTGAAACCCTCTTCGGAGACTGTCAAATGTCAACTCGATGTGCTCGACACCGTTATTTTGATAGCTCTTACGCAGCGTGGTCGAATGTTTTTGTCCATTTTGTGTGCTCCCACGGGTACTGGGTTGGGTGTAAACTTAAGCGTCTCGTCAGTTGCCTGTAGCTCTCCATCGCCTTCTTGAAGCTTACCCCTCTTCCGCGGGAGTCATGGCATAGACATCTTGACCGAACAAATGGTAGTACCAGGCAATCGAGCCTACTGTAGCTGCCGTCGCTGCAGAAGCGCCCAGTGTAAGGTAAAAGGGAGAGGAGGCGGCTTCGGAGGCGCTCGAAGATGCGGCACGCTAAATGCAACGTCAGTCACAGATCCCATTGAAGCACATCCACGCGCCGCCGCAGGACGTGCAAAAGAAAGGTGGACTGACAGTTGTGGTCTTGCGGACAATGGTTCTGGCAGCGACCCTCAATGGGGCACCGCGGACGGCCGACGTGGCCAACATCGTGTCCAGAAGCCTTATGCTCTCGACAGATGGTGGACTAGCCGTGCGAAGACGTAGCGAGGAGGGCGAGTCGTGGAGGGTGGAAGAGAAAAAGAGTGACTTGGCACAGGTCGTAGAGGAGGAGAGGATGTCCAAAGTCGAAGCTTGAAGCTACATTTTCCCGGGGTTCATTAGGCTCTCTATGATTGGCTGGCTCTCGATCTTCAAATCCTGGCTGGAAGCGGCAGCACCCGTGATGGCCACGTGATCTGCCAGCGATGTCGAAGTTCGTCACTCTGTTTGCTCTTCGACTGACTATGAAGACGACTCTGGTTTGCACTGCAAACCGACAATTTCTCTCGTCCTTGCGGCACCGATTGCTGCAGGGCGTGATGTCGATGCCTGAAGACAAAAATCCATCTTGGAATGACCAGTTCAAGAGTACGAACCAGCGCGACTTCAACACCCAGGTCATCATTTCCGTCGTCTTCGGACTTGCCGCGTTCCTTTCCTTCTGCGTACGTGCGCCCTCTTCTCTGGTGCTCTTTTCTGGATGCTAACTATTTACAGGTCCTTCGGCCCAAGTGGACTAGCCTGTATCATGCGCGCAAGAAACACTCCGGCGCAGCCTCGCGATTACCGGACCTACCCAAGTCACTGTTCGGATGGATCCCAGTGCTGCTGAGGATTTCGGACGCAGAGGTCCTAGCCTCCGCCGGACTCGACGCCTACGCCTTTCTGTCCTTCTTCCGATATGCCATCAAGTTTCTCTCCATCACCTTGTTCTTCTCCCTCACCATTATCCTGCCCGTCAATTACAGGTACACTGGCGAACTACCTTACCCACCTATTAATGGCACGGCGCCATTCCTCGAGCCTACGTTTCCGTTTGCCGACGATGAGAAGAGACCCAAGAAGCCCAAGATAGAGAAGGACGACAGCTATCTATGGATGTATGTCGTATTTGCCTACTTTTTCACTGGTGTGGCCATCGCTCTCTTGATTGTCGAGACCTCGACTATCATTCGGATCAGACAAGCTTATCTCGGGACTCAGTCCACCATTACCGACAGAACGCTGCGCTTGTCGGGCATACCAAAGGAAATGAGGTCGGAAGAGGCAATCAAGAACTTCATTGAGGACCTGCAGATTGGGAAAGTGGATAGCGTGATGCTATGTCGAAACTGGCGCAATTTGGACGAACTCATGTCGGGGCGCATGGCGTGCTTGCGGAAACTCGAACAGTCATGGGCAACGTATCTGGGTCATAGCCACTCGCTGCGTCATTCTCGCCGATCTCACGCAGAGCCTGCTCTTCTCGACAGCGATGATGAGAGCGGGGCCCTGCTTTCACGGTCGGAGATGGAACAAGCTCACGCCACGCCCGTGGGCAGAAAACGGCCAACGGTCAGCCTTCGATATGGACCACTCAAAATCTACAGCAAGAAGATTGACGCAATCAATTACTACGAGGAGAAGCTGCGGGTTATGGATGAGAAAATACATGCCCTGAGAAACTCCGAATTCAATCCGACGCCTCTGGCCTTTGTCACCATGGAATCAACTGCCGCATGTCAAATGGCTGTACAGGCAATTCTCGACCCAAAACCCGGACAGCTCCTTGCTAGCTTAGCGCCGCCACCGGCCGACGTCGTCTGGAAGAACACGTACCTTTCGAGGAATCATCGCATGGTACGGTCATGGACGATAATGGTATTCATCGGCTTCCTGACCATTCTGTGGGCTGCTCTGGTTGCTCCCCTAGCAGGTCTGCTCAGTATCGAGGTCATTGATAAGGTGCTACCTGGCCTTGCTGCAGCTCTCGAGGACCATGAGATCATCCGCTCGCTGGTGCAGACAGGTCTGCCGACCCTGTTATTCTCCGTGTTGGCGCTGGCAGTGCCCTACCTGTACGACTGGCTTGCCAATCAGCAGGGCATGACCTCTCAAGGCGATGTTGAGATGTCGGTCATATCCAAGAACTTCTTCTTTATCTTCTTCAACCTCTTTATCGTCTTCACAATCTGGGGTTCAGCTACTACGTTTTACGACTTCTGGCAGGACCTGCGAGACATCCTGCGAGATACGGCAGGAATCGCTTATGCGGTCGCCAAAGCTCTTGAACAACTTTCGCCGTTCTATGTCAATCTGATTGTCCTCCAAGGCCTAGGTCTTCTGCCATTCAGGCTACTCGAATTCGGGTCGGTGGCGTTGTACCCGTTCTACCTCATCAGCGCAAAGACACCCCGGGATTATGCAGAGTTGTCTCAGCCGCCGATCTTCAGTTATGGCTTCTACTTGCCGCAGACCATGCTTATATTCATCATTTGTATTGTGTATAGCGTCCTTCCTGCCTCGTGGATGATCACTTTATTCGGATTGGTGTACTTCCTGATTGGTGGCTTCATCTACAAATATCAACTGCTCTACGCTATGGAACACCGCCAACATTCCACCGGTCGAGCTTGGCCGATGATCTGCAACCGGGTCATTACCGGGTTGATTCTCTTTCAGGTTGCCATGACGGGCATTCTAGCGCTTCGGGGCGCTCTGACGGCCTCGTTGTTCTTGGCCCCTCTGTTGGCTGCCACCATTTGGTTTACCGTATATTTCCAACGCACATACGTTCCTCTGATGCGATTCATCGCGCTTCGAAGCATTGACCGCCCAGGCACCCCTCAGCTGCCCACGCCGCCAGAGTCGGCTTGGGATCGAGACACTGAGTATGGGCGAGCTGTCGATACGGACCCGGAATCTGGTCTTCGCTATATCAACCCGAATCTCGTCCAGCCTTTGGAGACTCTGTGGATAAGAAAACCCGGACATGGACGCCGTCAGAATGACTGAGGGTGGGGGATTGTACTCCTTTCGGACTTTCGTTGGAGCATAGCAAGCGAAGTGATTGAATTTTGTCGTCTTCCCAAAGATACCCATGTACACAGTTGTCACCCAGATCATGTTCATACTCCTGACTCTAATCTAATCACTCAACAAACAAGACAATCACACGAAATATTGGCCGGACTAGCCGGTCGCGAGAATGGTCCTTTCCGTCACGACATCCAACTTGGAGGGTTGCACTTTCTCCTCTCTATCGAGCAGGCGCAACTGACGGTCATTTGGGAGGCCGCTCAAGTCCAGACAGATTCAATTGTGTCGCCTGGGCCACGTCAGTCAGTCGGCCTGCAGGTGCGGCTCGATTGCTGTGCAAATCACCGCCTCAATTCTGGTTCCTCCTGGCCCTCCACAGCGATATCCCTTTGTTCCTATCTCCATACCTATCTTTACCCCGACGCTTACATTTTCTTCCTTTGCCCTCTCACATTCTCATTATCACTACTTGTAACCAATTTAGCTGTTGCCACCCTGGCTTTTGAGATCCTCGTGTCGCGAGGAATTGCATCTGTCCACGACCGAGATCTCAGGATGTTCTGCTCTGTCAGTCACAACTTCCGACCCGATTACCGACCTTCACTCTCCCTGAAAGACTTCAAACCCGGATGTCGAGCAGAGACAACGAGTCGATGCCAGGAAAGAGCAGGTCTGGGGCTAGCCCACCTTGCAGATTGTCCAAGGCACAGCTCAGGATTTGGACTCCGTGGCACTGATTTGTCCAGTACACCTCATCCGGATTCAAAACGTCCATCGGTCTCGGAATATCACTGCCGCCCAGCCAAACGCCAGGATCGAGAACAGGTCGCTGTCGTTTCTATCGCTGGAAATCCCCTCAAATATGCCCTTATCAATTGCCCGCTCATCGATCATTATGCAGATTCTGTCCGAGAGTCATATCCGAGACAACCTTACCCTGCTGATTCTTTCGCCGCTGCGCTCACAACGCAGTCCTCTGATCTCCGCCCTTTGGCAGTCCCCACCATTCTGGGCCTTGATCTTCTACAACCCACCGCAGCCTCAACTGGGAAAGAGTGGGAATCAGCTGGTCATGGGGCTGGCCGACATGGACCCAGCGCTCTGAGCACAATGGACGGCACATGTGATGGGCCGGATGATCATACTCCCACCGCAATCAGTCGGACTTCCACTGTCGTTGGTTTCAGGGAACAACAACCTCGGCCATCAGTGGTGCATTTCTTGTCTGACGACCACCTGAGCTGGAGAGAAAGAGACTGTGCTTCTTTTGTGAACCCGTTCTCCCCTGAAGAACCCTCGTCCAGAAAGACTTCCGCCTCTTCTGAAGCCACAGCATACCTCCGGCCCAATGCCTTTGCTGGCCATCGAGACACGCTGGCAAGATTGCACTATTACAACACCAGATACAATGACGACGAGGATGCTGCAGACAGTGACATGGACTCATTCTCGACCGCCCTTACCCGTCAGCCGTCGGTGTCTGGAATATCTAGACGGGCCAGCCTTGCCGGAGCAAATCTGGACCTTTTCTATCCGCAGCGAGTTGTCGATACTGTGCTCCAGTATGTGGCGTTTGATGATTACAAGGCTATGCGACTAGTATGCCGCCAATGGAATGCAAACTTGCCTCAACCCAGCTTTCCTGGGGCGTACCTTGTTCCGAGAGAAATACTGAAAGAAGTCTTCTCCTATTTGGCACCCTGTGACTTTGATGCAGCCCGCCACACGTGCAAAGCCTGGTTCTTAGCTAGCTTGGACCGCAAGGTCTTAGAACCTATGCTCAGAGCCAGTGGATGTCAGGCTGCGCTGGCCACAGATCTTGAACGGATGCGTGGGTACATCGCTGCGAAGAGACGAAGCTGGGACAACTATTTTGGTCCAGTACAGGCCGACGCCGAAAATATCATTGATAAAGAGTGGCTGTGTTCCAAAAGATTGGCTACAGAAAGTCGACTAGCACCCGACTGGCGAGGCTCTTTCCTCCCCATTGATACCAGTCTGCAGCCTAGACTTTCAATCATTGAAGAAGTCGATTTCTCAAAGATCATCATCTCACGCGCTTTACCAACAAAGCCCAGGTTTACAGTATCCGCATGTGGCAGATTTGTCCTCGTGGTCTCTGGTGGTGACATATCCGTCTACAGCTTGTGCGATTCAGAGCAGCCGCTTGCTCCAGTGGTCAGGCTAGCCACGGGGATTGATGTCTTGAAGGTCAGCATGGATACTAGTTCGGAACGATACTCAGTTGCCGCTCTCCTTGCTGGCCGCATCGGGATGCTGTGGGATTTAAAAGGCACTCACATCCAGACAAGGTATCGCAACAACTCCGGCGAGACGATGAGCTTGAGCATGCAAAAAGACATCCATAGCTCAGCCGACCACCGGCCTTCCACGCTCGCCAGTGTCAACCTCCCCATCAATCCACATGAAACGCATGCTGGCGGAATGTCTGATTTGAACCTTGGGTCAACGACGCCGGGTAACTATACATCCCCTCCTGGTGCTCTACCGAGTCCTTCACGCTTTTTGGACGAGCAGATGCGTAGCTCGGAGAGCCCGGAAGAGATTGAGGTTTTGTATGAAATAGATAACTCCGACCAAGTCCAAGAACGTTTGGGAATCCCAATCGAGACCAGGGCAACGGCCATTTACACTGATCTCGGAAGTATGGATGATCAGCCAAGGAGCGTGGCGATTTGCCCCAACCGAAAGTGCGTTGCATTTGGATGTCGGATGGGCATCGAACTTCACTGGGTCGACGCACTTACTGGGGATCATCTCAACCGCTGGTTTCCTCTCGCTGCGCCGAGCGACTATCTCTACTTTCTGCCTCGACGAAGTGGATCGGACTCGAGAAGGAAGCTCAGACTGATCTCGAGTGCTGCAGGGCCAGTTGTCACTCAGCTGGTAAGGAGCGAGAGTACGCCAGCCAAGTCGAAGTACTGGTCTACCCCAGCAACCTTTGGTCGACGACAAAGCTTGACAAGGCTCTTCTTTGGGAATCTACCATTTCCTACTCCCGCCGGCGGCTCAGCCGACTTGTCTGGTTCAGTCGCCCCCCCAAGAGCCGATGAAGCCCAAGGGGTTCTGCGGACAGTTGATTGTGATCACTTCCATGCGGTCCCTGTGAGCGACGGATTTCACCTCATTTTCACGGATCCGGAGAGTGGCCTACTCTGCTTGGGTAGCGACGCGCCCTTGGGAGGTCCAACAAAACTTGTCCGGAAGATCAAGTTCATCCCCCCTGGAGAGGGCGGTCGAACACCTGCCCCACGCCGCTACGCAGTTGGCAAAGCCCTCGAATGGGGTTTGCGGCTCGTGGTTGTCCACGATAATGATGAAGTCGTGCTCTACAATATTCCCTCTGACATTTTCGGGCAACTGCGAGACCAGAAAAGCTCGACCGACGTCTGGGACGAGAATTCTGGTGTTGTTGGGCAAAGTGATCTGATCATGGATTCTCTGATGAATCGCGATGATAGCGGCTCGCCCAATGCTTCAGCAGTCCAAGAAGCTCCAGAGAACGACGATGGCTCTACCCACGAGCCACTACAGCTTGGTGGTTCTGTCATTGCTCGTGTTGCCGATCAGCTTGTAGACGATATTGCGGTCCAATCCGAAAAAGGTGGACTATCTGTTTGGATCTTCTACAGAAATGGGCTTGCTGAACTCTACAGCATCCTCGCGCCTCATCCGCTTCAGGTGCGAAGAAGACTTGTAGGAGAGAACGGCTTGATCTGGGACTGTGACGACCAGATGCCTGTCGAGATCAGAACTGGTGCCCGGGGAAAGGGCAAAGAGAGAGCGGATCAGGAAGCCAAGCACGTCAAATGGGCCGGCCAGGGAGACTGTTGATTGAGGCACTAGAGAGGGAGCATCTTGAACAGCTGGCCAAGCTTCAAGTCTGTGAGATTATGATCTACAAATGGCGGTGCGGTCTATGAAAATCTATACGGTCCGCAAAGGAGCGGGAGCGGTTGTTGTTGAAGAGAGGCTCGTGGATTCCACGGAGAATTGATGCCGTGCACCTACCTTCCACGGGTTGGTGTCCTCAACGGTTTGGCGAAGCTAGATTGGTTGCAAGGCACCCTATTGATACTCATTGTGTGTTGCTTCTGGAGACGCGGTACCGTTGAGTTGAGTTCCTTTCACCCAAGGACCACCCTTTGCGCCACTACCATCAGTTTATGGCTGCTTGGACTAGCGCATCGCTCAGGGCTCCATATTCAACGCACTCAGCAGCGTCCTTCCCAAACGTTCAACCTGCTCCGCGGTCGTAGTCAAACTCGTCATGAAGTAAATCATATCCCCCAAGACACGCGAATGGATCCCACAGCCGTCCTCGTCCAACAATGTCAAAAGGCACGATTGTAACTCCGCAGAGGCAGTCGAAGTGTAACCTCCAGTTGAACCTTGCGGGGCTGCCATTTTCAACACGAGAACAGTGCCCAGCGCGAAACAACCGGCCACGCGGGGATGGCGCGAGAGCTCTTGGAGGAGGGAAGGAGGGAAGAAGGAGTAGATCTCGGGGTTCGTCTGTTCCTGGGGGGCGGCAGAGGTGGATGGTGGCGATGACGACGAAGAGGACAAGTTCTTGCCCAGTGAAGACCTCAGTGGGTGTGTCTCTGCCGACCAGGCGCGCTTGAACTGGCTCCAACTGCCCTCCCGGCTCACATCCATCCGTCTATACTCGTCCAGGGCCTTGTTGGCGACCATACACCCTATGGGATGTGCTGTGTAGGAATGGCCATGCAAAAGGGCATCGGTCTTCGAGTCCGAGAGGAATGTGTTGAAAATCGATTCGCTCGCAGTGGTGAGGGCCAAGGGCAGGAGTCCCGCGGTGAGGAGTTTGGCGTGCACGGAAATGTCGGGCGCGATGGAGGGCGGCAGGGCCGGCTGAGGGGATCCAGAGGTCGTCGACGGCAAGGCTGCGGTACTGAAGTCGGACGGAGATGACAGCAAAGATGACGAGCTGGCGCGGCCGAGGCGGTAGAGGCCCGTGAAGACTTCATCCGCAATGATCGGGAGGCCGGACCACTCTGTACCACCTTCGACATCCGCTGCGCCGTGCTCGGATTTGTCGCTGGGCGCGATTAGACGAGGATTGGCCCGAATTGTCTTGATGAGCGTCCTTTGGAAGAGTGGGTCGACAAAGATCATTCCTCCTGCGCCCATGATGATGGGCTCGAGGATCAGGGCGCCAAATCGCCGGCCTTGATCGCGGACGAGACGTTCAAGGGTCGTGGTGATGTGGGATTCGTATTGTTTTGCGTCTTCTGTCCGACTATCAAAGTCGAACAGGGAGTTGAGGGATTCAAACTGTTGTGTCCCAGTTGCGGCGTGCATCTCTTCCGGCATTGTGAGTTCCCAGACGCCATTCCGCATCAGCACAGAAGGTGGGTCAAACCAATGGCCCCAAGGCTGGTGCCAATCCACCTTCTCGTTGAACACGCTGGGCTCGGAGCAGTTCATCACGCCGATGGTGTCGCCGTGGTAGCTGCCCTTCAGGCCCAGAATCGCCACGGGATTCTTGCCGTCGTCGTCGTCCTTGGTCCACCCGTACCGCTGGCTGGAGGCCCGCAGCGCCATTTTCACCGCGACCTCCATGCCTGTGCTGCCGTTGTCGGTGAAGAAGACTCGACTCAGTCGCGGGTTTTGCAGGGTTGACAGTAGGTTGTAGCATATGTCGAGCGCGGGTTCGTGGACGGCGTGCGCGAACATGACGTGGCCGTAGCGACCGGCCGCGTGGGCTGCTGTCAGTGCAACATTTGGATTGCCGTGGCCGAGACCCTGTGTCCACCATGACGCAGATGCATCGAAGAGAGGCGTGAGGAGGGATTTGGGGGTGGGCTGTGCCGCGAGGGGAGTGAGTCGCGAAGGCGAGGTCGGGTTGGACGCCTTGAGCGCCGGGTCTGCTTCCTGGTTGTAGGTTTGGAAATGGTCGTTGTATGCCGAATCGATTGCGATGATGTTGTGGGGTATTCCGTGCTGGCGGAACGGATGCCAGATGACTGCGTCCGCCTGGGAAGGCATCGACGTCAGCTTGGAGATGCGTGAGAAGTGCTTTTGATTGAGCAAGTCGAGCAAGTTTCGGGCGGCGCCCGTGTTCGACCAGCCGTCATAGTAGCTCGAAAGTGCGCGCTTGTCTTCTTCGCCGTCTTGATGCTTCTCGGGCGGTTTGGGCAGGGCAAAGGTCGAGATGCCGTGGTTCTGGAAATACTTATCGAGGTAATCGAAGTTTCCCCATTCGGGGTCGTCGAATAGGACAATTGAGTCGACATCAAAGCCCCGAACATGCAAAGATTCGAAGGCTGAAATGGTGGTCGCGATGCCGCCGAGCTTACTGTCGCCGACAAGGATTGTGGGGAGTCTCAATGGTCTGTACAGGTCCGCTTGGACTGTACCCGAAGGACCAGGGGAGAGGACGCCACCAGCAGTCTCAACGATAGCATACCGGCCTCCTGTCTCGACATGCTTCCCCAGAATCGCTTTGACTCGGGCCAATATCGAGGCGTCTGTCCTTGGGATCTGGAGGTCATCAGCCGTCGTGGGTCCAGGTATTCAGGTGATCGAGAACTCGCACCGATGCGTCTTTGTCCAATTGAGCCGCCAGATGCGGACTTAACGGGCGTGAGAACTGCGATATGTTCTTTGACAACGTCCCCGGCACAAAGGTGTCGATGTGTCTGTTGAGGGGTGTCAGGCTGTGTGGAACCTCCCGGGACATGGTCCGTATCAAGCTTACCCTACATCTTCCTCGTCCCGGGGTCCGGTCGAGACGGGCTTCAAATACAACACACGCTGGTCAGGGGTCTGGAGAGCTCGACACAGCAGCGTTGAGACAATGGTCTTGCCGACATTGGTATTGGCTCCAAAGACCTGCCATGCCTTCAGGTCGCGCCACAGCATCACGCCGTCAACGAGGGGGGAGGGGGGAGGAGAGGGGGGAGGAAAAGAGCGAGCAAGGTCCGGGGCAGAATTGGATGAGTCGCTGACCGAGGCTGCGAGGCAGATTTGTTCCTGCCAAGCCCCGGCCCGCTTTTGAGTCGCCCGGGAAATTCCGACCCTCCGATTGGACGCCGAAAAACTTCAGTCCCGCGTCAACTTCCTTTTTCGACGGATTTCGTCCAACGCCGAGGACCATCAGCCTCGACTTGTTGACCCAACATTTCTCCATCTTCCTCGATCCATCCGACAAGCTAGTCGCCGACGACAAGAGCAGACGCGAAGAGACCACTGTCTGCGAGTTGACTTGAAAGTATCAGAGCCGTCAGACACCATCCAGCCATGTCATCATCCCCATTGGAACAGCGCCTTGCTGCTCTCCTGGAGAAACGTCGATCCCAGTCGAAGCTCCGGAACCTCAAGTCGAGTCCCCCCGGCTCTGTCGACTTCTCCTCCAACGACTTCTTGTCCTTGTCCACCAACAAAGAATTCCAGGATGATTATCTGGCGGTGCTGAATCGGAGCCATACGCCCATTGGGTCAACAGGCTCAAGGCTCCTGGATGGCAACTCTGAATTCGCCGAGAGCCTCGAGCGTGACCTTGCTGCCTTTCATGGCGCCGAAGCTGGCCTCCTGACGAACTCGGGCTTTGACGCCAACGTCAGCATCTTTACTTTTCTCCCGCAACCAGGGGATGTCATCATCTATGACGAACTTATCCACGCCAGTGTCCACGATGGCATGAGGCAATGCAGGGCGAAGCAACAAATACCCTTTAAGCACAACGACGTCGAGGACCTGAGCCGGATACTGCAGCAATTTTCCTCCTCGAGCCCCAGTCAGACCATTTTTGTCGCCGTGGAGACGGTCTACAGCATGGAAGGCGATCTCGCCCCTCTGACAGAGATTGTCAATCTGATAGAAGCCATGTTGCCGCACAACAACGCCCACCTGGTGGTTGATGAGGCCCACGCCACGGGGGTGTATGGACCGAACGGCTCCGGCAGAGTCTGTGAACTCGGACTTGAAAAGCGTGTTTCCATCCGCCTTCATACGTTCGGCAAGGCTCTTGCCTGCAACGGCGGTGAGTGCTCGGGTGTTCAGTGTCAATGCACGTCCTTTTTGGCTAACGAGTGTGTAGCGATCATTTTGTGCTCTCCTGTCATTCGTCTCTTCCTCATCAACTATGCCCGGCCTTTAATCTACACAACCTTTATGTCCTATCCTTCTCTCCTCGCAATCAAGACGGCATATGATTGGCTCAAAATGGGTAAAGCGAATCTGGTATGGCGCTCTTGACCCTCCATTCGCTGCCTCAGCTAACATTTCCTTGCCAGCTTGCCGCAAACCTCTACCATCTGATCGATCACCTCTACACCCGCTTACAAAGCCTGGCAGCTGTCGTTGCGGAAAGTGGGCCGGTGTCGAAGAGTCTGGTCTCGCTCCCAACCACGTGCCCGGAGTCGCCCATCTTTGCCATCCTGAGCCCGTATCCCCGGTCACTGGCCTCGTACTGCCAGTCGGCGGGTTTCATCGTGCGCCCGGTCGTCGCACCGACCGTCCCCGAGGGCACGGAGCGTGTGAGGGTTTGCCTCCATGCGGGGAACACGGTCGAGCAGATCGACCGATTCGTCGAGTGTGTCAAGCAATGGATCGTCGACGAGGGCGCGAGGGACCTGCACCCAGAGCAGCCAAAAGCTCCACCAGGTCACACCGTCAGCCAGCCAGCGGGACCGAAAATGGAAAGAAGCCTTCTCGCAAAAATATAATTTTGGTTTAAAACACGTTGTCCTAGCGTAACTCCGCAGCAGAGCCTGCAGTGGAGCGGGTGAACAAGCCACCGCGACGAGCACGGGTCAATGCAGATTGTGGATGCAGCCTTCGCATTTGCGCAGGACCGACATAGGCACAATATCATGCCGGCCTGTTCTTCACTCTGTACCAAGATACCCCTAACTACGATGTTCCTTGCACACATTCCTCACTGACTCGCTTCCCACGCTCTTGCGTAGATGTCCATTGCCTTGACGAGGCCGTTCCTCTTCGGCTCCCAACCGAGCAATTCTCGCGCCCGGGCGCTGTCATACATCACAGTGGCACCCAACGCCTGGAGGAAAGGGTTGTCGCCGGGCCCGACGAGTTCGAGTTCGAGTTCGGGCCCGAGATTGCCTCCCTTCCCCTTCGTCGCGGCCAGTGCGCGTGCGAACGCGGAGAGGATGTCGCGGATGTTCTCGGTCGTCGAGACCAGGTCGAAGACGGGGTACACGGAGGTGCCTCCCAGCAGGGAGATCTTGCCCGCGCCGAGGCAGACGGCGGAGGCGACATCGTCGACGTGGATCACGGGAGACTGCGAGGTCGGCGCGACGGGGAGCTGGACGTGGCCCCGGCCGTCGACCACGGCCTGGGCGATGGGCCCCCACAGGGCACCCCAGCCCGCGGAGCTGCGCCCGTGCATCTGCGCGGGGCGGAAGATGAGCACGTCGAGCACGTCGCGGGCCGCCAGGGCCTGCCGCTCCAGCTCGGGCCGCCACGCCACGAGACCCAGGGCCGGCGCGGGCGCAGACTGAGTCCCCACGGGGTCCAGGTCGGAGACGGGGGCGTCGGCCGTGCCGTGCACCCAGGCGCCGGAGATGTAGATGAAGCCCATCTTGGGAGGCGCGGCCACGCCTTCCGCCCTGAACGCGTCCAGCCGCTCCTGCCCGGCGGCCTTGACGCCGGCGAGGAACTTGGCGCTGTCGCCGTACGCGGCGGTGCAGTCGACCACGACGTCGATTCGGGACCGGCGCACCGCGTCCAGGTACGGCCCCGGTGTGTTCGCCGGGTCCTCGCAGACGACGGGGGTTACCTCGGACGCAGCCAGGGCTTGGGCCTTGCGGGCAGATCGGCAGAGTCCATAGACGGTGTGCAGGCCGCTGCGGACCAGGGCCTGGGTGACGGCCTGGCCGAGATAGCCTGTTGCTCCGAACACCAAGACTCGAGGCATCTTGGATCTGTATGGAAGATGTAGGCTGGGGATGGCACCACTCTGTAGGGAGTGACGGTGGAAGCGTCGTGGAGATTTCTCGATGGGCAATCTGTAGAGGACTGGCTCCCCAAGAGGACCGGCTGGCCAGGAGGTCCTCTATTTACCATCACTCTCCCCTTGCCAAAATACGTCCTGGCAAGGGGGTGACAAATCAACCAACCTCAACTTCCGTTTCCAACAGCGTATGACATTGCAAATGCATCACGAAACAACAACCTTTTCAGTCAATGAAGCGAGAGAGTCTGTTGCGACAGAGACTCAAAGAGCCCATGATTCGTTGGTGACGCTGCGCCGATCGACGGGCGACGTATCTGCAAACCACGGGATGCGCAGGTCGATACGATGGTGGCCATCTAGGCAAACTTATGTCAGCTGCATGTCGATGAACGCGCCCACTGAAAGATTTGGATCTGGTTTAGAAGGGTTGGAGATGTTGCCAAGTCAGCTTCATGTCCCCCTGATGTCCGCCCTTTCGTCCTCGAGTCTTGTGTTTTCCTAATTCGGCGATCTCATACTTTTGCGGTGGCCACTCTTTCTGCATGAGGGGTATGGAGGCCTTACATGTGTCGATTGGGCAACCGTCAGTCCCGCAGATAATCACTCAGTCAGCGTCGCAGTTCCGGTCAAGGTGTGTGAATATGAGAGCTGGTGGTCGAGGCATCTCATTCCCCCGCCCCCTACCAGCCATCGGCTGCTAACTAGCGAGACCAAGCGAGACCTCGCCAACCCCTTGAGCCGACCGGACAAGCTCCAACGAAGCCTGGCCGAGTCGCGAATCGCTTCATGCTTGGCAAACACGAATACGAGGCTCGCTTGCAAAAGGGGCGGGATGGCCCTCGGCGATTGGCCCATCCACAAAGTCCAACAGAGGTCTCGGCCTCGTGGCGGCTCGTGGTCCTTTTGACATCCCTGCCTCGACCACGGTCAGCAGAGCCGATTCGGCGACGATGAGCCCCTTCAAGCCTGTGCCCTCCTCGAGCTTCTTGGCCAAGAGTTGGGTTGGACCGTGGCGCTGGGACATCACGGAATGCGCCTTGCTAAAGAGGGTATGAGCGTCGCCGTGGGAGACTCGAAGTCCACGAACACGAGGCAGCCGCTTCTCCTGGTTCCTCCACGGCCCTTATCGCGCCCTCTGAAAGTCACGCATTGCTAGGTCTATCTTCAGCCGCAGCAAAAGGTCCAAAAGTTTGCCGGGTCACTACGGAATTTGAAAAGGGGAGCGATGCCCCCGCCGACTTCGACTCCTCGCCATCTCCCAGCTGAATTCCCGAACTCGGACAGACAAGATTTTTGAGGCTTCGAAGCCACTCCGAAACTACGACGACAGCTTCGCGCCATGTCGGACAAGGCTGATGATACCATTCAAGTGATAGGGGTAAGGCTTCTCATCTCCGCCTCGTTGTTCTGGTAGCGGTGTTATTGTTCCGCATTCTTGGCCCTAACCTGAGCAAACTCTGTCCCAGATCGGCCTTCCCCGGACAGGCACGTCCTCGCTGCAAGGGGCGCTTCAGACCTTGGGATACACTCCGTGCCATCACATGGTCAGCGACTGGCTGAGCGATGCAAATGGCCGTGGCCAAAGATGGATGGATGCGTGGAATGAGACCGACAAGGCCAAAAAGCACGCCATCATCCGTGATCTTTTGAAAGGTTACAAGGCGGTCGTCGATTTCCCGGCAAGCATCATGGTGGAGGACTTTGTCGAGGTCTATCCCGACGCAAAGGTAAGCTCGTGGAAAAGCGGGTTCGCCGCCCATTCAAGCCTGTGAAGCTACGGGTGCGGGTTGGGCTGTGAGCATCTACTTCGCCTTGTTCTCGTGTTGTCGTTGCTAGTCCCATCCTCACCACTCCTCCCTACATGCAGGTCATCCTGTCCACCCGCAACTCCGCACAACAATGGCGCGACTCTTTCTCCAAAACCCTCGATCTCACGTACTCACCATGGTGGTATACTGCCACCTGGATGTTCCCCTCGACGCGTCTTCTGGTCCTCCAAATCGCGCCCAAGTGGGAAGACCAGAACCGTCAACTGTACAATACGACCGTCTATCGCACGCCCAGCACAGACATCTACTTGCGCCACAATGAGTATTGTCGCAGAGTGGTCCCCAAGGACAGGCTATTGGAGTACCGCGCGGGAGAAGGGTGGGAGCGACTTTGTGCATTCCTCGGGAAAGAAGTACCATCTGGCCAAGCATATCCCAGGCTCTTTGCAAAGGAGGACTTGAGGAGGTGGTTCTTGGTAGGAGCTGCAATCGGCTGCGCGATTTGGACGGCAGGAATCGCTGCGTGTGCTACAGTCTGGTATTTTGGTGTGCCCTTCCTGAAGAGCAAGTGGGGACCTGGGAGAGTTGAACTGTAGATTGTATCGCTTATTAGTAAACGTCGCTCGGAGGCGAAGTCCTCAGCAAAAGTGTTACGAAACCGTGTGGTAGGAGGGTCCTCGGTAGATGTTGTTGCAACATTGGCATGTCATAAATACTCGACGACGAAGTGGCCTTTGCACTGCGGGCTGACGTGGCACTGTATCTCAAGTCTCGTGAGCGCCAGCCCCTGAAAACTAGGGACAGAACAGAACCCGGTGGGTTGGCTAATTCGTCAATTTTCACGCCGATGTCCAGTATAGCAAAGTCTTTACGACATCATGTGTCAAATGCATTTCCGCTACTGTGCTTAGAACCGAGTGAGAGGGGACACGTCTTCAAGTGAAAGGTTCTCGTGGGACTTGCGGTGATATATCGAGCATAGCATTCATCTGGTTGTGCTGGTAGACGTCGTGTTGAGAGAGGCCGTGAAAGGTGAAACAGGCTGGTCGCTGAAGTTCCATATCTACGAGTATCCCTATCTGCGCACGTGTCAGCCAGCAGCCTTTTTACCACCTACTCTTGAATAGTACCAGTAGAATATATTCCCCTTGTGTGACGCACAGCGATTGTAGAAGGCTCGCTCGACAACGAGCCACAAGGTTTGGCCCAGGTGAGAGCAACAGGGAAGTGACCAAGGGAACACCGGGAACTCCCCAACAAGTTGTGCAGCCTGATGGGGGCTCTTTCCACATCGAACGACCGGTCATGATGATGGTCGCGTCGACGCATACGACTCGCAAGGTGATGGCACTGCAGGACGAGTCAATGGGCCCCCGCTTCAGCCAGGGTAGAGACGGTGGGTATTGCGCAGCGCTCAGCTGATACGGAGGTTGCGGCGGAGGCGGAGGCGGAGAGGGGGGACCACAGAGCTGCAACGGTGGAAGACCTGGAATTCAAAGTCCTTGTCCGGCCTTGCACATCCGCCCATGATGTTGTCGTGAGGTGAACATGCGGCCGATGACTCGCCAGGTCAACCTGGCACTTTGGCCACCTGACAGACGTGGTTGTCTTGCCAGTGGAGGGGACAACACTTGCAGCTGCAGTCGAAGGGGGACGTTGGGGGGATGGCAGGCGTTCACTGGGGCGCTGCTTTGCATGTGAGATGAAAATGAAGCCGCCCACCAGGTTGGAAGGCTAAAGTTTGTCTGCAGTGCGGGGTCACTACCTCCTTTCTTTTCGCATGGCGTGGCGTCTGAGCGGGTAACAATCGTGGCGGAAAGTGGTGCCATTCAACGTAGTTTCAGTTCTTTTGATAAGCCCTGGACAAGGTTCATATCAGGGCCGTGGATGCGGATACCAGAGGTCCGACAATGGGGGGTCTAAGGTCGAGATGGAAAGCTGCGTATTGTGGTCTTGAATGATACAGAGAAAGCAGGCGAGTCCCCCCCCCTTCCCCCCCCCTTCCCCCCCAAAAAAAACAACGATTGATTGTTCAGCTTCCAAGTCTCATTATTGCTGAAGTGGCAGTGGAAAGTGGATCGCATTGAGGGCGCCGGGGAAAACTTGGTTTGGCTGAAGACTAATGCGGAGATACTTAATCCGGTCTGGTTAGCGGCCGGAAGAACCACTCTTTTTTCGTGCCCCGCCGAACCTCATCCCTTGGTGGATCTTGGTCTTGCCTAATCAGTATAGGCTCCTCATTAAGGTTTGGCCAATTAAACGACTTAGATTTCAGAAGATGCAAACTGCAGCTTTGCACAACCCGTAACTGCGCATCCACCTGCGCATTTCCCTCCACCTTTCTTTCCCCTTTTGTGCCTCTGGGATCATGTATCCACGGAAACCTTCCAGAGACCGGCTAAAGGTAATGGCGACATTGGGCGCGCAGCATCGTGTCTTACTTCGACATGTCTGTCTCAGGAGTGTCGTTCCCAGGCTCCCAGCTCTAGCCTACTGAACCGTCGATAGGTCACGGGTGACATCTACATGACACACCAGTCTTCAGACGATTCACCATAACAGACCCATGGCTGCCATCTTTGCCGAGTTCCCATCGTCATTGCTTTGATAGAATCCGAGATAGCCAGAAAACACCTTTGTCTTCCGTGTATACTTGATTTCTAGTATCAAAGCGTCACTCAATGGCCACTGTCAAGATGAGAAGAAGAAAAAAGAATACTTGGTGCATGTGGTGCTCTCGGTCTTGCATCTCCCTTCGAAATGCCCATATAGTACATGGTGATCATTATTTTGACTCAGTAGACTGTTTCCTACTGTATTGTTTCCTCCGTATGTCTTCGTGGTCTCGTGGATGATTACCCAATTGCCATAACGCCCAGTATCCCGATTTTGTCCATATATCGCTACTTCAAAGACATCCCTCCAACATAGCATTGTTCTGCAAGCATTCTTACCCAATTGGCCGGTTGCTGCTTTGATTCAGGATTGTGACAGACCGTGGGAAACATCTGTGCCGTCGCCCATAACGGAAGACAGGAACCATTGTTGACCTTACGCCGGTCGCAACGTTGGGGGTTCAGATCAAACCCCCAGATTGGAAGAAACTCCGTGGAGCTCAGTTGTCACATTCCGTTCTGTTCTGTGTCAATGACCTGGCCAGTGACAAAAGGAGGGCCTTGGTTGGAATTCATCTCGTAGAGGACTTGAAACAAAACTTGTCGGTTGACTCGACAGCTCTCTCCTTGATACAAGGGTCGGCTGAATGCCGTCGAAAGCCTGGCTACGATGTTTTCCATCTCTTCTGGTGTCGGATTGTACTGTGAAATCATGTCTTTCGCCACCGAGCAGGAAATGCTGTTGCTATCATCTGTATAGAGGGGTCCGCTCGGCGGGACAAGAAACACGTGGCACACAAACGAAGGCTCGCTGGGTGGGTGTGCTTCCAGGCCGTGCGGCGGGAAGTACAACTCATAGGATCTGTTTGTGTAGCTGTTTGCAGCTGCCGTCGCAGATATTGCGGTCGCAGGAACCGTCGGTGGTGGCATCAGCTGCTGACCATACTGAGTGTCGTAGGTTGCAAAGTTTTCAGTGGACACGGGAGGTTGTGGCGTGCAGCAGGACGAGGGCGACGATGTTGACCAATATGCAGCACTGCCAGGCTTCTGGCTCACTGCAGATGGAGAATTCGTGGCCTCGTGGATGGACAGTTTGGGCTTTAATTGTCGAAAAGAGGCTGGCATGAGCCCTCTGGGCCGTTGAAGCGTTGTTTCCTTGTCAGAACTTTCCACATCGTCAGGACTAATACCAGCATTCTTTAACAAATCTCGCAAACGAGCATTCTCGGCTTGGAGTTCTGCAAAGGCGTTGCGTTGTAGGTCGGCCTCACGACAGATTATGTGGCATTGTTGCAACTGGTTCTCGAGCTCCGCAAGATATTCCCGGCGGCGAGCGCGGCTCCGTCGTTGGTTATCGCGCACTCGCTGCTGTTTAGATATGACAGCGTCGGCCTTGGTGCTTCCTTCGCTGCTTTCGGGATCCATGGGTGACTCCATGGGTGACCAACATCGACTTCACCATTCGCCAGCCAGAAGTTATAGAGACTGGTCCAACCGTGGGCCTCGAGATAGGGAGCGTAAGATCGAAATCGGCACGGTTGAATAGCCGAGGACGTAAGGAGGGCGTCGCATATGATACTTGATTGGCGAGGTCTTAGGCCAAGGGCAATCGAACGATGGGTCTGAGGAGTGGCTTCGACGCCCCAGGACACCAACGCATGCAAACGGAGCAAATGGCGACGCTTGGATGAAAATGGGGTGTAGCAGAGGCCGTCTAGAAGTTGCGTGGGACACCGCCTTCTCCGGCCAACCAGGTGATGAAAAGTCCGCTAGTAAAGTATGACGGAATCAGAGTACTGGGTAGTTGGGCTGGAGTGGAGGGGAGGGGGAACTCGCAGAGTGACGATGGCCCTTCCGGCTGAAGCACGTTTTCAGATTTGGTGTTGAGAACTCCGAAGAGGGACGAGCTGGATGTGACCAGACAAGGGAACCCAGATGCAAGGTAGAGAGAGTGTGATGGTCGAGATAGGCCGCACCCTTTAAAAGGCGTCAACTGCTGGTGGCTCTTGGTGGTGCCAGGTGAGGTTGCCCGTTGGTGGTGAAGGGTGGTTGCATACATGGATCTAGCGGGTCTTGGAGGGATGAAGTCCGCTGCCGGGTACTGTTGACGAGCTCCCTACGACTCCCACTAACAACCCTTGAACATCTGTTGTTAGTTAGGCCCACGCCTGGCCCAAAGCCCCCAGCGCTTCGTCGATAAGGCCATGGCGGTTCCTGCTGGCTGTAGCTTGTGCTTGCTTTACCTGCTGCTGTCGTATCCCTCAGCTGCCCGCATCCCGGCATCGTGGTATCAGAGGTGATAGGGGCGTGGCTAACCACCCAAACGAATATTGGGTACGTCGCGGCGATACAAATCGAAGCCGTCGTAGAAACTTCGGCTGCAGGGAAGACGCTTCATTCTTGGGATCTTACTCGCCACCTGCTTCAGCTTGTGGCGCCCAGATGGAATTCTCCGAGCTTCGCCACGAAGTTTTGCGCTAGCTCTTCGTCAAACACCCCGGAATCCCTGTGGAAGCACGTGTAGGTTGGCAGCACGTTTCGACGTCGTCATGTTCGAGGTAGACTAACCCTCACTGGAAGGTCAGCAATCTCGATGGTGAAAAAGGGACGCAGATCTGGTCACCCGGTCCACCAATCCCTGTGTCTTTGTCCCAATGTCTCAGCTAGCCCCTATTGCATCAGCAGCCCGTGTTGCTCATGGCAAATTCCAGCCATGGCTCCAAAAGCCTCCGACGACTCCACTGCAACGGCTCTATTCAACTCACGGTTGGATGGTGTCGAGGGACCTTGTGCTCCCCGAGATCGACCGTCTCTTTCGGCGCGAAAGTGGCAGATTGCCGGGCCTAGAAACCTGGCCTGTAGGGAAGAATGGACGTGAAGGAGGGCGGAAAATGTCGTGGAGGGACTGCAACGTTGGCGCTCCGGAGGAGGGGCGCGGAGGTTGGAAGAGGGAAAGACATCCGTGACGCCGCAGAGACGATGTCGACACCACCCTTTTTGATCAGGCTGCTGGAGACATGATTGGTGCCAAACAGGCGGGACGCAGGGAAACATCGCCTTTAGTTTCCCCATGTCGCGCGTGGAATCAGGGGAAGGATTTGCCAGAATCGCCACCGCCAGTAGAGAAGCTGTGCCTTGAATCTGCAGCTCTTAGGACTTCTGCAGGTAGCGGTCACCGCCTACACACTTTCCGGGGATTGCTCATATCATGCCAACAGGGAACAAGATCCTTACTCTATACGGAGTACAGATGAACACATTACCCCACATTGAGGCCGTTTGGAATCTTCTATCGAAGCTTTAGGGGTTTGAAGGACGGAGAATTCACGGAGCATCTACGGAGTGCCGAGTACGGTAGATCCCAGCAGAAGCCCTCCGTTGCTTTCCAGCCCCCAAGAACAGCGGGTGCCTCAACCACGCACGTCACTGAGCCGCAGCTGCAAGTGTTCTGCTGCCCGGCACTTCTTGTAACCACACTGCAGCTTACTGCCAGAAGAAAAACCAATGTCGATGCATGGTACCAATGCGACGGTCGGGATTTGCGCCGTTCGGGATCTGGTTGGTTGCCGACGCCTGATCTCAGGGGCTTTGGGCTTTGACCTCAGCTGGGAATGATCAATCTTCGCCCACACCGATTCGTAGGGATTTCCGCGGTTCGAACATTGCTGTGGTGATTGGAGCTGCCCAGAAAGCCCTCCTGCAGCCATGCCGACCAAAGCACGGCTGTGACGGCAGCACGAATGCCTCACCGTGGCCACCATAGAGCAGTCCTGCTCTCCCCTGTCATCAATATGCAGCCGGGGTGATAGAAGTCCTTCCGCCATCTGATGGAATTATGGTTCCATGCAAAAAGGCCTCGGTATTGCTGACCAGGTAGAGGATTGTGCTCGCCACATCTTCCCCAGTACCTGCGCGGCACACGGGGATTTCAGCCCTTGACAGATTGCCTCCGCTCTCAGTGTCGGAGCCGAAGCTTTGGAGGAGCGACTGAGACATCTCAGAGGATATGACTAGACAGCATCACAAGTCAGAACCATGCCTCTCTCCTGGCCGCACACGAGACTTACTGCCAGGTACGTGAACATTGGCGCGGATCGAATACGGCGATAAGAAAGTGGCCAATTGCTTCCACATCTGAACCACGGCTGCCTTGCTCACCGAGTAAGGGGAACCCAGCGCTGATTTTTCGATTGTACGCGGCGGCACTGCTGATGGCAATGACTTGACTTTTTTGCGGTACGTTCGCCTTCTTGTTGCCGGCGTCGAGGAGATCGACTCCGTCTCCAGCAACCTGTCAGTGTCGCTCCAAGATCTCCAGCAGTGAACATCTTGTCTAGAGAGAAGGATAATATAGTGTAGATTGCTATTCTAGAGAACTGTCCAAGGTTAAGCTAGTCGACTCTAAATCCCAGGTCGGATTCGCCGTTTCATCATTTACCAAAGTCACGACGCTGAATTTCGCCTGGAAACCAAATTCATTTTGATCCAAATAGACATCGTCACTCTTCCATCCCATCATTCTCTTGAATCCTTCTCTTCCCCTTGCGGATCTGATTTCTTCTTCACACTGTACGCATGGGAGCATCGTTATCCCCAGACTGCTGTCAGAACCAACTCCCGTCCCGGACTGCTCAACAAGATGCGCCTCACTTTCCACCCTCTTCGCACGCTCCCCTCCATCAATTCTGTGTCCTATGCAGAGACCTATTCCTCGTGCCTACATTCACTTATTTCATCCCTCGGAGCCTCCAGTCGAGATTGCCTTAGCCCTCCTTGAGTCCAAGAATGCACAGCATGTCCCCAGACTGTCCCGTCAACACCAGGAGACCGGAGATTCAAGAAAACAAGTCTACCCAGACTGGCCTGCCCCCGAGTGGAGGGTCGCCCGCAGGGCCTGTGACGGGTGGCGACTTCGACGACACCAAGCTACTCAAAGACTTTCAACAACGTTTTGATTCATATAGGCAAGAAGCTACCACCGTCGACGGACCACACCGCTTTCCAAGAACCAGTTGGCTACGCCAAGCTTCTTAAAGACCTTCAACGGCACTTTGATCCATACCGACAAGAAGCTACAGCCGATCACACGGCGCCGAAGAACCAGGTCGCTGCCCTGAGCTGGACAAACTCGCAGTTGCAGACTGAGATTAGTCGGACCGTTGGGCAATTGACGGCCGCTAATCAACGTTACGGGATGTTGCAGGAACCATGGCTCGCTTAAGCATGAAAATGGCGAGATTCAAGGAGCAGCAGCAGCCACTTCAGCAAGAAGTCGAAATGCTAAAGAGGAACAATGAGTGGTCGGAGACGGAGAATTCAAGGAGCAGTCACTTCAGCAAGAGGTCGAGATGTAAGACAAACAATGAGTGATCGGAGACGGAGATTTCAAGGAACAGTCACTTCAGCAGGAAATCGAGATGCTGAAGAACAATGAGTGGTTGGAGACTGAGTGGAAAATCAAGGCGGAACAACAACATTGACTGGGTTGTCCGATAGACTGACTGATCAGTAGTCTTGACAATAGAAGGACTTCTCTCCTCCGCTTCGTATCGTCGCGTAGACACGTAGGTAGTCAAATGAATAGCCTCGAGATCAGTACTGACCAAATCTGCTGGGGATAGATTCTGCGAAGCATTCCTGCCCTGAGCCGTTCCCATTGCCTTCGCAATCTAGCCTGCAAATTCCCAACCCTGATCTGCTCTTCTCGTCCCACCGCCTTCGCTTCTACTTCTTGGAAGGATCCATTCACCAATGCCTAGCTATTCTTTCTTTCAGCGGGAGGGAAAATTGGTCGCAGGGTCCTCGCGTTGAGCTCGTCCGATTTTCCCCATGGCGCGAAGAAGGGCAGTGACCAGCTCAGTCGTCGGCTGAGTGATGAGTGAGGTGAAAGAAAGAAAACAAATTTCAAAAGTAGCTCTTCGTTTATCTCAAGCCCAACCTTCTGCATCATCTCTCACAACAAGAAACCCTCCAGAAATCACGATGGCTCGCCGTCGTCGACACCACCGTCCAAGGCTACCACGGCCACACCCTGCGAACCCTATTTACCCTCCTCCAAGTCTTTACCATCCCGGTCTCCTACAGGAAATGATAGAACGCAGTAGAGGAGCCCAAAGTCGTCCTCAACGTGGTCAACAGAACACTACGCAAAATCCGGTACAGGACGGAACGCAGAATCCTGCGCAGAATCGGGCCTGGAACCCTACCTTTACACATGGCCTTCTCCAGAATACAGGTCCGGGCCAAGTTCAAGCTCCAAACATGGACGATCCTCAGAATGACGTGCCCATCGACCCCAGTCAGCTTGCGAAAGACCCGCAAGCTAGGCTTGCTACGCCAAGTGCCTCTTCATATGTCACCAGAGACTCCCCAGTTGAACTTGACGCAGAAAGAATTCCGCAGCAACCGATCACGCCCCTGCTTCCATTCCACCCTGATACACGGGACACGGGTTCTTTTACCGGACAAGGTCGTCATGTCTGCTTGTCTAGCCGACAGGCAGACAGTGCCCCAGATCTCTTATCCGAGACAAGGCCAATTCAGAACTCACGTCGGCTAAGGTCAATTCCGCAGCGCATCTTGGAGAGGACTTGGTCCCTCGGTGATTCGAATTTGCAGCGAGTATCTGGCAGAAACACATCCAAGCCTATCTTGGGGACAATATGTTCCTTTGGTTCTGACCCGTTGCTGACATTGCAACAACTGCAAACTTATTCCTGCTAGAACTCGGCACAGAGTCGGGCTCAGGCGGCTCATCTGCTCTGTCTCTTTTTCAGATTGGTATATCAGTCTTAGTACGAGGTCTCTATCAGCGTCATCGCTTCCTTTGCAAAAACTAGATGGACAATAACATCTATGAGCTCACATGTCAGCATGAGATTCGTCAATAAGGTACCTTCCCTGTCCTCTTTCCTCTCTCTCTCACACACTCTCCCTCTCCCTCTTATATATACATGCCCTCTCTTTTAGACTGGTATGTGAGTCTCAAGAAGAGGTCTCGAAGTCATCGTCTTCGCTTCCTTTGCACACAGGAAGGATATTCTTTGGTAGCCGAAAGGACAATGACATCTGTGATCTCACATATCAACATGGAGGATCGCCTACAAGGTGTCTTGTCTACACTCTCTCCCTTCTGGTGGCCGGACGGACAATGACACCTGTGAGCTCACATATCAACAGCGAGGATCAAAGTCCGTTTCTATGAACCGACTCTGCCAGCTTCACATACAAAACCACTTTGGCCCGCTCCAATTCACTGCTGGACCTTGGATCACACTGGGATTTTCTTTCAAGCTTGCTGGTAGTTACAGTTTCAGTCTCCCCTCTCTCTTTCTCCTTCATCATCATCTCCATCTCCATCATCAACATCAACTCCTGCTTGCTGTCCAGCGAGCATACAGACCCTCTAGAGGCACCAAAATGGCGTCTCAAAGCTCTTACTCCCACCCTGCTCCTTACTCTGATCTATCCTGCCCCAACCCTGATTGTGCTCGAGTGTGGCCCGCTGGCACTCGAAATTACTGCACCTGTGGCGCGTTTTTACCTACTACCCAACCGAAGGACGACTCCTACCCTGCCCGGCCAAACTATAGCCACGACCCTCCTCGGCGATACGCTGACTTTTACCCTCCTTCCGAGCCCGACCATGGCTACTACCTCTCCCAATTTGACGATGGCTTCTACCCTCCCTAGCGAAACCCTGGGCGATATCGTCCTCAGCGAGGCCCTGCTGTAGGACACTTGCTGCCTCAAGAGGCAAGCACATCGCAGGTTGTGCGGTCAGCAATCGCGTCAGACACCACTGTTGTCACAGGACCCCAAGACTAGCAGTCTACTCGTAGCATCGCCACACAAAGAGGACGTAAAAATGGTGGAAACAAGGCAGAAGTTAGAACATTACAGCAGGTATTTTCTCGACGGCCCTCCATCGGATTTTCTGCTAACTATGATCGAGGTCCATATGGCCGGCGCCCTCAAAAGCCCCAGACTCAGCAAAAAATCCAGTGGATGACCACTGAACCTGGTACCTTCAAATTTGAAGTCCTCAGAGAGCCAACACGCTCAATATGGTGTTTAGTTCACCATATTTCTCACCGCATCATCTCATGTGACAAAGAAAAGCCAATGCAAATATTGATGCAGCCTTTTAGTTTGCCCGGATTCCTCCCGCCTGGCTACATCCAGCGCACACCTGCTGGCGAAGCTCCTCCCACAGTTGAGGATGCCCTCTTTGACATGTTGTCATTTGCTCAAGAGTTGGATATCTATATCAGTTGGGTAGTACAACGCGATTGACACACAGCAAATCTTCCTCGAGGTTTTTTGACAGAGCTTTTGAGAACCATCCAGAATTTGCTCAAATAAAGGCGGACTTGTTGCTTGCGATTGCCACCAGCAACTGTCGAGCTCATGCTCTTATTCTGAATCTCCATCGTGTGTCGAAGCATGCCTCTGCTCATGTATTCCACAAACTGGCTATCGAACCTAGCACATTCGGTGTGGATCGCCGTCCAGCACCAATGTTGGAGCCACAAGTCATTCTCAGTCAACTCCAAGTTCTGAGAGAGGCGAGACTCCGGAACTCCTATGGTGCAGAGCCTGACACCCCACAACGACTTTGGCAAGAGTTCCAAAGCGTGACAGAAAAAGTCCTGGGCGAGTACGTGATTGATGCGATTACCCCTCGAGATGAAGATCGCCAGAAAGCGAGAGAACTTCGAACCATTTTATAAGGTAATCAGTACACAGCTGCATTCTCTAAGGTTTGGATTGATAGCCAACTTTCCCTGCCGGCCATTCAACACAATTTGATGCCCTCCTCATCATCCCAGATCAACTCTTGTTCCGGAACTCATTGCAAGCAGTCTCACGGCAATTGACATAGGATCGGCAAAATCGACAGGAAGAACTGCAACCAGGTGACCAGCCACCTACAGGATCTCCAGCATCTGGTCCGACAGCCTGATTCTCTAGCGCTCAACAAACTCTCACCCTGCTCAGCTGCGGAGTGCATGTTACGGGGAAGTTCGAGCTGACAGCTCCGCCTGCTCCGCCTGCTCCAGTCCGAATGTACTCGGAGGAATGAAATTAGGATAACAAGGATAAATAGCAAAAGTCAGCAATGAATGGCATTCCTTTCCCAACAGACCTGCTCGTCGGAGCATAGTTTCTGCTGGAAGTGATCCGCTGAATAAAACCTATGATGCCTTGAAGTGGGGGGGTGGTGGTGCGAATGATAATTTGCAGAGACAGAAGAGAGGATTAGCGAATAAAACACAATGCGACCAAAACCTCGTTATCGATGTTGCAAGTGCCGTAGAATAACTGTGAGCCTCGTGCGGGGTCAGCTTGAAGCCGAATAAAAGTCACGTGCGAGAGAAAAGTTTTTATCATATATATTTTACTGCACCCAAAATACTGTGCTCATTTGAGCATTTGGTCAATTTGAAACGATACAGAGAAGATTAGCATGGCCCCTGCACTAAGGATGACACGCTTCTCAAAGAGTGCTACAAGTTTTTTTTGGGAATTTTTTTTTTTGGTTGTCGATATGTGCAGTTCGATTCCAGGCGAGGGAGGCCTTTTTATTTTCGGGGACAGTGGTGGTGTGGAGATAGGGGTCGTTCTTGGCATGTGGTGAAATTGCCGTTGGCCTTTGGCCCTCCAAAATCCTATAACTTGCTACTACTCAGAAGCCATTGCGGACCAACAAGAACGCTTAGAGCCAGAACTTCATTTTCCGCTTCTGATGAACTTCCAACTGTTTCAATAGAAAGATACACGAGACGCTCCATACGCGTTCACCGAACCCAAACGCTTTCTCGACCATTTCCTGTGTTGGCATCTTCAGTTCCCGGCAACGTCGATTCCATACTGAAGAAACTTCTCCCTCGTGATTGCTAAGGTGCGCGTCATTGAGTCAGACCGGGAGATCTCCTGCATGTTGCCATCAATACCCCTTCGCATCCAACTCAGACTCTGTCCACTCCCACAGTTTCTTGGCCAATTCTGTGTCCCGACTCTGCTTGGACCCGCGGTTCTCCTTGCCAACCGGATTATAATACGCGCCGTTCTTGACCTCCTGCCTCTTCCAGGTGGCAGCCCAGAGCTGTGTCAACGTCCCCTGCTGCACGGTCAATGGACCGGCCAAGTGGTCGAAGAGTTTCATGAAGCGGCCGTTGAAGCCGTTCTCGTCAAATATGACGTTGGCCAGGTTCGTCTCGACGCGGCCTGGGTGGATTGAGACCGAGAGGATCTCGGGGTGCCGTCTTGCGAGCTCTCTCGCATGCAGGACGTTGGCCAGCTTCGACTGCGAATACAGTCTTGTGGGTTGGAATGACGGCTTGGCCTCTTTCAGTTGATCGAAATAGATTCCCGCGCCGAACGCCATGAAATGCCCGCTGGACGAGAGATTGATGATGCGCACGTCCGATCCTGGTTTTGACGCCGTCCTTTGCATGAGCGGGAGGAGCAGACGGGTCAACAGAGCGTGGCCCATGTGATTGGTCCCAAACTGGATTTCGTAGCCGTCTTCTGTGAGGCCGTGTGGGTGGGCCATGATGCCGGCGTTGTTGACCAGGATGTCGAGCCTGTCGGATTCCACGATGACTTGATCTGCTGCCCTCTTGACGGACGCTAACGAGGACAGATCCAATTGCAGAAAGCTGACATTCGCGCTGGGCGCTGCAGCAGAGATGTCCTTCATGGCGTCGTCGTACTTGGCTTGCGATCGGGCGGCCAAGTATATCCGCTGCGGTTGATGCTTTGCCAACTGCAAGATCATTTCCTTACCACACCCACTGTTCCCTCCTGTTACGACGATGACCTTTCCCGCCAGATCCGGGATGTCTTTGTCCGGCTCGAATCCGTGAACATTGTCGAAAGGATTGAGGAAGCCGAGAAGGGGCATGGCTTGGACAGAGACGAGACTTTACTGGGCTCCTGTGAATCAGCTGTTCTGGTAGTAGTCTACAGGACATACCATGGAGAACTTTACCGTTACTTCTCGGGCATTGACTCCCTTTATTTACCTGATCTTCTTCGCCGTAGATATGCCCCCTGGAGGCATCGCATATGGGTGGAGTTCGACCGTGTTTGTGCGGGTCGGGGAGTGATTCCTCCTAGCGTAGTATTGCTCCTCGCCAATCAACGGGCTTCGCATAACGAGAATGTAGCTGCCTAGTCGGGGAGCATGCATACGGCAATGCAATGCCTGGCCCAATGGACCAGCTCGGACAAATGCTTGTACTGACTTGCTCATCGCGTGCGTTCTGGGGTGATGGGCGTGGTGTTGATGCAAAGTCAACAACCACAAAGGGGGAGGAAAGTCCCTGGCGCGGCGGCGCCGTAATTCTGGGTACTACCAACCGCAGTCACGCTGCGTTCTTGCCCCTGCTCATTCATCGCCGCCTGGTTTCCCGCGTTGAAAATCACTTTTGAAGCTTTGACAAGATGATCAATCGCCAGAAGACATCTCGGTACCTTGTCCATCATCTATAGGGTCAACTTCTAAGCCAAAGACCAAACTCAACAAACACTCGACCCTCGAAACAATGTTTGTGTTCGCGACGCCCTCTCACTTGACGATCCTGCGTTGACGGCAACCATGAATCAACTCTGCCGCACTCGCTCCCCTCCGACACTTCTCCTGCCGCCGTCGAATAGAGCCTTGCCGTTACATACTTCGATTGGGCACCGTGGATATGGAGAAAATTAAGGCGACTTGTGGCAGTACGCAGTTGAGATGGTGAGGAATATGAGACTGTTTACTCTTCTTACCAGCTGACCGCGGGGTATAAAGAGCTAACATCAGAGACATACTTGGGCAGTGAGCCAAAGACGTCCATTCAGCAGCAAGCTGACAGCGGCTGGGAATTGCCCGAGGTTACACAGCGAGATCTCATGAGACGCCATGTGCTCGCATTGGCACCCAAGTTGCAGTGATTCTCCTGCTAGGACGCCCTACCTCCTCATCCTCTCACATCGATCAATATGATTGCGGCAGTTTGATGCACGGGACTCGAGTTGGAGGTTGTGCAGGCTCATTAGAAGAAAGAGAGGGCGCGACAATGATTCTCTGCTGGTCAATTGCCCTGAGAATCACAAGTGACCGGCGACCGACCTTCGATCCGGAAACCAGGACAAGAGAGGGAGTCCAAAATAACAACCACCTAGAAAATCTGACAGAAATCGTGAGACGGCCCAAAGAGAGGTGAAAACATTACATCCAATGCCTGACACGTAGATCAGAGATACAACACAGAGGTAGGCATCTGCGCGAAGGAATGAGATGGGCACAATTTCCTCCACCAGGGGCGCGGCATTTGGAGACGCTGGGTTGCCTGTGCGAGGGCCGCAACCACTACTCTGGAATAACCCTTCTTGACCTCTCTCTCTGCCATCCTTCTCCCGCTCCTTGTCCACTGGTATACACTGCCAGATGCCCGACCTCAATGCCACAACTGCCGGTGCTCCTTGGTGACCCATCGCCGGCTTGAGGGGGTGTCAGTCAAGACCGAGAGCACCATGCCAGGTCAACGCAATAACGCCCCGGCACGATTGCAACAAAAGAGCAGGCCGGTAGTGGACCTCGTGGCAAAAGCTCTCGACAAAGGAGCGGTCAAGCGGAGAGTAGATGTGTAGGAAGAAAGAGAAAGCCGACACTGCTCCGTCCTGTGCGGAAGAGGTCTGGAGAAGAACAAACTTGACATGCGGATGCCAGCGCCTTGGTATGCATCCACCACCGATGAAGGCGGAGCTGAAGCTGAAGACTCAGGAGGCGGCCGCCGAGGCTAGAGCACGAGTCAGTCCCACAAGTCACGTGCAGCTGCAATCGCCCGCCGCGGTCAAAAGCCGAGCAGATCCGCAAATTGGCGAATGGCGCACTTGCCCATTGGCGTGCCCCACCAGTGCCACCGCCGATGCCAACTGCCAGAGACCCTCTTGGCCCACCTGGCGAATTGCCATCCAACTTCTTCCACAATCCCCTCTATCACCACCTCGGTGCTCCCCTGCTCCTCCAGATTCCGCAAGACACGAGGATAGGGGGAAATGGACGGAAAACATTACCGGAATCTCCCGCAAGACAAAAGGACGGCTCTGCGGAAGGCCGTGAAAAGACTCCAACAGCCCACACAAATCGGCACCAACTCCCATCACCGCTGACGGCATTTGGCGTCCCTACCCGACTGGTCCCAACAACGAAAGCCACTGCCCCTGTTGGTGGAAGATCTCTCTTCAATTTCTGAACACGCCCTTGTCCCCGATGCGGGTGCTTGTTCTGACCAAGTGATTACTAGTGACCCTTTGCCGGCTGCTCCCCCGTTGTACGGACCCGGACAACAGAAGTCCACCGCGCAGACATCCCGATCATACGATGGGAAAAAAATATCCTCGTAACGCACGGGCCCCCGAGCCCGCAAACCGCGACTTTACCACACCTGCCTCGACCCGAGCTAATACTCGTACATTGCCGATGCAGCCAATCGCCAAAGCATTGGCCGTGCGAAGATTCGTCCCCACCCCCTTGCGCTTTTTCTTGCCAGGCCAAAAAAAAAATAAAAAAAACAAAAAACTAATCCTGCAACTAGTTCCTGACAGTATAGATCATCAGCTTGCAAAGTACAAAGTATAAGCAATTAACAATGGCGTGGGTTAAGGTTCAATGGCCGCTGGCGACTCTCCACCCTCGGACGTTCAACGCCCGCGAATCATATCAACTGCCGCTAACCTGATCCTTTGGGGGTCGCGAGCTCAGAGAGATTCAACCCTGTTTTCTTGCTTGGAAGATGCAGCAGAGCTTTCCCCGTTGCGGCTCCTGTGTGACCTTACGCGTTACTCGTTGGATCTCAAGGTTTGCTTCTGCGGAATTTTGTCCCCAAACACAATACGCGAATGCCTGACTCGGTTTCTGCTCCCATGGTCCACCACACTTCTTGGACTCTGAGGAATCCACATGTCACGAGTTCTGTAGATAGATGGCCAGGATCCGTGGTGAAGCAGTTAGGATGTGGATGTTGGGGTTGATGGTGATTTCATTAACAGGTACCTGCGTATTGTAGACGGCTATGTCCATTTCTACGCAGCAATGACAACAAAAATCGCTCGAGTGCCGTCGCAGCTTCCACAGATATCTGTTGATCGTCTCCAGACAAAAAAAGGGCTCCTCAACTCCGCGCTTGTTCGTGATTGCCAAAGGAATACATGAGCACTGCGTCAGCGGCGAACAAACACTGCTTCAGATGGGGTATATATCAAAGCCCAAAGTTCACAATCATCAGACCCTCCTCGACCATCACCTGCATCCAGTCCACATCGAGACTCTGCCCAGTATTCATGAATCGCTCGTTTTGCTTTTCGTACACCGCCGCGAGCACTTTGCGTGTCGTCATGGTATTGCGCCCAATGCTGCTTTTCTCCATCTCGCGGAGCAGGTCCACCGCGTGCATTCGATGCCCTCCATTCGTGGCCACGAACCCGGCCATAAACACCGGGAACACCAGATATCGGCAGTACGATCGATCCTCCGCAAGGGCTTTGCTGGTCATTTGCAAAACCTGACTGGAAGCCACCGCGATTTCCGTATCATAGTCTGGAGACGTTTCGAGCCGTTGACCAGACCACATGGACGTGTGCGAATAGATGATACATGCGCGATACAAGGACGCTGCATGCTCGTACAGTTGTTTCGGGCGAAGTGGGAGATTGTCTATCTCTTGGTTGACCATCATCACGGCCGGGGTCACCCATAACTGGCGTAACGCCTCCTGGAGCTCGAAAATCCGGCTTTGGCGTATTCGAACGGCTTGGTTTCTCTGTAGGACATCTGCACGGTCGAATGTGACATCACCCCGGAATTCGCGTGCGAGAAGCGCCAGCCGGATGGCAAGAATACTCACCTCGTAATCGAGTTGTAGGATAGTGGGGAGAACTTCCACCTCTTCGGCATAGAGGACGCTCGAGCCATCGAGGCCCAGCGGGTATAAGTGGAAGCTTGGGGGAGGGATGAAGTCGTTGTTTAACAAAGACTCGACGTAGCTGCCACTGCCGGCACCGCTGAGTAAGGCATCGAGGTCAATGCTGCAGATCCACCAAACAATAAACGGATAGATTTCGCCGCCCAACTCTTCGCGTCGTAACAGCGAAATTTGTAAAAGGGTCATCAGGTGCTGCGACCAGAGATTCGAGTGCTCGGCTTCGGCGGCGGCGATCTTGACCAAGTTAGCATTACATGGTGCTTCAAGAGTCCCGACGTACCTCGTAGATCAGTAAGAGAAAGTGGGTCAGAAAAGCACCATCGGACGACAGGTCGTTGGGATCACGGAGAGTGGACTGCAAGGCAGGCAATGCTTGTTGGTAATGTTGGAGAGCGTCCAGCCATTCTTTTCCTTCTTGGACCGCCACACTCAGGGCTGCGACCGCCATCATCGCGTGGTACAACTGTGACGACGAGTCAGCAGGGCTCACTATGTTTTCAACGGAATCACATACTGGAGGGAAGCTGTTGGCGGCGAGTTCGAGAATGTGGACACTCGACCGCACCATACCATCTCTTTGGTCAGGCTCTGCTGGAACCAAGTGTTTCCAAACCACCTGGCGGAACTGTCGAAAATATCGAGCCTCTGGGCCTACCCTGGACGACTCAGTCGTGGAATCTGAGTCTTCGCTGAGCACAGCTTCCTCCTGCTCCTCAACCTTGATGGTTGCTTCATCCTTGACCGTGGCTTGTCTGAGTATCGGGGATATAGGTGACCGTGCCCGATTGGAGCTGAACGTGCTGCGCCGCTTGACATCTTCGAATCTAGGCAACACAACAATGTTGGGGTCTCCCGAGACCGGGATGGCTTCGCCGCCGGGTTCGCGACCAAGGCTACTCGCAAGTGAGGTGGCTATGGAGCCTCGACGTAGAGGCGGCAACAACTCTCGTTTGACTTCGGGCTCGTCGTTGTACTCTGGGAGATGTTGAAAGCTTTCTGGGTTGACGACGACGTTGTACGTTCCGGGGCTCGACCTCCCTGCCTTCTTCTCACGCTCCTCATCTGTGGTTAGGGTGGCGAAAGGCGGAAGATCGTCCACCTCGGCCGATCCAGGGCTGTTTTCGGTCAGCGCAGGGGAATTCGCTGCAGCAGGACAAATATTAATTAATGCTCCGGGTCGTGCGGTCGAACGAGGGGAGGAAAACTCACGATTCCACACAGGACTTTCGGCGATTGAGACGTCCTGCATACGTCCCAGAACTCTCGAGGTGTCATTCCGAAAGGAGATGCGCGGGTTGAAGTCGCAATTGAGGCTCAGGCGAGCACAGGGGCCGCAGAGGGGTTTGCTTTCGTCGCATTTGACCTTGCGCGAGCTTTTTGCACAATTAATACGGGGGACCGTGCAGGCTGGGTGGACGACTCACCGACAAGTCCAGCAGCCACTTCTCGACCGTGGAGGCAGCCGGGAACGCGGAGGGACACTAGGGCCACTGCGGCTGGAACTAGCCGAGGAAGATTGGTCTTCTTTGGGCGCAATCACAGGCAAGCGCAGCGGCGGTCTTCTCAAGGCCTCCCCTCGCTTGTCGACTGGCATCACCAGTGTTGTGGTAGTGATCATGAAGAATCGTTGCGCAAATAATCTCGACGGGGCTTGTGATGGCGCACGACCTGTTCAAGGGCAACGACGCATGTCAGGCCGCATGCATTAGTGCCCTCAATCTCAGCTTGACAGCGTCCGTGTGGCAAACAAGGGAAAGGCAAGGCTTGGGCGTAGATTTGGAGGGGCGAGCAGAAGAGGATCGAGACGAGCGGCGCGCGGTGGAGGAGATAAGGCAGGCAAGCAAGCGCGGCACACATCCAATGCAGTACTTTGGTACCGAAGAAAAAAAGTCGAGGTCGAGGTCGAGGTCGAGGTTCGAGGCCTGTCGCTATGCCATGCTCGAGGAGAAGGAAGGCGAACGGACTTGAAAAGAATGTTGGAGGAGTGGAGGATGTTTGGCTTGAAGAACGAAACGATACATCCCTGGTGCCTCGAGAGGTCAATCAGGAATCGGTATGGTCGGGTCTGTTAGTTTGAGGCAATCACGATGTCATTGTGCGCACCTGTTACGGCCCTGGTCACCAGGACTTGATTGGAGTCCCACCACAGATGCAGGAGGGCAGCTCCCGGCATCGAGGGATAGATCCATCCTGCCGGGCTAGTTACGAGAGTTGCACGCAAACCTCGAAGCTTGGAGGCAATGGGGGAGGAAGCATCGCGGTGACTGCAGGCAAGCAGAGTTCACATGGGGCCAGGGTAGGAGGATCGGGTGTCGAGTCAAAGACGCCAGGGAATGCAATCGAGTGGAGAGGGAGGCCATTGTGATGGTGTTCTCGGACCATAGCACCATGGCAGGGCGGGTCCCACGGAAAAACTTCCTCGGAACGGAAAATCAGTAACTCCGAATGATGCGCCGGCTCTGCCCTGCTTGCGGCTTCATTGGCCCACTGCCCACCCCCAAGGTGACGCCCGCCCTGCACTGTTTTTCTCTCAGCCATCTGCGTCTTTTGTTCTCTCTCCCCAAGCCACTTTCTGGTTTTGTTTACCACTCTGGTACATGGTACATTCTACACTCGTCCCTGACCGCCTGATTGTGGCTCTTTCCTCTTGGTTGCTGTTGCGTTAATTTCCCTCGACAAGTCCTGCTGCGGATTATCATTCCTCCGGCAGAACACCTAGCCTAGCGCCACGGGCTTGGTGGGGAGAGGCGGGAGTCAATCCCCCCTCGGAGTCCACGAACTTGATCTCGAAATCCTTCTACCACTCTCTGTACAGCCAAGGAAAAGGGGGTACTCAGCAACAAGCTCATCGCCTTTCTGTCTCAGAGAGCGCCACCCACTCCGCGTGCTTATCCTCGTCAAACTTCTCGCTTCCCTTCACTTGGGCACCAACACAGCGTGGTCCAAGGGCTAAAGATCCATACTACTGAACCGAGCTGAAAAACCATGTGTCGTCGGTTCGAGATTTGACTTTTGTGGAGAACCCCTCCAGGGTACCAGCTTTGAGAGACAACAGGGGCGCTAAGACTCCCCCACTGGACTGCACCCACCGATCGGGGGATGCACACGAAGACCACGAATGCTGCGAGGAAAAAACGTGGCAGAGGCCTCCAGGACCCCGTAAGCACACCGCAGTCAATCCACATCTCCTGCTCCAGCACAACCGAAAACCCCCAAATCCGACGAGAGTCCAGATCCGTGACTTTGGGAGAACACAGAAAGAGGGGGGTGCCGCTGCGCTTGAGACGGCGAGAAGATACCGGGACCAGTGGTCCGTGCACCATGATCAGCCCTACGGTAGCATCACCGTCCATGGCGTGAGGTTGTCCCAACAGACTGGCACCGGAGCAGCAAATGAATAACCATGGGCCGGGGTCGGATTTCACACCCGCGGTTCCAAGGAGGAAGGTCCCAACGCTTGTATTGCTGCAGGACGCCAAAAACAAAACTACTGGTCCCGTTGGCAAGCCTGTCGAGCTCGTCCGATTTCTTCACGTAAAGGTCTCGACCGCTCTTCGACCAGCCAGGGGTCGAGGATCGCCGCTAAGGCGGCTGGGTCAGGCATGCCTTGTTGGGCGAGGGCCAGGGCCAGCTCGGCACGTGATTTTCGCGCACGTTCCGGTTCTCGCCAAGGCTCCGGCGGACAGGCGAGCACCGCCATGACCAGTGGCTGAAATGGCTCAAAGGCCCTTCGACCGTCCAACTCCGAACCCTCCCGCGCCGACGGCCGTGGTGCGGAGGCTGTTGCCAGACTTGAGGCTGAGGTAATTTTGTCGTCAAGGTCTTCACCACGACCACTACCACCATCACCATCCACCCCCTTTGCGGGCCCATTGACAACAAAAAATTTTGCACTGTCGCACAGTGTAATGTCGAGGGTGCTGGATCGAATCGCTTGTGCTTTTTGCACGATCTTCATCGCCGGGTCCAGACTCTCGGGGTGCGCATGAGTGGACAGGATCCTGAACATGCAAGAAACAACCGCGCCCACCGTTGCTTCAATAACGGTCTGTTCGCTATACCCTTACTGTTAGTGGCAAGTCTATGCATGAGCGGGGCTGTCTCACCGATTCTTCAGGGGCTTCCCGTTAGTTTCGTCCACTTCCATGGCATCCTGGTCCGTTAGCTCGTCCATCAACTCCGCCAAAAAAGGCAGGAGCTCGTGGCTGAGGTCCAGATCTTTTCGAGCGACTGCAAACTCTCCAAGAGCCTCAATGGCGTGAGGTCGGTACCCAATGTTGGTCCGTTTCGCTTCTCGGATTGCAATCTTCTTCATCTGCTGGGTGGTCTGGCCGTTCGACCACAGTGGTTGGGCCTCCCGCACGAACTTCGGATACACCTTGACAATTTCTTCTTTGCCATCCCAGGTTTTGCCCTCCAGCGCCGCCTGCATCACCCCCCAAATAAGAGATGCCTCAGTGTCGGAATATTTTCCTTGTGCTTCGATCGACCCCACCAATTCGGCGACCGCCAACGAGCAAGCTTGCTTGATCGGCCACAGAGGGGATCCAATATGCGCCGAGATAAGTCCCACAATCTCGGTCAGATAGAGATTGATCGACCGGGAACCACCGATATTCTCCTTCCAGGGAACATCAAACCGCTCTCTGACCTCCTCGTCAGTATCCCGTCGGCCGATGAAAGCAAACGGGAGAAAGGTTGGTGCAAAGTTCATGAAAACGTCATTCGCAGCCTTGGAGATCGCCTGTATGATTTCGCCGGCCACAGAACGATGGCTTAGTTCCTGCGACTCAAAGTACAACTTTTGCGCGAACTTGTTTGTAGCCTGGACCTCCTTGTCCGAAGCCAGTCTCATCAGATAGCCTAGTGAGGTGCTGAAGGCGACGCTGATGGTGGCGTTGCGGTCGAGGATGTGTTTCCGCGTCAGCTGTACGAATTTGTCTGCATACGGTCGAAAAGCGGTTGGATGGCGCACAACCAGCGTGGTCATGACTCTGCTTAGGCCAATTTTGGACGGCAGTCCGATCGCTGCTCGATATGCATTTGCAAGGCGTTGCATCGCGTCGTCCATTGTTGCATGCCGCCCTTGACTGTGCGAACTGGAAACGACCCCTTGCATGGCGTTGGGGTCGTCATTGGCCTCGACTGTCATGGTGACGCTTTCCAAACAGTCCTCAATTGCTTCTGTAACTGGAGACGCGTTGATGCTCGACACTCTCATTTTGTCCAGTTTCTCGGCCGTCAATCCGTACTTGTCAGCATTCAAATGGAGGTAGTTGATACTCTCGTGTTCAAGAGAGCTCAGGGAGAGAACAAGCGTCTCCAAAACGGTTGGTGCAAAGGGACGCAGAGATTTGGGTGGACACTTCTTCACCACCTCCAGAAGCGTTACAATAGCATACTGTTGTACCTCCTTGCCCGCACCACTATCCATTTGTTGCAGCAAGAACGGCATGGCGTGGTTGAGCATGGTTCCAGAGCGCTTCGAATTGCCCTCGCCAATCTCCAAATTGCGTATCAGCATACTCGTGAGTGTCCTGCACAGCTTCATGGCGGCCAATCGAACTGTCTCCTTGACATCGTCCAGTACTTTGAACGCGACCTTCCAAATGTCGTCAAGGTACTTTTCAAACACATCGACGTCTCGCCCCTGTACGAGATCAGAGATTGCCGCGCAGCTGGCCTCGCGAGCCCGCCATTCCTTGCCCGACACGACGCTCTGCAACAGATCCTCCATGATCAGATCAAAATTCTCGTTGATAACGGCATTCGGATCTTTGACCAGCGCCCGCCAGATTTCGTTCATAGACCGTTGGACATTGGGGTTTGGGTCGAATCGGTACCGGAAAAGCTTAGGATAAAACTTCTTATTCTCCGTCAAATATGTGGAATCCGCCAGCACACGACCGAGTCCAAATCTTCCAAACGCCGCTCGACTTGACCAGATTGCATTGTTCGAGGCCAGATTCATAAAGCGATACACCAAGCTCGGGTCTCCCATTTCTGTGGCAAGGCGGACGATGTCTTTATAAGTCGTGACGGACTGCCCATTTTCAGTAGGCAGCGCACCGGGCTCGAACAGCTGCGTGTCTTCGTTTACAGTTCCGGACATTTTGGCGTTGCTGCCCGTGAAACTCTGGACTAGGTCTCTAACCAAGTCGTCTCGAAGTTGCTTGTCACCCCGCTCATAGACAAGACTGAGGCCCCGGGATCCAGTCTCCTGGACAATTTCGTCGCGGTCGTTAAGCAACCTGGCAAATGCAGCTTGACATTCTCGCAGTCGCGCTTTGACGGCAGGTAATTCGCCACAGTATTGGATGATGCATAATAGCCAGATCGCGGCAGCCTTCTTCAGCGACGGCTTTGTGGTGTTGCATTCCCCGAGGACTCTGTCAAGGACTTTGATTAAGAGCTGTTCGTTGACATCCAACCCCGAAACATCGGTATCAACATCAAGTTCTGTCAGCGTGGACAGCGACCTGAACCCGGCGCAAGCAACGGCAAGGGATTCTCCCAATGTGAAATGGAACTCGGCTCGTTTGACTTCGTGAAGGCCCAGCAGTCGATCCAGGAACGATGCAAAGCGCGAAGAATCGGCGCCACGCGCGTGCAAGGTACCTAGCACTGGCCCTGCAGCCGAGACGGCTGTTTCACTCTCTTTCTTGCTGTCTGCGATCAACTGACTCAACATTTCTTCATCGTTTGATCCTTCTTCTGTTGGGGTGCAAAGAAATAGTTGACGGAGAGATCTGTACGCAGTGTCTTTGACCGATCTGTCGGAAGAAGTCTTGACGATCTCGACAACGATCTGCACCGCGTCGCGTAGTGTGTCATCGGATGTCCGCAGTTTCAGCCTGAGCGATCTTCTGGTGAGGTAGAAACATGCGCGGAGGAGATGGCCTTGAATCTTTACCAGGTCTTCCCCGACGGCTGTTTTCCAGTGTTTGGCCTCATTCAATTCAGCCTTTGCGAGGTCTCCGGCGTCCTCATCGAGAGAAGCTAGAATGCCAAAGATCCGAGCGCCTCGAAGCTGCAAGCCTGCATTTCCGGCAACACGTGCAGCTGCCTCAAGCCCTGCATCCTTGACACGGAGCAACAAGTCAGTCGGGGCAAGAGAGAGAAGCTCAAGGGATAAATCTAGGCATTCCCCAGCCGCCTTGGATGCACCATCTAAAGCAGCGCGCATTAACGGTAACAGCACGTCCACACCCAGGTTTCGTAAATAGGACCGGATACGCTGTCGAGCGTCCTGGTCATTACTGGCCAAAGCATCGATAGTCTGCTTCCAATCTGTCGATTCTTCGGGCGCCAGTTCTGTCTCGCGCAGGGCTTCGCAGTAGAGGACGTTCCGACAAAACGTCACCGCCGCGGCTAGCACTGTTGGGTTGTCGTAGGAGTTCGTATGCGCCGCGCCCGCTTTGAAAAACCTTTCCACCAAGGCATCGAGCTTGGGGAGCTGTAGCTTCCGATCGTCGGAAGCAGTGGTGAGGCGCAGATTCGAAGCATGCCAGTACGGATCCAGCCCCCTAGCTCCTTCCTCGGCTATCTCTCTTCTGCCGCTTGCTGAGGCCAAGGCCAGGACATCGATAAAGCGAGCATCCACATCTTCAAACGGTAGACATTTATTCGCAAATCGTACGGCTGGATAAGTCGTGCTATTGACTGTAGGTAAGAAATAGATGGGGTCTTCCTGGCCTGGTGCCGCCAAGACATTCCACAGAAAGAGGTCTTTTAGGCGATTTGCGGTTGATGCGTCGCCAAGGGCAGGTAGAGCATTCATGATGCGACCGATTGATTCTTCGATGCTGCTTCTTATCTCGCGCGTCGTGTCACAGCGGAGGCTTGTGAAGAGCCACGTGATCAGAACCACCATGCGATTGTTGTCCATGGATTCGGTTTTGAGGCCTGCCAGCAGGCCGATGCTCTCGTATGCTTTCGAGCGAAGCTCCACCTCTGATGCGGCGGAGGAGTGGTCACTGTTCATGGTCGGCCAGCCTTGCATTTCAATGTATTCCTTCAACAGGTCCTGGATGCGATGACTTATTTCTCCGGCAAGATGTTGACCGCCAACACGCACTGTCCAGGTGAGATAGGAGAATAGAGCTGCCCGGAGTTTGGCTGCCTCGAGTCCCGCGTTGGATGTCTGTGTGAGTTGTTTCTCCACAATGTCCATGATCTCCGTGGTGCGCCTGGTGGAGTTCTGGCTGCGTGATAAGAGGCCTAGAATTCGCGTTTGCAACTTGGGTTTGGACCTTCTGTAGAGATTGAAGAGGAGGTCAATCGTCAATTCAGACTCCAAGTCGAAATCGCATTGCTTAAACATAACGTCGCTCATATTTGCAGCGGAGGCATTTGGGTCGACAGACATGATAGTGGCAGGACTGATACGCTGCCGATCGCTGAAGATGGAAGAGAACAAGAACTTTGCAATTGGCAGGACAACTTCCGAGCGCCGTTTGAAGTTTTTCTCCATGACAGGCTGGAAATCTTCGTCCTGGGCTTGAGCGGACGAATCCTTTGGATCGTAGAGCAAGAAATCGCACAAGCGGCTGACAAGCAGATCTGTCTGCGTGGATGACAGTGAGAACGTGTCTGAGAGAGCAAGATCTTCCTTGCTACCTCGCTCCGGAATCTTCCACTTCCTCAAGACTTCCAGGAGAAAGTCGAACGCGACAGCCCACATTTTCCGATCCGTAGCGTCAAACCCTTCGGCTTTCGGTATGGCAAACTGCAACACCCCAGGCAACGTCTCGATTCCCTGGTTCAGTTCCAGCCGCGGAAGGCCTTGCTCAATGAAAACTAGACAGAATCGCTTGACAAAGGCGTTGTCGTTCTCGCGGAATGTCTTGACCAGCGCTGACACCGGAAGCTTGATTGACGAGGTGATCTTCAGCCTTTGGTTGACGTACTGAGAGATCTTGATCGCGAGATTGCGATTTTGAGGGGTTGGAGAAGCCAGCTTTAGCAGGAGAGCTGGAAGGAACTTTTGAAGAATAGACTCTAGTTTCTCGTCTGTCGATGCCGAAGCGATGCGCATCTCGAGCTGGGAGATCAGCCTGTATTCCCGCTCCGCATCGGGAGCGGGCTGCTGCGCTGCCATGTTCGTAGTACTGGGGGTTGAGCTAGGAGAGAGCTCTCATCATATCAAAGACGTTGCTGCTGCTAGCTAAGAGCAATGATTCGATGAATTCAGGATGCGAAGAACAGGAAGTGAGCTGGTATATCTGCCACTCCTTCGCTTTAGGTAAGAACGACTGAAAATGAAACAGTCTAAAGGCAACGTGGAGGCAACAGCATGCTCGTCATCGAGGCTTCCAAAAGATGATGCTTTGTGATTCTGTCAGGATCTGAGGCCTCGCCACGTCGCCAGGTGAAGCCTTGACCTTCTTACTAAGGCGGCGAGGTTGCCAAGGCCGAATGTAGTTCGCTAATAATGAGCCGCACGAGTCCTGCAAGGCTGAGTTGATGTCTCCGTTGGGAGTGTAACGAACCACAAAAAATCTGTGGTAGCTTCTGGGCTTGCTACGTCAAGGGCTCGTGGGGATACAATGGGTTACTGGAAACAATGTCTGAAGTCAGGTATTCTGGGAGAATCGAGGTTTGAATACGCCGCGAGCCCCAGGTCCTGCCATCAAGCGAATTCCAACGCGAGTCCAACGGAGAAGCCCAGCGCAGTGGCCCAAGCTCAAGGTGATGTTGAATGGTTTTTGATGACTTTTAATCAGTGGTCCAGCCGAACGCTTTGCTGCTGAAGATCCTTCCAGCCCAGACAACGCTTGGCCGAGAGCCTTCGCCTCCCAGTGCCAATCAAACTGGAATGACCGTTCCCCGGAGGGAGTAACATCCTTCGAAGCATCGCCATTGTTCCCACGCCCATCAGATTTCTCGTCTTCATCTCCAGAACCTTCAAGACCTCACAGCCCCACTCCGCGACAAGCCATCATCTCAATCTTCTTGCTTCTCTTTCGGACTCGAGCAGGCACAGAATATCATCGACTTTCACTGTATGACGACAAAACCATCAGTCACTTCTACCCACAGGAAATTCTTGCGCATTCAATATCCCCCCTTCCGAACTCTCACGTACCTGGTCCCTTGACGTTTCGGATGATGCTTCGGCTCGTGTCGTCCATGAATTCGACTCTCACTTGTGTGACACCACCTCGCGAGCCTAAGAGACACAAAACGTAAGTTAAAACGACCTTCGACAGCCAGAGGTGAATATTTGGAGGTCGCCATTTTGACTTACCTGTTCGGCCGAGGACTCGGGTGACTTTGACGAGTTTGACTGGGACTTTGCCTGCCGCATCCATCTTGAACTAGGCGATAGTATCGACTGGGACGGAGAGAATGAGTTTGGGGTTGTAGATTCGCGGTGGCTCACAATTGATGTCCTGCTGGTTGGAAATTGAGCGCCGCGAAAAAGATGTCGAGCGCAGTTGGTGCAATGTGGGCGCAAACTCGCCAAGAGTGTCATCGGCTAAACCCCGGCCTTAATTTTTTCCGATCAGACCGTTTTGACTCAACCCGAATCTGCCAGCCATGGAAATAAGAAATGTTGGAGGTAAGTTGGTGAGATTTGACTCTTGAAGGCATTTGGTGAGTCTTTAAACAGACTGTGCTGCTCTTGGCCGTCTCTCTCTCGCTGTTGTTCTGCACGGCAGATCTCCTAGAGCTTAAATTTTTCGTTTGTCTCGCGGGGTAGAAAGGTCGAAGATTTTATTCGAGACGGATTTGGAAAAGGAAAAGCAACAACCTGGTAAAAAGTCGACTACACTGCCAATGGACCTCGTCAATCACCTCTCCGACCGGCTCCTCTTCGCCGTGCCCAAAAAGGGCCGCCTTCAAGCCGCGACTCTGGACCTTCTAACGGGATCCGATATTCAATTTCGGCGAGAAACCAGACTTGACATCGCCTTAGTGAAGAATCACCCGCTCGCACTTATTTTTTTACCCGCCGCGGATATCCCTACGTTTGTGGGTGAGGGACGAGTCGATCTTGGGATTACGGGACGCGATCAAGTCGCCGAGCATGACGCCCATCTGGCCCTAGGTGAGGAATCGGGCGTGGAGGAAGTCATGGATCTTGGATTTGGGAGGTGTCGGTTGCAAGTTCAGGTCCCCGAGAAAGGCCCTATACAAGATGTGAAGGACCTGGTCGGCAAAAACATCGTGACCAGTTTTACAGGACTTGCCGAGGATTACTTTGCACGTTTGGAAGGCATGGGCGGACGCAAGGAGAGCATAAATGGCACAGCTAGCCCGATTCCGAAGCTGAAGACGAAGATCAAATTTGTGGGCGGCAGTGTGGAAGCAGCTTGCGCACTAGGCGTGGCGGACGGCATCGTCGACCTTGTTGAGTCCGGGGAGACGATGAGAGCGGCCGGCCTCAAGGCGATCGAAACGGTGGTCGAGAGCACGGCCGTCTTGATCAAGTCGAAATCCGTCTCGAACGAGCAACTTGTCAACAAGATCGCCGCGCGGATACGAGGAGTCATTACGGCGCAGAAATATATCCTGTGTCAGTATAACGTGCCACGAGCAAAATTGGCGGATGCGACCAAGATCACCCCGGGCAAGCGGGCCCCCACGATAACAGCGCTGGAGGAACCGGACTGGGTGGCGGTGAGTTCGATGGTCGAAAAGCAGCGCATTGCAACGGTCATGGATGACTTGACGGGAGTGGGCGCGACAGATATTTTGGTGTTGGATATCGCAAATTCCCGGACAGGCTGAGACGGCGGCTCGACGGGAATGGAGGCGGAGCAATTCAGCGGCGCAATGACATAGAGGAATGCTTCGAGACAGGGCAAGTTGGCGAGGGAGGCACGCATTAAAATTTGAGGACGGGAGACCAACTATGAAGGCCTCCTGCTCCAACGACTAGGCTCATGAAGCCATCTTCAGAGGTTAGAGGGCAATGCTAGAAAACGGATATTTTACATATGCATACAAAGCTGAGCTTGTCCCTGCTGTGCGGGCATGACATAAGTACCAGGTATGCTCTATGTAAGCCACTCTTAATTTGCGCATCGTATTGGACATTGTCGTCATTTGATTGTTGCTTTCGGTCATTATCGAGGCTGGCTAGGCTGCGACCATAAAATGTCGCTCCCACAAATCCCGTCTTGGTCCGGCATAGAGGGAGCTTTCCGGTAGCCACCCCCAAGTAACCAAGCTGATGCACCAAATTGATTTGAGCTTGATGACTTTATCTTCTTTTTGACCCTCAGAAAGTCAAGCGTCAAATGACATCACACAGTTGATGTTACTAAGCGAGCACTTCCGCTTCATCCTCCCACTGTACCCCACGCGACACATTTGTATCCCAGTATCCCCAGTTTCGGAGCCTGGGGAGCCGTGAATCCTCAAAGCAAACCCTATGTGAGAGCCTGGAGCGACGCCTCAGGGCTTATATCACAATCATCCGTCGACAGCAATTTGGTGATACGATTTTGTGAGCATGTCGGCAAAGAAAAGTGGTCCAATGCCTTCCGACTCTGCACCCATCGCCGAGCCCCTCCTCAGTCGCTTGATTGTGGCACCGGTGCTGTTCGTATCATTTCTGATATCATTATTTCTCATTGACCGCCAAACATATGGCAGCATCTTTGCCCGATCCGGTAGCCAGGATGGATATTATCATTCCCATCAGCGCAAATTGGCGAAGCGAGAGATGGACGACGCTTTTCAGATGCGAAACAAGGTCATCGCCGCCATGGTCTTGCTGAGCGCCGTCTCTCTGGCTCTGCTTGCTTGGATATTGGAGTCGGGGTGGAAAGTGTGGAAATATCGGGCGTGAACATTGCGGCACTGAGCACGGGGGACTCGCATTCTCGGCAATATCTGCTTGGGAACATCTGGTTGTTTCATGTCACAGGAAAAGGTTGTTTGGAGTTTCACTTCTCGGGGGCATCTGTCGGGAATTTGGTTAGCCGTCGATGCAAATTTCCTCAAGGTATCAGGGCGCATGGGATTCATATTGCAACGAGTACGGGGGAGGGGATTGCTCTGAGTGTGGAACTTACCTGGAAGTCTCTCAATTACATATTTCCCCCGAGCCACACTCATGATCGGTACTCCAGGCACCTTTCGAACCCTCCTCTTCAAATCTCTATCGTTGGTAGCCACGATGTAGATCTTGTGCCTCATGACTCTGTCTACTATGCAGTCATCGGCGTATGTGCCTTTGTGGCCGCATTTCAATCGCTCCCATCTTTCGTCTCGTGCAATCCGCAATGCAATCCTATACTTCTGCCCAAGCTTTTCGAGCTCGGCCATTACGCAGTCTGTAATGATCGGTATGCACTTTGCGTAGAGGCAATCCATCATCGTGGGTAACAGCTCAAGTTTCTTCTGGACGGTGTGGGAGAGGAAGTTCGTATCAACGAGGACGTTGTAAGGCGGGACTAGGGCGGTGTTGTACTGAAAGAACAGAGAAGACGAGACTTGGGGCCTGCGTCTTTTAGCAGGGCCTTCGTCTGAAGCGAAGAACTGGGATCACTCACGCTTCTCGTATCACGTCGTCGTCTGTTTTCTTCTTGGATTCCGCCGCTTTGCCAGTCTCTTGATTCTTCTTGAGACGAGCATCTCGCTGACCGATGATTTTTTTGACCTGAAACTTGCGCGTCTTCTTATGAACACCCATTTTTGGCGGCGAAGAACAAAGGACGAACTCGCCAAAATTATTGCTGTTGCGCACAGAGAAAATCGTTCAACGAGCCACGGGCATAACAGCAAGCGAGAAAAGTTAAGACCGGGGCTAACCGAGTGCAGCTTGTTGCTTGCTTTTGTTCTCGAAGGCCAAAAATCTACAGGTATGCCCCGCTTCTCAGCCACAATCGCTCACGTTATCCCTGCCATCCACGCCTAACCCGGCAGCGTTTAGCGCATACCAAAGCCCCAAAATAACCAAGAGAGGGCTTGAACCGGGCTTGTTAGGGGCACCGAACCGTGGCTCTGGGGGGGGCGCGACTCCTCGAAAAGCCAGATCTGAAACCTCTCTCAGAAAAGCACGCCAGTCGTCACCCTTGCACTCCTTCAACTCCGATCTCTGACTTTCATCCTCTCGTTACCGTTCCTGATATCAGCTCAGATTCATTTACTGTCCAGCAATACCTTCCAGCAGTACGGAAAACAGGCACCTCCGTCGTATAAACACAAAACATGGTTACCAACAGCGCGCTCCCAACCCTTCCTGGCGGGTTCAATTATCCACCTCCTACCGTTCCTCCAAAGGCCGGCGCCCCTTACCTGGCCAGTTCCAAACTCCCAGAAAACTTCGTCTTTATCGTCGTCGGCGCCGCTTTGGGCTTTGTTGCCCTCCTCATCATTGGCTGGCGAATTCTTATGTCCTGGTCTATAAACCGCAGCTTTAGACGCGACACCAGCAGCGGTGCTGCAAGCGGCGTCGCTTACACACCACTCGCAGACATTAAAAAGAACCCAGCAGTACAGTCCTCACACGATATGGCGGATTTGAGCAAACTGCCACGGTCTTTCTCAAGTGTACCATCGCTGTTTTTCTCACCTACGGCCGAGGTAGCGAAACAGAGCCAACGACCTACGAGCAGTCAACACACACATCTACCAGCAGGACATTACCGCGATGCCTCGGATTCATATCGGCGATGATTCTCAAAAAATAAAAATCTAAGCATGAATATCCGTGCTCTTTTGGTTTAAAATCAAGACGGTGCTAGAGCTGCGACTTGGAACGAGGCGGACAAAGATGGGCGATTCTGCACCCCCGTTCGAGGCGCACATTGACGGTGGAGGGTGGGCCGAACACCCATTCTGGGTGACTGAAAAGCGTGACCGAGAACCATCGAGCGTTCTTGAAAGTGAGGTAGCGCCCTTAAAGCCTTCTGCGCCCTTGAATTGTTCGCGACAGATCATTCAATTAGGAGGTGCCAGACCCGACTGGATTCAAAGATCGATGAAGCCAAGCCTCAACCGGGCTGTCCGCAAGGCTGGCCATCAATGCCGCTGTCGACGGTCGTCGCTTACGGACATTCTTCGTGCTGCACGAGCTACCATAAATCAGGCCCCAACTGCACCGCAACGGCCTTAATACTGGGATTGGATTATTCGGGCATTTGGTAATTTAGCGTGGCGTTCTTCAGTGGGAAGGGGCTCGGTTGGGTGAACTTTGAATCGTCATCAAGACAAAGCTGTTTTGGTATTGAGTATAATGACATCCAGATGTCGTGGTCGTCCATATCGTGTTAGATGTATTCTGACCCTCATTTCTGCCTTTCCATATTGTGTCAAATCTTGCTGATGCTCTCGTTTGGCGGCGAGCTTCGGTTTCGTGAGTGCCAACCAAATGTGCACATCAAGGGCCTCAATACTCCGCCGTATCGACAACTCCTTCAGATCAGCCCAATCGGAGCTCTCCATCGCCTCCATAATCGATATTTGGAGTACTGCGTGGTTGTGGGAGCTTCCTCGACTTTCATCTCTCCTACGTCCACTTTCTCTGCTCCTGATCCTGTATTTCTTGCGTCCCGTCCAGCCTGCATCTCTCGCCTTGCCCATAAGCCACCATGTCCCTCCCCCGAGGCGTCGCTCTGCGACACATGCAGGCTCTCCCCGCGAGTCGCTCCCTCCTCCGGACCCAACGGCGCTGGGCGCGTGTTCACGACGTCCGCTTCGTAACCACACATAGAAATCAAGAGAAGGTTTTGGACCGCTATAGACACAAGCTGGAGCAGAAGGCAAAGAAGTAAGTCTACTGCAAAGATGCCTCGGGGATATTTTGAAGAAACCGGCCGAAGGCGAACGCACTCTCGATGAAGGAGTTTTGGGGAATTGGCCGCTGTCTTGAGCAAGTGAAGCTAATGACTGTGTCTGCATTCAGCGAAGGCCATGATTCCGTATCCTCCCTCACAGAAGCCTACAAGGATAAAATAAAAGACTACAAGCGTGCAGCCAATGCCGGATATCCATCTGCACCTACGGGCCAGAGCCCGCAAGCACAAAAGTCTCCATTGCAACAGCCTCCGCCTCCCCCACCTACTCAGCAGTCAACATCCCCAGCCAGCCAGCCACAAGGGAAGTCTTCGGCTGCAAACCACGCTTCGGGCGCACCGGGAATAAAGCCTCTCTCCTCGTACCTTGACCTTGAAAAAGTGTCTTCCCTGCCAAATAAAGAGGTGGAATACATCTGGCGACTTCGGCACGCAAACGACCCATTGTCGCTTTGTGCCGTCATACCGCTGGAAACGTATAATCGCATTTACCGCACTGCGAGAAAACACCCACAATTTGTCCTCCCCTTACCTCGCCCTGTGGCCGAGGATGGCAGCGGCGACATGAAACAATCGTCCGACGGGTTCAGAGGCGATGAACAACGGTCTGCTGCGGATATCCATTTCTTGCAATGGGGGTTCCATCCTCCTTCAGGAGCCCCCTCAAGTCCGGATGTGAAGACTTCAAATACCCACATGAGTACCGTGCTCTTCACGCACTTGGCCGCCTTCAAGCTCCATGGAACCTATGCTCAGCCACATACGACAATCACGCATCACCTTGATCTCGCGGACTCGCATGGCCTGGTCTTGTTGAACGGATCTGTTGTCAAAGGGCGGGGAGTGAGTGTAGAAGAAGGCCGTTGGCTTTTGATGTGCCTCCAGAAATTCTATGACTATGAAGGCCACGGAGGGGGCATTGGACGTGAAAAGCGGCAAGGACTTTTGGAGAAATTCAGCAAGGGCGACCAGGAATTCAATCTGGAAGAACTGGTCGATGAGGCCGAGAGGATATCATGAAGAGGGGCCGCCTCGTTCATTCGCCGACAGGTTCGCTCCGTAACTGGTCACTGTCGACATCGACATTGGCTCTCTTGGGCTTCTCCCCTCGTGTACCTCTCAGCACTTCCCGGATCAGGAATCCCCAGATCGCCTCAAAGTAGCCTGGTTCTGCCACGGTCGAGTTATGGTCTCCATTGGGGAATTCTTTCCAGACCTTCGCGGTCGGGCATTGCTCGAAGAGGGACTTCATCATGGATGGTGGTACGATCTCATCCCGCAGGCCGGAAAGAAACAGAACGGGAATTTCTGCATCTTCCACCTTGGCCAAGCTTTGTTCTGAATCCCATCGCTGGTGACACAGATACGAAAGGTATTTCGCTGCTGGCATGATCGATGGGATCAACTTGCGAATGGACAAGAAGGTATTCTCCAAGATGACAGCGGAAATGTCACCAACGTGATAATTTGTCTGCAGCAGCTTGATCGCAAGGGCTCCACCCAGACTCTGGCCGTATAGGACAATGTTGGTCTTTCTCAGCTCTTTATGGTTGCGCACAAAGTCGAGGGCAGTTTGCCCGTCGATGGAAAGTCCATCTTCGCTCGGCGAGCCTGTCGACAACCCGTAACCTCGATATTCGACCATGAACACATGACAGCCCAAACTCTGGGAGAGGACTTTGCCTATGGGAAGGCGGTGGCCAACATTGCCAGCATTGCCATGAAAGGTCACGAGAGTGACATTCTTTCTCAACGAAGGATCGGAAGGGCGCAGGAGGTAGGCATGGAGGGTCTCGCCGTCCGGCGTGGGAAACTTTATGGATTCTGCGTCCTGAATACCATACTTCTCAGGAGGGTCCACATTCGTCCTTGAACCGGCAGGTAGATTTGCGGGGTAGATAATGTCGTTTTGTTTGAAATAAAGGAGGCTGCTTCCGAGAGCTGCGAGGCCTGATGTGGCGAAGACGGGTATGCGTAACCAGGAGAGGTAAGAAGAAGTCATGGCGACAGCTTCATCCAAGCGCAGCTTGGCTAGGGTGTGATTGAATTGCGGGGGCAAATAGGACCTGAGGACGGAGTACATCCAGCAAGGTGACTTGTAGGAGACTAAGAATGACGAGCAAAAGCTTCTGGGAAGAAAATGCGGCTCTATATGTGCGAAGTGAAGGGGATAGAGTGAGCGGTGTCTGAGAGGCTCGAAACTTGGGGTTCTTGACTGGGAAAGCAAGGCAACACTTGATGTTTGGAAGGTCGACACTTGGTGGCACGGCTCCTGCCATGTTGGGTACCTTGGAGGTAGATTTGGCGAGCTTAGACGCCTGGACCGCCAAGGGCCGTCTAATTAAGCGCCCCTGGCCCCCGTAACCTGCCCTCACCAGCCAACTGTTTGCCGCCCGCAGCGCACCCCCAAGGTTTGATTTAGTAGACGCGTTTGCTCGTTCTGCCTTGCCGTGCAGCGCAGCTTCACCATATATCTGCTTCGCATTCATCCTCCTGCCATACCCCAAGCACACGCCGTTCCAGTATCTACTGTGCACAAATCTCAAGCTCACACATCTCTTCTCTACATTTTTGAATCATGATTGGTCCAGGCACCGGCATGCTTGGAGAGGATGGAATCCACGTCGACATGAACCATCTCAAGTCCGGGGAAGTCAACCTGGGTACATCAATTATGGCCATCAATTTCAAAGACGGGGTCATTCTGGGAGCAGACAGTCGGACAACGACAGGAGCATACATTGCCAACCGAGTGACGGACAAGCTCACCCAAGTACACGACACCATCTGGTGCTGCCGGTCAGGGTCTGCAGCCGACACTCAGGCCGTGGCCGACATCGTTCAATACCATCTCGGGGTCTATGGAATCATGAACAACGAGTCTCCCACCACCCAGACCGCTGCTGCACTGTTTCAAGAATTGTGCTACGACAACAAGGACCAACTGAGGTGAGATAGCCAAACGTGTGTTGGAACTTTGACTGACCTATATTCAGCGCTGGCATCATTATTGCAGGCTACGATAAGCGGAACGGTGGACAAGTCTACTCGATACCTCTAGGAGGATCATTGCATAAAGGACCATATGCTATCGCAGGTTCAGGGTCGACCTACATCTACGGATACTGTGATGCACATTGGAAAGAAGGAATGACAGAAGAAGAAGGAATACAATTTGTCAAGGGAGCTTTAAGAGAAGCGATCAAATGGGACGGCAGCTCGGGCGGTGTCATTCGAATGGTAGTGTTGACGGCGAAGGGCGCTCAGCGGCATCTGTATCTCCCAGACCAGGACTATCGAGGACCAGGAAGAGACTGAGCCGAGTAAAAAGGGGTTGGGGCGGCGCACAAGGATCCTTTTTAGGGGGTGCATATGCATGTTCTGAGCAAAACGGCATTAGCAAATTCGACAGACAGACGAGTGCCAGGGCTTAAGATGATGATTCGTCTTTGGCATCATTTCTAGTACTTGGGCACGATCATGACTGGGCGCCACCATTGGGTGATCATCCGTGCCAGAGTTCACGATATGTGTCTGCGTCCCTCTGGGTGGCGGTGGCCGTTGATTGCTGTTCAGCCGCCTTTCTTCTGTGTATGCAGTATGATGCAAGCGTGCTTAGCACTTGTTTTGCCCCGTGGTGGTGGACGGCAGGGCGGCGATGGCAAAGTGGTCGCAATGCTCCGCCCGTCTTCGGGTCTTTACGTGCAGGCCACCAGCTTCGACCACTGGGAAACTGCGCCTCGCGGCTTCAACCCAACCAAACCTAAACCCAAACCAACCGATTCCCTCTCTCCATCTGCGTGCTCTTTCTCGTTACACTTCGTTTGTCTTCATATCTTGCCACTTGTATCTATCGTGTCGGCCGTCGAAGTCTGGAGGGATAGACGCGCCTGACTGCACTGACAGCTTTTACCTCCAGCAGTGACTTCCGGCAATGTCTTTGGTAAGTCGACAGCATGTTTCTTTTTCCCCCACCCACCGCTCGCTCGTCGTGGGCTGCGTCCTACGCTGCACATGCTAGCTCTCCGCCGACCGCCAACTTGACCAAATGCATGCCGAACGTCTACCACCACCACATAACCTGCCTCTAAATCCCCTCAGTCGCTCTGGAAGACTGTGTTACCTCTTGCCTGCCCCTCGATACGAATTGCTGAAGCCTGTCCACCGCAATCACCTCGTTGCGGACCTGTGCACCCACAAGGAGACACTGCAGAATCAGGCTGGGCAGTGTCAGGCAGAGACCGCCGCATCTGCGATAGGGGCTTGGTTGGATTGTTTCCACCTAGATATCGGCTAACAATCTCTATCGCAGACATCCTACGCCAAAGGTTGAGATGGGCTCGCTGGTGATCAGCCAAGTGGCGCCGGGACTCGGTCAGCATCCCTATCACCACATGATGGTGGACACCAATCCTCATCACGAAGATTCCTCCAGAGGATACAGCGCCTCCTCTGACCAGACGCCTGTAATCCACGAGCCTTCTAAAGATTCGTCGACCCCAGGGTCACAGCACGACGATCATGAGCCAGGCAGCGCTCACTCATCCTCTCCCCATCATCAACACTCCTCATACTATCCTCAAAATGTGAACCAACACTCGCGTGGATTTGACCAATCCGGCTTCCCTCTGACCAGCGACCCGCGGGTCGTGGTCGCCAATTCTCCTCCCTCTCCCCGATTGCAACCCACGTATCGCTCGACTAGGTCATTAGGCGCGTCAGAAGCCAGTTCCCCCAGTCGGATAAAAGTGAGAGACTTGTCACATATTCGCAGTCTTGCGAGTGAAGAATATTTGAACCGTCCGCGACTGTCAGGACGCTCCTCCAGCTCCTTTTCGGATACGGGGAGGCAATATGAAATCAGTGCCATGCCTGTTACAGACATTATCGAAATGGTCGCAGGCCTTCTTACCAAGATCACCACCACCAATGACCGGCAACACGAGCATCATCGCCCGATTCCGCTCACGGAGGAACAGAGTCATCTGAACCCGCACGCCTCCTGTGTCCTGGCTTTTCATGGCAAGAATGTCCCAGGAATAACGATCCTAAGTTATCTGAGTCGGATACATAAGTATTGTCCGACTACATACGAAGTTTTCCTGAGTCTGCTTGTCTACTTTGATCGTATGACCGAGATGGTCAATCGCGGGCTTTTGGGGAACGTTAACCGGCGACCTGATGATTCACCCGCTACAGCACCAGAGTCATCTACGCCCACTCCGCGTTCTCCGGCCCCCATGAACGTGGACAGCCCTCAAGAGCACCACGACATCAGCACGCCGCCCTCTCCAGCGGAGGCACGCCAACAGTCTCAGCCCCAGCATCCCTCCTCTCCACAATCATCCAGCGTTCCGACCGATTTGTCGCAATTCTTTGTGGTTGATAGCTACAACATTCATCGCCTTGTAATTGCTGGTGTCACTTGCGCCAGTAAATTCTTCTCTGATGTCTTTTACACGAATTCTAGATACGCAAAGGTACGTTTTGCTCGACCCGTGAAGTTCTCGCCGGAATAGCCTCCCTTTCAGTGGTGTGCTGAACCTGATTCTGACGTATGTTTTACTTGACAGGTGGGAGGCCTTCCTCTAGCAGAACTGAACAATCTTGAACTCCAATTCCTCCTTCTCAACGACTTCAGACTTTCGGTGCCGGTGGAGGAACTCGAGGCCTATGGCACCATGCTGGTCGAGTTTTACGCCCGGGAATTACTCGCTCAGCAACAGCTCGCTCAGCAGCAGCATCAAGGAGGCCCAGCTGTACCGTCTCCTCCTTCCGCTGGGGCGGGAGATGGGATGTACATGCGCTCTTCCGCGCCCGAAGCTGGATCATCGTCGACGCAGGAGTAGTCGTGGGCCTCCCACGTGGATGCGGACATTTTACTTGGGGGAATGAGACAAAGCTTTGTTGATGAAACCAACAGGAAAGATATTCCAGACAACGGCCCGTCTGTGTTTGTGTTTACGTTTACAAGATTGCCGAGTCATGAACGGAGTCAATACCTATTAGACCAGATCTTTTGTGAGAGTGTTTTACTTATGTGTCTGTGCAGGAGAATGTTAGCATTCTTGAGCTCAGGATCCGGCTGAGGGGACACATGGGCGTTGGCGAGTGGTGAGGCATTTTCATTCTTTCGCTGCGTTACGTCGAAACGACCGAGACGAGATACTCAGGCTAGATGTTCGAATCGAGGTCGTAGAAACAATCGATCTGATGAGACAAGGCTCTCCGTTTGTGGTTCCTTCCTTTCTCGGTCTCTAGTTTACGAGATCTGTCTGCCTGCACTCTGATATCCGCTCAGATATTCGCTGCCCTATGTCAGCGCATTTCCTGAACGCCTGGGCCTCATTGTAGCCTGCATTGATTCGAGGACCTAAGCCTCGAAGGACGTGTCCTTCTCCGGGGGGACGAAAGAAAGGAAAGGAGACAGGTGGTGAGAAGACGATCATGGGGGCAAATGGGGAAAGGCCAATGCTTCTGACTTGTCTTGCCCGTGAGGATCAACAATTGCTGTTGGCTTCAGGTTCGTCCAGTAGTTCCACGATATGCAACAACTTTTGATTCTCCTACGTTGTAGTATGCTGTCAAGGAGTGGCACGGAGCCCGCAAGTATCTGGCCCTGTTGGCAATTCTTGCATAGAATACAACGCATAACAAGTCCTAAGATGACTGTCCCGCCTGGGCGTGTGTGAAAGCTTCGTAAGAATGCAGATGTCGAAATCAATGACACCTTCCGCGGGTCCGTTAGGCATGATGTCGTGTTGCGTCGTGTCCGCCCTGATCGTGTGCTCCCCGATTTGCTTCATACCTGTGACGCCTCGACAGGGTTCATGCTCTCATACGTACCGCTATCTCCAGAGAGCCCCTACTCACCCAATATTGCCTGCCTCCGACAAAGATTTGACTCTCCTGTTCCTCAAGAACCACGGAACAAGAATTGCATGTCCTCTGGCGTCAGTTTGTCCAACGCGACCTGGTCATTGTTCACCGTGCCATTGATCATATTAGCCTTCTTTTCTTGGAGCAAAACCATCCTTGATTCGACCGAGTCCTCGATACACAGCCGCGTGATGACGCAAGGTCGACGTTGACCAATTCGATGGCACCGATCCGCAGATTGCCATTCGGCGGCAGGGTTCCACCATCTGTTTGAAACCCCAGTCAGTAATTGCAGAGAAGGGAAAGAGAATCTGTTGCAACTTACGGGTCGACAATGTAGACTCTGCTGGCCTCTGTCAAGTTCAGAGCGACGCCACCCGCTTTGAGTGAGACTAGGAAAACCTCAACATCGACGTTACTCATGAAGTGGTCAATAGTCTTCTGTCTCTGCGCAGGAGTCATACTTCCATCCAATAACACCGTGCTGAATCCCGACTTCTGCAAGCGCCACTGGACCAGCTGCAACATGCTGGTGAATTGCGAGAACACGATAGACTTGTGAGTCTGTTTCTTGCTGCGAAGCTTGTAAAGATCATAGACGAGCATTTCGATTTTTGTAGAGCTGGTCCAATCCTCCATCTTGATGCGGTTGATGATCGATGACTTCTTGACGTTGTCTTCGTCCTGCTCGATTTCGGGCTGGTCCCAGTCTATCACCAAGGGAATGTGGCATCTAGGACAATCTGCATCTTCCTCAGAACCTCCGTAGGCACTACCTGCGAAGGACTGGACGTATGACTTGGCGCACTGGCGGCAGAATTCGTGGCGGCACCGCGAACGGATGGCATCTTCGGCCGGTTCGTCACAGACACAGCAGACGAGAACATTCTGGCCGCCTTCTGCGTTCTTGCGCAGGATCAGGTCGGGATGATTGGCGACTTGTCTCATTTGCATGATGAGACCAAAGATGTTGGCATAGTTGTTCAGCATCACACCTTGCGCAACGTAGGTGTCGAATTTGCGAGTCGAGTTTGACATGATGCTTTGGGAGAAATCACGTTCAATTTCCCCAAAAAACTCATTGTGTATAACGATCTCTTTGGGCGGTAGCTCCATGGAAGAAGTATGGTCTCGCTTCATGCGACGAAGCATGATGCGGTCCGTGATCAGACGCAGCTTGTCCAGACCTTCCTTTCTGACTTTCTCATTGTCTCCCTGGGTGATCGGGTTGAGAATCTCCTGGTTGAACACGGAGACGTGGTTGAAGCCGCTGTGCTTACATTTGACGCACCTCTTCGAGTCGTCCTGAGACCAGTGCAATTCACGACAGTCGCATGTCTTGCAGAAATAGCATGCAAACGGGTGAATCTCGAGGAAGCGTAGGAGTGAGAAGAATTCACCAATGCGGTTCTGAACAGGTGTGCCAGACAAGCACCATTTGTAGGTGGCTTTCAAGGCGAAGCAGGCTCTTGCCACACCGGTGGTGCGCTGCTTGATGCTGTGGGCTTCGTCAAGGATCAACCGGTGATACTTGATCGAATGCAACACACTGTCCTCTTTGACGATCCCCTCACCTCGGGACCAACCCTTCTGCTCCTTTCGGTACATCGACTCCAGGCCTGAATAAGACACCATGATGACATCGTACTTTTTCAGGTCCTTGACAGTGAGAAGCTTGCATTTCGGGTTGGCAGAAGAGTGATAAATCAGCACCTTCAGCTTTCCACTGGTGTACTCTTTAATTTCCGACTGCCATTGCATTAGGGCCACTGGAGGCACAATCACCAAGCTAGGAGCCTTAGCAGGGTAGTCGGACATAATAAGGCTGACAGCCTGAATGGTCTTCCCCATGCCCATCTCGTCACCGAGCAAGCCGCCTTTCCACTGGGACTTTTCCTGTTTCATCATCCAGTCCAAGCCTTCAAGCTGGAAGGGTTTGAGCTTGCGACTGATCCCGGTTGGTTGTGGCGCTTGCACAGGCTTGATGACTGGTATTTTAGCAAGGTCTGTCCACATGGTTTTGATGTCTGGGTGGGCTTTTTCCAACCGTTTTCGTTCCCTCATTTGACGTCGCTTTGCTGGGTCTGCCCAGAACATAATCTCTTCTTGGGTCATCTTTGTCCAATCTATCGATGTATTCCGGCCTCTAGCCCACGGTGGTTTGATTGAATCGTCATCGTCGTCGTCATCATCGACCTCACTAAGGTCTGCCGAGCTCATTGACACAGAATCGGACAGCTCTGTATCGGCGATCGAGGCGGCTGACGAAAGCCCGGAGCTGTCGAGCGAGTACGCAGGGGCAGCAGTGGAGGAGCCACGGTTTCGGAGGGGAAGTTTTTTTCGACGCTGACGAATGTTGGCGAGGGGAACTTCGTCGTCGTCATCATCTACCATAGCAACCATAGACGGCCGGGTACGACGGCGCTTGGACAGAGGCTCATCATCGCTCTCTTCTGAATCCGCCACCATGTTGTATTCTTCTCTTTGCAATTTTGCCGCAAGTTGTTCATCGGTGTCTTCGAAATCTTCATCGGTGATTTCAGTGATGTTTCGTTTTCTTGAAGACCCGCCCCCGCTGCGAAGAGCATACCCCGATGACTGGAGTTGCAAGGCCCTGGCTGTGGCTCCAACTTTCGCTTTTGATGTGCCTGGATCAGGCGTAGGCACAGTGCTGGTTCCTGGGGTCTCGTAATTGGGAGAGTCCATTGAATCGGCGACGGAAGAAGCGGCGGTTGACTGAGACTGCCTGCCACGGCGCTTTGCAGGAGCCGAACCACCCTTAGGGATAAAGACTCCTTGGAACATTCCCTTCGAGGTAGAAGCAGAAACAGAAACCTCGTCGTCGTCAGAGTCCGGGATCTCGATGGCTGCAGATGCTGAAGGTCGACCTCGACTTCGGTTGATGCTTCGCTTGGAGGGTGCTTTGGTGCGTGCAGGGGACGACTTTTCGGTGGCGACTCTTGAGGCTGCGAACATCAGTCAGTCAGAATCCAGTGCGATGTTGTTTCAACAGATGCTTACAAGAGGCCCTTGAAGAGGCCACGGACCTCGAAGGACGCCCTCGAGCCCCCATGGTTGGATGTCGAGTCTGCGAGTATGGGCAGAAGCTGGCAGAAAGGGTGAGGCTCGATTGAAAGGAAAGGTCGAGCCACAATCGATAAAGATCTAGATTTAGCGCGTTTTCTGCCTGGAGTCTACCGCGTGGGACGCGTTAAGTGGTTTTTCCACACAAAAGCGGCAGGCCAACATAGCTTGGCAGGCCTGCGTTTCCAGGTAAAGCAGCGACCGAGGACTCGATACTCCGTACGCACCCTGGAATTGAAAAGGCTGCGTCAACTGGTTCAATTAACCTCTGTGATGTGAAGAGTGTCTGCTTCTGAAGCTCGCCCGTTCAGCCTCGAGCATTCAGCAAGGGCCAATTGGTCCTAGCGGTTCTTCCCATTTCCTGCCTGGGCCTTCGTCTTTCATCAGTACTTCCGTACTCCTGATTGATGACACTGAATGTATTTATCCCACTGCTCTTTTCACCAAACAGTTGCTGCTTGAGTGTGTGGTACTTCAACTGTGATCGTGTTCGATCTTAGGGGTTCACCTCCTCAATCCACAATGTGTATCGGTGCGTATTGCGCCTTGCGTCTGTAGTTCACCAGCAAGAAGGGGCACACGTGATCACGGATCGCGTTCTTCAATTAAACGCGCCACCGACCGCGCCAAGGGGAAGTACCCCTCAACGCCTTGCCGGTACTTCTGCCTTGCGATCTAAATAGTGAATCGAGAAGTCTGTCACTGGCTTAAAGCCTCCAACCAGGTTTTATTGACTTGACACAACCTGACTCTCTGCTCATATCTTGATAATTTCTACCACTTCGGCATTTTCTTCCTGCCTTCGAGCCGCTTGATCTAGGATTCGCCATCACCAGGAACTTTCACAATGTTAGTTGATGCCCCTGGAATGGTAGCCTTGCCTGCATTGACACTGGACCTAGGGCAACCCGGCGCGCTGCTGCGCTCAATCGCATCCGCGGACCTCAATCTGCCCTCACAGATTTCCTTGCCTCTCACAACATCTCGGCCCAACAGATCCAACAGGATTACCAGCAACGCCTCGCCGAAGCAGAGCGGGAGAGAAGAGACAGCACCGAGAATGCGGACGTAGCCCAAGAAGAAGCATCCGACGATGACAGCGAGGATCCTGTCGAGCGCAAGAAGCGCAAGAGAAAACAAGAGATGGCTTTGATGAAGATCAAACAGAGCAAAGAGTTCAAAAAACGCAAAATGGAGCGTGAACAGGAGGAAGGCAGCGACTTCGAAATGGACGACGACGAAATCGCCAGGACCATGATGGTCAAAGCCAAGCCCCTGCCCGGCCAACTTGACAACTGCGAACTGTGTGGAAAGAGATTTACCGTAACACCATACAGCCGGACTGGGCCTGATGGTGGTCTCTTGTGCACAAAGTGCTCCAAGGAACTGAAGGAAGAGGAAAAGAAAGATGCCCAGGCGAAAAAGAAGAGGACTTCAGTTCCCAAAGGTCGGCGTCGGCAGACCGAGAGCGATCGGATGATGGGCGACGTCAAACCGGGCGCCAAAAGCCTCGTTGACATGTGCGTTCGTAAAGTTGCCGACGTCGTCAACGATATCGAGGAATTTGGTGACATGCCACAAAATCTGTTGGATCGATTGAGCCAGATCTTTTCGAAACGAAGAGTGCTCACTCCTCGAATCCTCGAGCTCTTCCTGCGCCCTGATGTCGACCGTATCATCGTGTATGACTGCGGCAAACTGGAGCAGGAAGACTTCCAAAAGATCTTCGCATTGATGCCTCAAGTCGAGATCGTCAACTTGCGCTTCGCAGGCCAGCTGAAGGACGCACCACTGCTGTATATGGCCGACAAGTGCAGGAAGATTCGTCACCTCCAGCTTGGTGCAACAAACTTAGTCTCAGACAAGGCATGGATTGAGCTGTTCAACTCACTTGGTCCTCAACTGGAGAGTCTGAAGTTGTCGGAACTCAATGACTCATTGAAGGATGAAACAGTGGTGGTATTGACGGACAAATGTCAGAAGCTCAAGAGACTCAAGTTAAGGTCTTGTTCACACATGAGTGAGGCATCGCTTGACGCCCTCTGCTCCCTGCAGAATCTCGAGCATCTCACCCTCGGCAGCGTCGCACAGGAGACGTCCTCAGAGACCCTTACTAAACTCATCTCCACTCTAGGGCACAACCTCCGTACTCTTTGTCTCGAAGACTTCCATGAACTCGACGATACTGTCATCGAAGCCATCAAGAACCACTGTCTCAATCTCTACAAGCTACGCATTCGAGGAAGCAGCATCTGCACGGACCGTTCCTTTGCCGATCTCTTCGATGGCAACTGTCCCTTCCCTCCTCTGCTTTACGCCGACTTCTCGGACAACCGCGACATCGACAATACGAACCCTGAAGGCCCGCAAGACGACCCAATTGGCTTTGGCTCCCTGGCGCTCTCAGCACTTATGGCCCATTCCGGTTCTCGACTCGGGTCTCTCAATCTCAAGGCTTGTCGTCACGTCTCCCACTCTGCACTCCTCGAAGTCTTTGACGGTGTCAAGCAGTATCCTTTTCTCAAAGATATGGATTTGTCCTTTGTTACACAGGTGGACGATGTGGTCATGACTGGAATATTCAAGAGCTGTCCTTCGCTGGCAAAGTTGGTTGTCTTTGCCTGCTTCAATGCCAGGTGGACAAGCATCCCGGCTGGAATCGCCGTGATCGGATTGCCGAACGCGAGTGCGAATATTGTGCAAGGAGACTTTGTCGTGGAGGTATAATGTCGAAGTTTCATGGTTGCATGATAAAGAAAGTAGGGAATGTAGATGGCAGATTGGGAGAGTCTCTATGCTGAACGGGTACACGAGGTTATGATGAAAGGACGACAACGCAACGAGCAAGGTGGCGCCGAGCTGATGCATGCCTCGAGTTTCCGAGGCAACGTGGACGCGCCAGCAGCTTGTCCTCTGGCACTGTGATTCACCGGTGGTGAGAGTGTTGAAGGAAACAAGACTTGCTTATAGCATCCAAAAACACATGTGAATTATGCTCAGACAAAGGATGTGCATTATTTTATGGCAATGCCACCATAGACGCTCAATCCACTTGCTGCCTCCACTATCATACATCGAAAGGTGTTCTTGTGGCAGTCCTAGACATGTACTCCTGGTCAGTATGTTTATTCAGACACCCAGGAGTGTCCATCTACATCGTTCCAGCCGATCAATCCCATCAAAGTGTTTCAATGCCTTCCACCAACGCATCCAGGCTGTCTCCATCCACCTTCCCCTTGTCTCCAGCCCTGCCTGATGCTTGCACCAGCGCCCTGGCAAGTCCGCCCAGCTGTCTCTGTCTTGTGGTCTCTTCCAGCTCGCGACTTTTCTCCCTGGCGACCTCAATCACACCTTCTCCCAGATTTGCCAACCTCGCCACGTTCAACCCGTAGCTGCGATGTGCTACACCCTCTCCCACTTCGTAAAGAAACGTGACGTTCTCATCATCTGTCTCGGTGAAACGCATGTGAACGTTTCTGAGTTCCCCATTCGGAAATCCATCTGCCATGCGTGCGAGCACCTGATAATGAGTAATAAATAACGTCAAGCACTTGCGCTCTCTCACGAGGTAATCAAGTACGGAGGCAGCGATCGCGACACCGTCATGCGTGCTCGTTCCTCTACCCAGCTCGTCTAGCACTACCAGACTGCGGTCCGTGGCCAGTTTCAAAATGTCGCTCGTTTCACTCAATTCGACCATGAAGGTGGATTCACCAGACATCATGTTGTCAAACGCGCCCATGCGTGTGAAGACCGCGTCCAGAATACCCAACGTCGCGGATGCCGCCGGCACGAATGACCCAATTTGTGCCATGATGGCGATGAGGGCCACAGAACGGACGTAGGAAGACTTCCCGCCCATATTGGGTCCTGTCACAAGGAGAGCCCGCGTCGAGTCTTGGGAGATGGAGATGTTATTTGGCACATAAGAATCGATGAGGAGTTGCTCGACCATAGGATGGCGAGCGCCTTGCACTTTGATTCGAGTGTCAGCTGTGAAACTCGGGCGCACGTAGCCCGGCTGGGACGCAACATTGGCCAATGATAACAGGCAGTCCAAGGTTGCCAGACTTTGGATTGTGTCACGAAAAAGCTGATACTTTGTGCTGATGTCGGCTAGCAGGTCTCTGAAGGCTTCATCACAGGCAGCCGCAAGAGACTCTTTATGCTGGTCCCTCTCTCGCAGAAGCTTGACGATTTCTGGAGGATGAAATCGAGACACCTTTTTGGTTCCCGAAATCTTTGCCCAGGATGCCGGGACTTTCTTGATCGTGGGAGAGTTGTTCTCGACTTCGACCAAGTAATCGATGCCTGCCACAGTCACGTAGTCCACTGGCTTTTTCTTGCCCAACTTCTCAGCGGCAGTCGATCGAAATTCGTCAAGATCATGTTCGACGCCCGCAATGCCGAATTTGTGCTCCGAAATGGCCTCTGTCTCCGACGCATCCTGGAAAAAGGCGTACTTGTCATCAGATTTGGCGGCTTGAAGGTTGATCTTGTCCAGATATCCCACCACTTCTGTCAGAATTACGGGGAGAGAGACCATTGCAGAACAAATCAGATCCGAGGCGAAGCCGGTAGATGTCGCATCCGTCGCATACGCAAATTCGGTCGACAACATCTGTAGCGACTGGAGAACATTCAACAACTCTGGTCTCGTGCACTTGCCGTAGTAAATCCGAATGAGGCTTTTCTCTAGATCAGTCCTAATCTTCGACAGCACACGTCTCAACTTTTCGGCCTGAGCGGCTTTGTCGGGATTCAGAAGCTCCTCTACAGCATTGAGTCGGGTTTCAATGCTTTGTACATCCAGCAGAGGTCGGCCAACCCATTTCCGCAGCAGCCTGCCTCCGAACTTTGTCTGCGTTCGATCCATCATCCAATACAGACTACCTTTTGTGGAATGGTCCGTCTGATTCAAATAGATCTCGAGGCTTGTCAAAGTATTTCCATTGAGCAGCATGTGGGATCGAGCGGAAAACGGCTGGAAATATTTGGTCAGCTGAAAGACATGCTCGAGTCCATATTCGGACAAGTGGTTGATCATTGCTGAGAGGCAGATGGACACGTTTTCTGGCAAACCCATGATCTTATCAAAGACTTTCGCCGCCTTCTCTACATCTGGCCCGGAGTCTTTGAGCCGGTCCGCGTAAAAGGTCGATATGTGGCTGTGTGCTTGGGCTGCCATTGTTTTCTGTTTTGCAACTCGCTCAACCCGAATCTTATCGCCGAAAACATTGGTCTTGCTGCCGGATAGATGGACCACGAGCTTCTCGGTCGCCTTCGAGAGCTCGCCCACGATCAGAAACTCGCAGGGCGCAATGTGAAGCAGTCGCGTCTCGATCTCGCTGCGCATGAAGCCGTCTTCAAAATCATCGTACACAATATCGCCCGTGGCAGGTTGGACTGCTACCAGACCAACATGGACTTTTTCGTCATTACCAAAACCTTTGGTGTTGACCTCTGTCATGCAGAGAAGAAACCCGGTCGACGGGGACTGAGGGGCATGGCTTGCTCGGGTATCCTCTTCAATACCCTCGATGTCGTCGATGTAAGTGCCCTTTGTGTACAGATTCGTGAGCTTTCTCACGAAAGGTGCATTTCTGTTGTCGCCGACAGCTTTCAACGCTGCGGTCTCGAGTTGTCGGACAACACCAACTTTGTGGCCCGCGGCGACTAGTCTTTTCACATGCACATGCAGTCGATGGACCGGAATACTGGCAGATGCAAACCGATCCAGGTGCGCCTCGGACGGATGCTCATCATATCGGTACTTTCCCGGGATACAAACGATGCTGAGTTCTTTGGCCGCAATCCTGGCGTCTTCGCCAAAGAAACGGAACTTGTAACCCACTTCGACCACGAGCAAGGTGTCCATATGCGCTCTCTTGATCTCCAAGACTTGTTTTTCCATCGGCGTCAACTTATTGCCACCTTTCTTGGTTCGACTGGTCGATCTCGGTGCTTCGTCGACAGGCTCCTCCTCTCCATCCTCGTTGTCCTGATCTGCGGCATCATCTTCGAGCAGTCGGTTTCGCCTCTTGATTTCAGCGATGCTGTCTGGCTTTCCCAATTTCTTCACAAATTTGCGGTGTAGTTCATCTCTTCGTTTCTTCTCGGCACCGCTGATTTCCTCGACACCCTGGTTTTCCTGTTGAGGGGATGAAGAGTAAAAATATTTCGCGGTTCTCGTTGATCCCCGGGCGTCACTTGGGGCGAGTGATTGTCCGTTGGCAACAACAGGTCTGAGCGGGATGACGGGTTCCTCACTTTCCTCCTCCTCCACATGCTCAGTTCTGTCTGTGTCTTCTTCGACAGGTGTGATGCGGCGTCTCTTCGGCGTAGGTAATACCAATCCATCGTCGTCATCATCGTCTTCTGTAGAGATCTGCGGACGAGATTTCGGCGTAGGAGTCGAAGAAGGTCTCTTGAAGAAGGAGGATATCGTTTGCTGCTTCTTCCGTGCAGAAGCCATAATGACAAAGCCCACCGACCCAGCTGCGGCGGGAAATCTAAGGGTTGATAGAGAGTCTCAGTGGGCTGAGAACTTCAGAGGCAAGCCAGGCGTGATTCGAAGGAAGCCACGAGTCCGCCAATGAAGCTGCGCTATGGGACGCGCCACGCGACGCGTCTGCGGAAAGATCAATTTAGAGTGCCGTCAGTATTCCGCAGTCTCCACGAACCATACCTTGGACACAATCTAACGACTTCTTCCTGCGAGGTAGTCGAGCCCAAATACATTGGATGCTCCACCTAGCCACCTTAGATTCTAGAAGCCTCCCAAATGCCTCGTTACTGTCATGTGGCAGACCTTGCACCTAACAAGCAACCTTCGTACCCTTGCGACTACGGTCAAAGAACAACTACAATTGCAAAGTCAATGTCACTTTATCCCGGCCTGTTCTCTCTTACTGCCTGCGAGCTTTCCTCTAACCTTCTCGTGTCGTCATCGTTGCCATAGGTACAACTACCTCTTGATGTGTTCAACGCTTCCTCAGTCTTACGAGCGGGAAGTCAATACACACCTCGTCATGGTATCAGATCGTAAAGGTCGATATAGTCACAGACGGACGGCATGAAATTGATTCGCGGACTTGCTGGACGGAGGTGTCTCCCCGTGGCTACCCGGTCTTGTCATGTCAAAGTTGCGATCAGTCGACGCAGAGCGGGCAAAGGAAAGTTGGTTTGTTCGGCGAAGAGGCGAAGACAACAGCGGAGCTTTGGTTGAAGTGGTTGAGGATTTCGTTGTTGGCGTTTTGAACCGAGGAGATCCGCACGACACCGACCTCTTTGATTGATCTGAAGATTCCCCCCTCCTGAGCCGTTATGCCTGTTGGGCCACCCATGCGTCGATAACGGTGTCAGTGTCCGGCTGATACAGCCACCGCATGTCGTCAAAGTTGTCAACATTGCTGGCATCTACGACTTTCCCCTCGCGCACGAGCCTCTCTCTTTCCGCTAGAGGCAATCGCTGGATATTGGTCTTGTTCGTTGCCCAGTCGAAGACCGCATCCACACGTGTCTGTCGCAGGGATTGCCAGAACGCCAGCGCCTTTTTGGGCCCGAGATTTGGCTTTGACTTGAGCAGAAGCAGCAGCCTAGTCAGAGCGTGCACATCCTCCAAGGCCTGGTTCACGCCCTGTCCGCTACTCGGAGGCAATGCGTGGCTGGCGTCGCCCATGATGATGACCCTGCCAGCCTTCTCTGAAAACCATTTCTTCAGCGGTGCCATTCGCATGAAGGGCCATAAAAAGGTTGTATCGATATGCCGACAAACGGCGTCGACGATTCCTTTTGCCGTCGGGCTCTCCCATTTGTCTCGAGTGTTTGCATAGAAATCACGCAGAAACTCTTTATCCTGTCCCAGCGCCTCCCACTTCTCGCGACTGCGGTCTTCCATCCTGACCTGCATTGCGACCATGACTATACTCCCCTCTCGGTCCTCAGGCATTAGAACCAGGGCTCCAGGCTTTCCTTGGATAGTGCATGCACGCTCGTAGTCTTCGTACGGCCACTTGACGGAATTCCAGGGAATATGACTCAAGACACCCGCAATGCCCGTGTACTCGGGGCCGGGGTCGTCTGGATTGACATATTTCCTGACCGAGGAGTGAATCCCGTCCGCCCCGATCAGCATCCCAGCCGACTCGACCCGTCCGTCGATTCTGAACATGACGCCGTCCTCACCCTCACTCACCACCCCTTCGAATCTCTTCCCCCAACAGACCCTGACGCCTCGCTCATCTACCATTCCCAGCATCGTCTCGACCAGGATCCGCCGCCATAGCCGGTGGTTCTTATACCCGTAGAGGGTCTCGTTGGTGATCAGCGTTTTCCGGGTCGTCTCGTCGCGTTCGTTCTTGTAGGTGCGATACTCGGAGAGCCAGCACCTCGACGCGATCCGGGGCAGGACCCCCAGTGAGTCGAGAACGCGCAGCCCGTTGGGCGTAAGGACAACGCCGGACGAGTTGGCCGGGTCGGGAGTGTCCGGGTGGCGGAGGTCGTAGATGGTGATTTTCGAGGGGTCGTAGAAGTGGTGGTGTACGAGAGATAGGGCGATGGCAAGTCCTGTCAGACCGGCGCCGATGATAGCAACCGAAGAGCTGGAAGAGGCGTGGGACGATGGTGAGATGTCCATTTTCCGGTATTCGTGTTCAACCCGTCTAGATATTGAAGGGGGTTGGTTCAATGAGTTGTATTTCCGTTCATCGTCGGATGAAAATGCGGGGGTGGATTTTGACCCGTCTCTTTTGCCAGGCTTCTATATCTACCTGCCCTGCAACTCATCCTCCCTCAATGGTCCATGCTGAGAATGTGAACATGACTACCCGCTCACCGGCCACCCCTCCAAGTGCAGGAAAAGTCACCCTCCTCGTTCTCGGAGCCGGCTGGGTGTGGCAATTTCTGGAGCCCTTCCTCCAAAAGTCAAACATCACATACGCCGCCACTACCACAAACGGGCATGGAGGCACCATCCCTTTCAAGTTCGATCTAGAATCGGACGACCTGGAGAAGGCCTTCAAGAGACTTCCGCGGGCAGATTATGTCCTTGTCACCTTCCCATTGAAGGGGAAGGGGCCATCGAAGAAGTTGGTGGGCATGTACGCAGAGACACATCGACAACACCACGCCGCACACTCTGGCTCGGCTACTACAGCGGGTCAAGGCGATGAACGAAGCGATGAAGTAGAAGCCACTACGGCTACAAGGACGAAATGGATCCAACTGGGCAGCACTGGGATCTGGACATCCCCAGGTTTCGTCGATAGCAACTCGCCAATCGATCCGTCAAATGAGAGGGGAATTGCAGAAGATGAGCTCATCTCCTTGGGCGGTTGTGTGTTGAACCTTGCGGGTCTGTATGGCGCACAGAGACAGCCTGGCAACTGGATTGCACGGGTAGCAAAGACGAAGGAACAGCTTCGCGAGAAAGGGGCGTTGCATCTGATCCACGGGGTGGATGTTGCAGGAGGCGTAATTGGAGTCATCAACGCAGATCGCATGGCGCCTGGTGAGACTGTCGACACCGAGCAGTTCAGGACGAGGCACTTGTTTGGCAGGAGGTGGATTGTTGCAGACTGTGTGAGCTATGATTGGTGGGGTGTTGTGTGGGATTTCAATGGGGACTCAAGTGAAGACAGTCACATAGACGAGGAAGACCCAGAACAGCTGGCGAAACTGGACGAAAGAACGAAGTATCGACGTTGGGTGATGGAGTTGATGCAGGACAGTGGCGTGAGGGCGCTACCGAGGCCGCCGGAGGCACTGGGCAGGAAGCTGGATGCCCGCGAGTTTTGGAATGCGATTGGAATTCTTCCACAAAGGACATTGAGGAGATGAGGCCGCTTTGTCGAAGAGAATTGGATGTAGTCAGCACTTCGCCGCATCGACTGGATGTGACCAACGCCATATGTCCTCGACAGGAAGGTTCTGACCACAACACTCACTGCTACCACACCCAGCGTCACTTCGACGGCATGGAAGCCGTCCAGGCAACCGCATTCACCTCTACCGAGACATAAGAGACAAACATGAAGGTGGGGGCAATCAAGAAGTTGCAAGGTGAACTGTAAACCTCCAATCCAATGCAAGTAGAAGGAGGGAAACCTGAGAAAGGACCAAACGGAAAGGAAGGGATGCTCCAGAATCAGGACCTTTGGCATGCACGAACTAGTTATGCCTCCGACCTATAGCGAAGAAGCTCAAATTCTGTACATGGAGCCAGCAGCTGTTCATCTCCCTGCTTGCTGCCTCTCATACAACACATATATCTCGTGAAGGTCGACGACAAGTGTTCCAGGTTCTCGTACCCATGCGGAGCATTCATACACAGCTCTCTGTCCAGTAGCGCCGGCGCGATTTCGCCTGAAGTCGCATGTCACTGTCCACATTCCCCCGTCCAGGCTGAGACCCTCGATGCTGATGATCAACTTTCTCGTGCCGCCAACCTCCAGTCCTTCCAAGTGAGCAGCCATTAGCCTTGAACATGCCTTCATTTCCATGCTGCAGAGACTTTGACTCGAACACGCAGCTCTTCCAGTGGGCACAGCAACAACTCAACAGCGCGTGACATTCTCTCTTTCCAACAACCTTGCTCAGACACTATTCGGTCTCCTCAGACTCCCTCTTCCTCTTATTTGAACTCGCTTGCTCGCGATATACCCTGATCCTATCTCGACTTCGAAATCCGTTCTCTTCCACTGTCCCTGCGACGCAGTCTGCTGAGAAAATATCGGACCGATCCGGCAGCCATTTCTTTGCTTCTTCCGTAACAGTACCGGAGCATTTGATGATCGCAAAGCGGAGGCACTCGAGGCTTTCATCCATCCGTTTGGCCACATTTTCCAGCAGTGTCACCATGGTATCATCGGACCAGACCCAGGCCGTACAATCCTCCTTCTTGAACTGGAATTGAATTGAAACACTAAGTCTGACTGTGACAATACAATCTCTCACGATCTTCTGCTCGTACAGGCTGATGGTGTCAAAAATGCCTGTCCCATCGAACGAAAGCATGAACGAGTTTGTTGGAATCCCATATTTTGCATGGATTCTTTCTTGTAGCCGCCTTCCAGTGTCAGTCCACTTCACACTGATACGACCGTAAGCTGGCCATGGGCGTAGAAACTTCTGATGGGGGAGACGGATGTATAGGTCGAACTCTAGTTGGGCGGGTCGTGCTGAAATGTGAAGGATGGAATCGACAGTGGATGGAATCGACAGTGGATGGAATCGACAGTGGATGGAATCGACAGTGGATGGAATCGACAGTGGATGGAA